GAATAATAAAAAGACAATAATAAAAAAAAGGGACTAAAACAAAGACGCAATCGGACAACAAAAGGGGAATCAAAATGTTTCGTGAGACGAGGTTGGGCGTCAAGGTCGGCAGTCATCAAGAATGCGAGTTGAAGAACCCACAAACATCCGTAACACAAACGACAATGCCACTTCTTCTTTGGTTTTTTTTTTTTTTTTCTTCTGGTTTGGTTGTTTTCTGTTTCTCTTGAGCTTGCAATCTTTCGTGTTTTGCAGTTTCCGTATTTTCTCATTTGTGATCTGAGTGGCGGGTTGCAGATTAAGGCCATTCAAAGATTAAAACAAGATATAAGATATCCAACTTTTCCAAGGGGTGCACCACTCGGACATATAAATCCATTCCCGTAACTCTTCCCGACATGTGCTGCGTATTTCGGATTTCGGGTTTGTTTCGAGATAAAGGGCATCGCAGCGATTAGGATCCTTTCGGTATGTTGGGTTTTTTTCCTCTTTTCTTTTACATGATGACGCACTTCGAGCAGCAGCCGGCGCTCTCGCCTGGCTCGCTCACGTCCATCTTGCCCTCTGGTGCGCGGGCGCCGAACGCACCGGAGCCGGACGGGTACGAGGACATTTCCTTGTTGTAGCGACGGATCTCGCGGACCAGGTCGTAGAAGGCGTTCTCGACGTTGATGCGGGACTTAGCGGATGTTTCGATGAACTTGCAGCCGAACTGGCGGGCGAGCGCTTCGCCCTCTGTACGCGGTGAATTGTTAGCGGGATTGGGGGATTTGGGTTTAGGGGCTTCGTGGAAGAGTTTAAGGGGAGAGAGTTCAGGGGAAATTGGATGTAGATGGAAACATATGATGGTAACATATGAAAAACGTACCCTGCTCGGAGACCGCACGCTCCTTCTCCAAATCACACTTGTTGGCAACGACGATGATGGGGAAGTAATCCTTGTCCTTGACGCGCAGGATTTGCTGTTGGAAGGTCATGATTTCTTCGAAGGATTGGCGCGACGTAATGGAGTAGATGAGCAGGAATCCCTCGCCGGTTCGCATGTATTGTTCTCGCATAGCCGAGTATTCCTCCTGGCCCGCTGTATCCAGGACATCCAACAAAGCGACTTCATCATCGATCACACACTGCTTGCGGTAGGAATCTGTAGGCGGAAGAAGGTTCCGAATCAGCTATGTTGCTTAACTGGTAGGGAGGGTCCGACACCCCTGGGAAAACGCGACACGATCCGCGCGGCTGATGAAACGGAGGGGGTGCTTTCGAAGTGCTCACCTTCAATTGTTGGATCGTACTCGTCCACGAAGTGACTCTGGATCAGCTGGATGGTCAAGCAAGACTTTCCGACGCCACCACCACCGACAACCACCAGCTTGTACTCTCTTAGGAACTGGTAAACACGGGATTAGCCATTGGGAATGTTCAGAACAAGTCTTCCAGACATTGGATCAATCTCACCTTTGAGGCCATTATGAGTTAGGTTCAAGTCAAGAAGATGAAACGTAAAAAAAGGATATTAAGTCAGAAAGGAATCGCCGAATAAATTTAAAGCGAAATCCCAAGTCTTTAAAAAAAAGAAAAGAAAAAAAAACAAAGGGAGAATTAGGGGGAGAGGGTTCGTTTCGGGAGGTTGGAACTGGCGGGAAGAAATAAAATGGAGAAAACCACGGAGAGCTTCCAAGGTTCTTCTTTTCTTCCTTTTCGTGGAGAATCCTATTTAGTTCAAATCTTAAGTTCTGGGGTAAACAAAAGATTTGAAATAACGAGATCTTTCTTTTCTAAAGAAATCAAGAAAAATCAAAAAAAGAAGTAGAAGGGAAAGGAAGGGGCAAAGGGAAATTCAGGAGATAGTGGGGAGAAAACAGGTGATTGGACCAGAAAAAGGGGACATGCGCGCCATTGAATGGTGGTAGATTGCTTTTATATTTACTTGCCCTTTTTTTAATTTCATTTTTTGGAGGTTTCTATGTTTCTTGTTTTTTTATTACTTGTTTGCTTTTTTTATATATGTTGTATATATATTGTAGCCTGATCTATATAATAGTGTTGTTGCCCGGTTACTTCTCGAAACCAATCTCCCCTTTCGAGTCAATTCGGTGTTAATATATATGACTTTGGTACGCTACTAAATCATATCTCTACCAGGAAATTGATTGGCGTAAGCAACGGCCCCATTAAGGAACGTGCAATTAACGATAATGGATAGCGGAGATTATCTTATGCCTTCTCCTTTTACGCGCAATCCACACCAAGTCCACAATTACCGTCTCTATGTTGTATGTTGTATATTGTCTATCGACGGAGTACTCCGTACAGATATACCGTTTGTACAGAATCCAGTTCGTCCCTCCAAAGTGGATCTGCCGTTCTGGTGGAGATGGGTCCCTCTTTGGCGCTTTTAGGGCATTGGCCTCCAATGTCCACCTACAACATAGTTATATTGTACAATTGTACTCTTGTACTCTTGTACAATGCATTGGGTTTAGAATCAGCAATGATTCAAATAGCAATTCAAATGACGTTGGGCACCAAACAATCTAATTTTCCTCGACACCGCATATTCATACCTTCCAAGGTTTCTTATACGCCTGGATGGCTTGCAGTAGACGCCCGCCTTGCATAATTGCATCATCCCGCCGCAACACAATCACCTCTGTCACTTTTGGTGATTGGATACGTCGGAAAAATTCCTATTCCTGTCAACGTCCCGCTCTTGGAATCCCCCTCTCATATACAACATCATCGGAGTGTTTGATGCCGATCAATTGATTTTTCACCATGATCACCATTGACCTACGGAGTACTCCGTACTAAAATCCAAGTTATGCCATTTTTCTTTTTTTTGACAGATGCAGAAGCTGCAGGTCGGGAATTTGATCCGTACCATATCCCACACTTCTTTTCTTCAATGTTCTCTTAGGCTGAATGAAGCTGGCGGCTGCTTACGAACTGCTTATATTAGCTCCGACAGGGGGACAAACCCCGCGACTTGGGACTTGGATCCGACCCCGCAGGATGTGTGCCAAGTCACATTTGGGCGTTGGATCACCTCGAGGTAGATAATCGTCCATCACACGCCTTACCTACTATATTTTCACACTCCTTGACTTCTATGGATATCGAAGCATTACCTAGATACCTACCTAGGTACCTAGGTAAAGATAAGAAAACCTTAGAAGTATTCTGCCCATGGTTCTGCCTCGGGCGCGATGCCTGTCTCGACTTAGCCACTCTGTTCCTTTCCTTTCCCATGGATGAGCGGAACTTAATTTCATGGGCTGCGCACTACCTGTTATCGACTCAAACAGATGTCTCAAGGGAAGGAGTCGAGATCAAATTCCGAGGTTACGAATTTAGTTAGTCGACATCTAAATTTCGGCATTGTATTCCATAGATTATTCTTAGAAGGTGTGATGTGATAATCAGTAAGGCTGCATCCGTTTGATTTGCAATGTGGGCTGATCCTGATATGATCTGTCAAACGGATGCACGGTCGGCGATTGATCACTCTGGTGACCATGCATCTGTCAGCATCCGGCAAGTAGTACGAGGGACTGTGTTTCGAGGCAGCGCTTAGAAGGAACTACGATGGGATGGGTGATGAGAATACCGATAATGAGCCGCACAAAGCGATGTGATGGGAAAGACCATTGGTGACCATTGTCCAATATCGACTGACAAATCTACATTGTCAAGTCACACAAACGTGATACATAACTAAAAATTACTCCCTAGAACCAACAGAATCCCCGGCTTGCATGGAAGGATCGACAGTACAAATCTGTCATGCCAACGGCCTAGTGTAATTTGAAATCAAGGGGCGTCGGGAACAATCGATGTAGAGTGATTATGTGCTGATATCAACCAGATGGATAAATCGGAACTCGGAATTGTAACCAACCTAGGAGATAAAAAAGAGCCGGACAGACACTCCGGATTCACCTCGTCAGCTAAAGAAAAAGACCGAATCACACTTGACTTGACCTGGGACCTAAGCCATCACGAATCGCGCTCGATGTGCAACAAGGCTATGGGGGTACAAGTTGCTGGGCACATGAGCAGAAACAATTAACACAACGTGTCCAATCTGTCGGAGATTTAAGTCCCTGGCTCTTAAGAAATCACCGTGATGATTTGTCTCCATTGCGAAGATAAAAATGGGCGCTACCCAACTCGTGCCTACCCAACGCCCAAGGTTAAAGGTCCCGAGCATCGGCCAATCATCTCCAAAATGTCTCTTGCAGATCTCAAAGTCGGCGGACTGTATGTCATTCTCCAAGCCCGCCAGGAACCACCCGAGCCCAATGAGTTCTACTGGGGTCTGTATCTCCACTCGGATGCCGGTGGGGGGATGGCATACCACGTCGTAGACACGGGATCTGGGCTGAGACCTGAGCATGAGTATACCGGTGGTATCTTCAACACTCCACTTCTTACCGGCCTATTCCGAATCGCCGATATCACTCGTCCCTTGCATCCATTCGTCGACAGGGTAATAAGGTCCTACGATAGCAGTCTCAACTGTCCTGGAAGAAGCAGCAATAGCAAGTTCTGGGTTTTGAATGTCCTTGCTCTACTGATTCAGCCTACGGCCACCGGATGGCTTCCAGTGAATTGTCATAACCTGCCCATCTTAGAGCAGGAAATCCGCGATTGGGGTAATCGGATGTCCCAAGGGCGATGTATTTACCAAAGACCCAAGCCAATTGGATCTTCGACAATTTGTGGGTTGCCAGAGTGGAAGACACAGCGTGAGTTATCCATATATATATCTCAGGAAATCTAAGAGTGGCGGGAACATCGATTGACACAAAAGCAATGGAATAAATAGCCGAACGCCCGATCTATTCAACCAAATGATCCAATTATTGGAGTATGATTTTTCGTGTTGAGCGTCAATTTATCGGTGTATTATTGTGTGTTTGCAAATGCAATTGCATATTATACCTGTCAATTCTTCCTAATCTGGATTACTCAATTCCAAATCTAAAGCCATTCCAGGCTTAGCCACAATTGCTTCCGCCATAATCTCCCTCGGCGGCTGAAGTCCAGAGTAGAAACTGGTCGAAGTCCTGTGCGAGTAGTACCTCCACGCCAGTAACTGTGTCCCACCCTTGAGTCTGCTGTGCCACCGTAAAGAGTGGCTTTTGACTCGGCTTGTATGCCATATCGACACACAAACCTCGGTTTCCAAACAACGAGGAGAACCGAGTCTCTGCAGTGCTCTCTGCGGGCACAGTGCCGATAACGACTTCCGGATGCTCTGGAAGTTCTCGGAGACGTGGGACAACCTTGATCTCAAAAACGGACTTGAAATCGTCTTTGACTTTCTAGGCGGTGGCCAAGGTTCGATTCATGAGGTAGATGCATTTTACTCCAGCTTTGTGTAGAGCATAGAGTGCGGCGCTTGACGCACCCCCACCCCCGATGACCAGTCCGGTGTTGGGTTGGTGTTGGGCTTTTGTCGAGTATGCAGTCACAATACTGTATAGGCTAGACCAATCTGTGTTGTCGCCGATGATTATACGCTCATTGGCATTTACTTCCACAATCAGAATGTTGATCGCGCCGATCAACCGAGCAGTCTCGGTTTGCTCGTTGCAAAACTTGTGAACTTGGACCTTGTGTGGCATTCAGCCGAAAAGCTGACCCGCTAAAGGATTAGGATTTATGAACCGCACTGCGTCTTTCGTTAAATCTTGGCAATGTGCACATCTTCCAATCATAGAGGTTCTAATGAAGAGGTTCGATAGGATCTCTTGGAGATCTCGGAGAACAGCGGCCAAGTCGATCTCGGATCTCGGATTTCATGTTTATGTAGATCTTGTCACATCAAGGACCATCAGCTATTTGAAATAGTCTGTATGGGGTTTCTCTTTGGTATCCATAGTATTACCCTTATCTCACATATAATGCAGCTATACTCGAGTTCCTTTACTCCAACTCCCTCGAGCTCTGCTAAATGGTGGGGCAGATGGAGTTGTGGAGTTACTGGCATACTGACACTCTCACCGCCAAAATAATCGCTTGCGATCAATACAGCGACTCCATCAATGCTGTCAGACTCGTGGACTGTGTAGGTAAAGGGGAGGCCACAGTGCTGGAAGCCTGCGTTGTGGATGGTGGTTGAAACGCTGAAAGATATCCTTTTGCCGGGGGGGGGTGGAAATTCTTTACCATGATGGTTTGAGGTGCTTGATATAGAGAATTGAGTGGATTTATCCCCTGTATTATAAACTCTTGGAAATGCATAGATGCCGAACTACGTATCCCATCGGGTATGGATTTAATCGGCCGTAGAGCCCATTGCCATCAACACTGAAAGTCTACATCCGCATAAATGTCACAGTTTTAATATAGAAAGCTAGTGTTTTTAGTTATTACGCCGACAGAATATTACTCACACCTTTCTCGAACCTGCCGTTCTCCCGGGGAGAATCTGGAATGGCCTTGTGTGGAGGGGACGCATATTATCAGATACCAAATTGAGGAGCAGTCGCGTTTGTGGGCTGGGGAGGAATACAGTCTGAAACTGGACAGGGGAAGGTGGTAAAGGTGCATGCCCAGGTGGGATGTCTTGCTTACGACAGCAGAAGAGAGCAAAGGACCTCGGAATCAATCTTCGACCCAGGACCATATGCCTACACCACATTGTCCGGCCGAGTTTCATACCTGGACTTGATGGCAGCTTTCAAAGTGCATTCACTATGCACCGATGCCATGGCCTAACGACCAATATCCCCCCCGATTCCAGTCGCGCTGTCACCAAGATGAAGGCCACCATCGATTCACAATTGACAGAATAGAAGTGGGATACCGAAACACACCCAAAGGACCGCTGCGAGCATTGAGCATCTTTAATAACATCAGCCAGCTCATGAAGCACCTGGATCGAATATTGCATATGCCATATGTCGACCAATATGGTGCCCCCCAAACCAGCGGGAATTTCTAGCCAATCTACAAGCCCAGCAGGGAATGCTTGTTGAGAAGTACCCATATATAAAAGGCCCAGAGTACACCACTCCTCCATTACTCACTTTACATCTCACATGTTCCTTTGTGATGCTGGATTTCTTGAAAAGAAGCCCAACGCTCTTGGCATTACTGGAAAGGAGTTGGTCATCAACCTCGCGCAATCTAGTATTAGTCTGTTAAACCGACATCTGGAGACAGCCAGACCGTTACAGATATCACCATTAATGTCTTGGTTTGCTCTTCGGTGCCAGCAGTGTTCTGATATAGTTTACTTCGACCCTAACTCTGAGGAGAGACGGGCTCTCGAAACCCGCCTTTGCCCGTACCTGCAGAATTTGGAAGATGAGATGGAAAGTCTCCAGAGATCAGTTAACATGCGACCTGCAAGGGCTGAGAATCATCGAATGGACCCTGCTTGCAATAGGTTCGTCCAGCCATCAGATTTTGGAAGAGTTGGAAGTGCAACCGGAAAACTCCATCATTGCTACAGCGAAGCCTATTCCTGCTATTTCCACTTTTCAATCACTGCCCGGGTTCACACTTGCAGACAACGCGGGATTCGATGCTCTGTTCGAGGAGATGGTCACCTCCATTCCGATTAACAGGTATGTTGTTCCTTTCTAAAATGTCCTCTGCCTACTGACTTTCTTTGTAGGGAACAACCCCTTTTCGCTCAAAATTTAGGCTTCTATACTGGAAATCTGGATAAAGACTTCTTGGAGGCACTTCAACAACCATCGGAAGGTTGACCTTGTGAAGCATGACCACAACAGTCAGACGGCGGCCCATCGAAATCATGTTAATTCGTTTCTTCATCGCGGCTGAAAAAAGCAAAAAACAAACAGAACTCATCATAAGAAGGATCTGACGAAGAACATTCGGATGGAGAATATGAAGGACGGAACTTTGGGGACGGGAAATATACAGCGAAGAAGGAATCCGAGGCCCCTCGCCAGAATTTCACGCCAAATCCGAAACAATCGAAAGCCAACCTAGACCAGCTGATGCGGCTTCGATCCCCTTGGTATCCTTTTGCGGAGGATAGCTGGCACGAGCCAACCTCGACAACTGAACCGCGAGCAAATGCTCTTTGAAATACAGATCCAAACCACCGACCATGTGAATGCTGTGGTCCGCACCGTTCCCACCTTTCTTCTCTCCCCAGCACAGCCTAGGACCAACAATTTCATCTTCCATCTTCCCAGTCCTACTTCCACCCTTAGCCCACACACGCTTGGTCTCATACAAAGTCTCCCAAGCGATGCCAAAGCTACCAAACATCCCGCCCTCCTTCTTACCTTCTGCTGCCGCACTCTTCCAAACGAAATTGCGCCCTCCGTACTCAAATCGTCGCGGCGACCAATCCTTGCGCTGCATCTCTCCATCCGGAATCTCGATTATTGCGCCCATGTCGGGAATTGTCCGTGTCATCATCCGGAAAGTACCACCTTTGGTCTTCTGCAGTCTCACGCTCGTCGCCCCGATTTGGGGTAAGAATTCCCCAGCGCGTCGGAGGACCGTCTCGACGATGGGCGCTTCGTTACTCCAGACGAATTGCAGGGCGTATAGGACGTGTGTGTTGGACGCGTCTTTGACAAAAAACCCAATATGAGCGCATGCCCAGACTGACAAGCTCCGAGGAATGTGTAATGCGATAAGTGACCGTGGGCGCGTCGGGAGACAGGGTCAGCGAGAAGAAGGGGCGTTGGGAGGTGTCAGTATTGAGGAATGGTTGGATGTGGGCTGGAGCTGTGTTGGTATCCTTTGTAGATTGACTAGCATCATCCCCGCGAAATGTATTAAGATCCTTGCGGATCTGGCGGTTGGCAAGAATAAGTGACCTGGAGGAGTCGTGCGATGTTCCGGAATGTGTGTGGCTTACCTGCGTCAATGACCAGGTCTTTCCGTCCTCCTTTTCCACCTCCTCCATCGCATCCAAAATTGTCGGAGGCAATATTATACCGTCGAAACTGCCCTTGCTCTTTAGGCATTCGAGATAGGCTAGGCGTTCTCGATGGACTTGAACCTGTCTCTCAAACATTTTTCTGTTGATTTTGAGGACATTTCCTTTCTTGTATATTTTAGTTGCTTCGTCCAAAACAGTTATGGCGCTCTTGTAGACCGTGATGGCCTCATCGTAGTCACCCTTGCGTTCCAAAATGAAGGGCATGGCGGCCAGTTTATAGACCTTATTGTTGACATCGATCTTTCCTGCCATTCTGTTGGTAAGAATATATTTGATTGATATGAGAAATGGCTCTTATATCTGGTAGTTGCGATGGTTTCGCTCTTGAGAGGTTGTATTAGTGGACTTTTGCGGACATGGCGATCCTTTATGGTGAATCGAAGAAATCGGAGCTTTTCTTTGTAGTTTATGCCAAGGTAGAAATATGCCTTGCGAACGGGTTCCCATGCATAAAACTAGACCTATATAGGAGCTATGATCGTGCAGCCGTTGTTGCCAACGGCTGTACTCGAATCAGGTTGCAGCGTGGGAATCCTTCGGGAGATGGGAAATGATCACCTGCGGCATCAGCCACCATAATACCATGTCTCAAACACCTTATGCAATTTAGTTGAGATACGCATGGTTGGCTCATGAAGAGAAGGACACGAACTAATCGCTTAGCATTACTCCCTTTGAAGCTTGGCAATTAGGCTCAGCCAACCACCCTGCTGGCTTAGCGGGGATTTCGGGCACATGGCTATCAATAAAGCCACATTGAAAGTAACAATGCATGGTCCACGGGCTGTTTTCAAAGGGCTGTATTTGCAGAGATCCGGGTCAGATCGCAGGAGTATGAATTGCATCGGTCCGCGTGGAAATGGGGGTTGAGGGGGGCCATTTTGGCTGGCTATCAACTTGTATTTAAAAATGAAGGGGAAAAAGGGTCAACATTGACTTTCTGAGAAATCCGTGAAACTCGTGACAAAATAGGGGGAGGTTGAGGCTGAGGGCGGTCCCCTCCGCTAAGGGCTTAGCTTGGTGGAAATTTCCAGTCTTATTGCTGGAATTGACACTGACTGGTATATGTCCTAATTGGGCACATCTTGTGTTGCTTAGGATATTTCGGCGTCTTTTTCTGGCTGTCTTCAGAGCTCTGAAGAGGGAAATATTTTTGCGGAGATTTAGAGTACAAAAAGAGACTAAACCCTGGTTAAAATCCATAGGATATAAAGATAAAACCCGAGAGGGACTTATCCAGCATTTAAGCTGGGTTGGAACGGGGAGTTCAATAGATCCATTTTCTTGGGGATAAGATGCCGAGGGCTCGTCTGGCGTCTGGCTCGTCTACTACGGAGAGGGGGTCAAATGTCCCAATTAGGTATAGCGGTATACCTTTTGCAGGGACTCGGCCCATGCTAGTACCCGAATAGGAATAGAGAATATCCTATGATGAAGTAACCAATTATAGTATCCACGTGACCGCTACCTAATTTAGGGTCGATCGGTATATATCACGTGATTTAGTTATTTATTCGGCCGGTTCGGATATTCTGCCATTTCTCAGCGATGACATTTACCGCATTAGAAGTCTATGGATTTGAGACCCATAAAATACAGATCACGTGACAACCGAGGCCGCTTCGGTTCGCTCCGCCCCGCTCCGCAATAATTAGGTTAAATAGAGTCCGAGAGACAAGTAGCTGGTCATCATTTTCTAACGCATGTACCCTACGAGCAGCCGCCCCGAGCTCAAAGCGCTGTTTGTAAACATTCGAAAGCTCCATAGTATTTTGACGGAAATCAGTGACCAGTATTGTATGGATTCCGGAAAGGTAATAGTTATCATTTGAACTCTCTAAGTAACTAAATAGTATGAAATTGACAATTTTGTAGGACATGCTGCCAGAGAATGATGTGTACTTTAATGTGAGCTGTCTGATATTGATTGATATAGTGAGATATTCTGTGTAAATACCCATAAATCCACATGCAGATCCACCATATTTCTGCACTCCTCGTTCGCTCATCGCCGAGCTTCCTGTATTGATAAGGCTTGCTTGAGTAAAAATTTCAGCCAGCTACTCTCACTTTCCGTTTCCATTGGCATATTCCCTCAGCTGGTACGGAGTACAGCATATGTAGTGCGGAATAATAGACCCACAGTTCAGCTCAGCTATGTAGTTAGTTACCTAGTCCTGCAGTAGTTAGTTACTTGGTTCTTTCAAACTATGCCGTAAAGAGTAATCCAACAAGTATCGAGGGCTGCTCTTTGTTTAGTAACTTGAATGGGCGATTAATAACTAGTACAGGCCAGGGTAGACTTGTACTCGATACGGCGTCGGCTGAAAATTCTGCCCACGTTGATCGATCCATTAACTGCTGAATATCATTACCTGATAGTACTAGGCAAAAGTGAAAAACAAGCCAAAAATGGTAAAGAAATGGAAGACGAAGACCATGTCGAGTATGCGGTGCGCATCAAGGGCTCACCGCGTTTGATGCACGATGTGTAATACTTTTATCGAATCTCGGCGCATGTTTTTATAGGATTTTTCTTGTACTACACTTCTCCTTTTCCATCCTTCTTCTTCCATAATTTTGGATAACCGACATGGCAAACAAACGACTGGATCCAACTATCTTGGACCTTCAGACCTCACTCGAGAGCGACACCGAGCTACATGAACTATGTTGTTCTATGATTACCGAAGCAACCTCAGGAAGAGCTGTGACGGCGAAAGGGTCCTTTGCTATAAGCAGTGTTCAGACCCTTATGGAGCAACTCGACTTCGCGATGTCACACGCCCCAGAATGGCCGCGAGCCACCGATGATCCTCATAGTTTGGCCGGACTTCCTTTCAACCAAACGCTCCTGAACCTGATGGAAACACCTAGCGGGAGAGCCTTATTCAAACGCACGGAGGTGAACCAACACCTGAAGGCTATTCTCAAAAAATGGGCAGAGTTCCTAGAGACAAGGGATTCGTTGTACGTTCTCAACGGAAGAAACGGATGGCTGTCACGCGAGGCGATTGCAAAGCTCGAGGATATGGCCAATCGAGCAACTGGGCACCATCGAAGCTTTACTGAGCTATATGAATGTCCAAGCGAGAGTGATCCTGATACACTTGGCTTTCAATCTTGGGACGCATTCTTTTCCCGACGGTTCAAGCCAGACGTCAGGCCATTGCCTTGTCCAAGATCTCTCAATGCGCTGCCAGGGACGCCAATTTTGAACTCCTGTGAATCAAAGCCGTGGCAAATATCTCGTAACTGCTCGGTCGATGATGAGTTCAGTCTTAAAGGCCAGTTGTACTCCCTGCGTGATATGCTGGGCAATGATCCACTCACGGACCACTTCCATAATGGCACTGTATATCAGGGATATTTGTCAGCCTTGAGCTACCATGGCTGGCATTCCCCTGTCTCCGGGACGATTATACGTGTACGTTACATCGATGGTAGCTACTTTTCGCAGCTCCCTATGTCTGATCCATTAGCGATGGAAAAGTCGCAATGCTACCTTGCAAATGTCGCGACGCGTGCAGTCGTTATTATAGAGACACCAGAACCTTCCATAGGGCTTGCTTGCTTTATTGCAGTTGGTATGGGTGAAGTTTCGTCATGCGTTGCTACTGTTCGTGAGGGGGATCATGTTGAAGCAGGCGATGACATCGGGGGTTTCCATTACGGAGGTTCAACCCACTGCCTTGTGTTCAGCGGGAAAACACATGTTGAATTTGAAGAACATGTGGGGGATGAAGGAGGGAGCACAACTTGCAATGTTCCAGTTAGGGGTATGCTAGCCCGCTGTTTTCCCAAGCCCATAGAGGCTATCGGCAAGTGAATTGTATCTGGTCTGAAATAACCCCGTCCTATCTCGAAGGCCTTATGACCTTCTCTTGTACTTGAATATGATGAGTCTTCTGATTTTCCTTTAAAAGTACAGAAATTCCCATAGTATTGGAATACCTCACATTACAAGTAACAGCATCAACAACTTTTTGATACTGCAGTACTTGCCAATACCTAACTAGCCCAGCTGAACTGTGGGTCTGTGCTTCCGCACTATGTTGTACAACATATATATCTACTGAGGGAAAAATGAGTATGGAAAAGGAAATGGGAAGTGGTTGGCGGAAAACCTCCATTCCCAGCTAACCCCCTCCGTAAGAAGTCTGTCAATGTGGCTCCGCCAAGAAGAGGCTAACATTTGCTAGCTCAGTGTATTGCATATACCATCTACACCAGTTTGCAAGTTGTTTGGTAGGGAAAACCTGACAACCTGACAGCTCGCTAGGCCGTAATTTATTTTTGCTACCTTCTATTAGTAAATATAACCTACTACTACCCCCCTACTATAACCTACTAGGATCAACTCGTAAATTACGACCTGACGACCTGACAACCTGACGACTACTGCACCGTGGCCACCCTACAACACCATGGTAAATGCGATAAATTACTTGATATCTCAACGACGGTGGTCTATATAAAATTTACTTATAGCTTAATGATTTTTAGATGATATGTATCATCTCTGCGGAATTTTAGGAGCATATACGACATGGTGGTCGATGAGATATAAGGTTGTAAGAATATCATGGTGTTTTGGGGTGGCCACTCGGTGGTGAAATACGTTATTCAGCCGTTGATACCATGAATCAGGCATGGAGTGTATGCTGAATGCACAGGATGGGGTGCTACTCTCCCATGTCTTACAAAATTCGAGAGATGCCTTGTTCTTTGAGGATTTTATTGAAGAACTTCTTCACACTACGAAGACGTATAGGGGCCTGGGTTCAAAACTAATAAAGATCCTACGGAGTTGCGATTCAGAGATAGAGAAACAACACGGTAGGATTTGTCTCAGAGCAGAAGGACGGAAAGAGAAGAGAGGAAAAGAGGGAGAGAGAAGGTAACTACTAGCGGGTTAACCTTTAGAACGCACCCTAAAGGGGTAGCTCGTGACAAGCCTCGCTAGATAGTTAACCTCTCCTAACTACAACGGGGGTTACCGTGACCAATATTAAGTGGGGTACTCTATCTTGGCGCCACTCCTACCCGTCAACTGGGTGCTCATTATCCAAAATGGCTCTAGACTGTCCTGTCCAGCCTTGAACCTTCCAAGCTTAGCCTGCTTACGGCTTACTGCTTATGACCCTGAAACCTTGGAATAATTTGCTGATTATATGAAGGCGATATCACCCTATCTCTCAAATTTATGCTCTGATCTTTCTTTTCACATACAGTTCCGATTTCTATCGCTCGTTTGACTACCTTTACATTCGTTAATTATCTTAATACAACATGCGTATCCAATCTCTCGCTCTCTTGGCCGGTGCCACTACCGCCATCGCGGCCGAAACAGTCACTCTTTTCCTCCCTGGATTCGACGAGCAAAGAATTGAGGCCAAGGTCATTGGAACTGTAGGTGAAATCACCCCTCTATTAATTTAGCACAGAAAACTAATTGATATTGTTCTAGAGCCGCTCCATGACCAAATATTTTATCAAGTGCGCTGCCGACGTTGAGTCCGACGAGTGCGGCATTCCACCATCTGGCATAACCGTGGCCCAAGGCTCTTCAACTGTCAACCTGCTGTACGCCATGGATGATATGTGAGTTTCCAGCCCTACCAGGGATCCACCTATCCCCCCCACAGTCATAGCTGATCCTTTCCCAAAACAGCACCATGGCCGAGAGCTGCAAGTATGATGCTACAAGCGCGAGGTGCAACGCAACCTTCGAAAAGCACGGCACGACCTCCAGCTGGAACTCGGCCGTTGCTATCTCTGAAATTCCCGGTGGTGCATTGATGCCTGTGACTATCACCGCAACTGGAACTGATAGCACTTCCGCCACCACCGGTGCCTCGGTCTCAGCTTCTACTGCCGCTTCGACTAGCGGTGCCACTGGTACTAGCACTGCTGGTGGCTCCTCGGATAGCAGCAGTGCTGCTGCCACCAGCCAGACCGAGTCTGGTAATGCTGCTATGCCCATGATTACTGGAAACGCGCGCTGGGTTGCCGGTGGTGCTGCAGCTGCACTGGCCCTTGTCGCTCTGTGACCATCGGGACACTTTTTGAAATGAGTGTGGATACCAATAGTCGTAGCTCGGATAACGCCTCTCTGCCTCGTTGTATTTTTCTCATGTATACTATGCAATATACGAAGCGCGATAATTTCTTCTTTACTTCAGCCCTACGGATCTAGCTTGAATCCATATTTTTGGTGGTCGAATATGTACTTCGTATTTACACCACACAACGTGTGACCTTGGAACATATGTAGTGAGCGCTATCTAACCCTTTTCTCACATTCCTTCAGATTCGTGTCAGATAAGTTAAGACTTGCGGTGCATGACACCAGCCGCAGCCTATAGAATAGTTAGCACATGTCCACAATATGTTTAACCACAAAACCCGCTTACCTGGTGGCTAGGGAAGACTAGGGTATCGGCGATCACAACATTCTCACGACGACCAGCTGTAAAGACAACAACCTCGGCAATGTCATCACCGGTCAATGGCTCGACGCCCCTGCGAATGGTTAATTATAATGTGTTTTCCGGCTTTTTAGCACGACTTACTTGTAGACAGCATCAGCCTTGGCCTTGTCTCCACCAAATCGCACAACAGAGAACTCCTAATCATATGTATTAGCTTCACACAAAAGACGACCATAATTATATGTGATGACCAGGACCATACCGTCTCAACTTGACCAGGGTCGATTTCAATAATACGAATTCTCGTGGCGATGAGCTCCTTTCTCAATGCGTCAGTGAAGGAGCGGACAGCCGCCTTGGTGGCACAGTAGATGCTGCCGCCAGAGTAAGGCTCGCGACCGGCGATACTGCCAATGTTGATAATATCACCACGGCCACCATCAGAGCGCTTCTTGAAGATGGGCAGGATGGCCTGGGTCATGTTAATGAGACCGGTGACGTTGGTGTCAAACATGACCTTGATATCCTCGGCAGCGATTTCAGGTGCCTGGGCGACACCCTTGACCAAGCCACTACACCGTGTATGTTAGTATCAACCATGCATATCAAGCAGTTTAGCTTGATGTTCATGACTCACGCATTGTTAACAAGAACATCGATCTCCCTGAACTCCTCTGGTAGGGAGGAAACGAAGTTGTTGACTTCCTCTGGGTTGCTGACATCTAGCTTAACGGGAAGCACTTGGACACCATCGCCAACCTCCTGTGTTATCTCCGCCGCGACCTCCTTCAATGTGTCGATCCGGCGCGCGGTGAGGATCAACTTCAGGTTCTTGGGCGATGTGCGAGCGAACTCCTTGGCAGTGCTCTTTCCAATACCAGATGAGGCACCGGTAACGACGATAGTCTTACCTTCGAGGCGCTTTGCCACTGCGGAAGCCATGGTGCGTCGGATAGAAGTTCGTAGGGCTGTGAGAGGGACGGAGTTTGCGGAGAGAGCTGGGGATATAAAGGGGTGGGAGAGTCGCTGAAAGTGTCCAATTGATCTGATGCAAGCTCTTAAATGGATCATGGATCAAAGTCTCTGTTTTTCAAATAGAAATGAAACGGATAAGCCAAAATAAATAGAACGATCACGAACCAGTGCGGGGACTCTGGCGTCATCTTGTGTTATGTAATCACATACAACGCCCGCGGGCGGCCCCCACGGCGAGAAGGCCGATTCCTTATCTCGATTTGGTTAGTAATCCTGCCAAGCTAACACATTCTTTGTGTTGATTGGTTCTACGACCGATGAATCGAACCAACTATGACAAGAGGAGTAATTTTACCCCCTTTGCAGAACATCGGTAAGGTCCACTGTGCCGCATTCCCGCATATGTACGTACATGTAGGTATCTATGGATACAACCCCATAACTAATTAGTTATTATGTAGTAAAGTCTGGTTTGGTTTCATTAACTATATACCTTGGAAGACAAGATACTAATCCTAAAGTGCACATAAAAGCGCAACACTTTTGCTTAGGTGCTGTATATAGCTGGGTAATTGGGTAATTGGACAGGGAGAAAGAAGAAAAGAAAAAGTACCTATACATACCCACTTGGTCAGTTTCAATGACTTAAGGCTCATCGCCGTCCATGTTGATAGGATTAGCTATTGGACATTATAACTCATGGCATATACGTAGGAAGGAATACTAGCTGGGTGAGTACCACCCTACCTAGGTTGATCCGTTTCATCTACTACACTTATCTCGTTTAGGACACAACATAGTCTTAATCTCAATTTTCTTGACCATTGCAACAGTTAGGGAGAATACAGGAAGATGCGTAAATGAAGTCACAGTTACTCGAAACTATTAAGTATGCCTCAAGCAAGAGAATATGGTGATTTTCAAGGTCTCCTTTGCATATCTGTATCATATATTCCGAACTAATCCTAGCAATAGACCCATTGAGCTAGACATACGTTATAACATAACTATTTATTTTTCCTTCAGCTAGTTGAAGAGTTAAGGAAATCGATGTTATGCTCATCTTATACTTATGTACCTTTTGTATTGTTGTGCCATACAAAGGATACCTAATTCTGGCAATTCACTATCTGCTGGACCTCATCAAAACAGCGAGGGTATATTCGGCGCTTGCCACGATTATTTCGAGGTATTCCACATAATGGATCTTGTCTCTGAATGCATGTAATTAAATTCTTTGTATACGATTAAGACTGACCAAATGAGAGACAAAGGTTCTTGTCTCGTTGGAATTGGTCAAAGAGATAATTTCTCTTTGAGGGAAAATGCCCTAAATGGGATGGTAATCTTTAACTTGACAAAGAGCTAAGTGCACCATTATTATCAATCACACAAGACTCGTTGTAGGCGGACAAAGATCGAATGAATGCCATTGTCTATATTTCTTTAGAGGACATCGATTAATATTTTTAAAGATCACGCACTGCCCCCGATCCATCTAATAAATAGCGTTGGTTATACCCATCCAGCAGTATATAGCAATCATAACCTCGGCACCTTCCCTCGAGTTATTGTATGATATTTTTGTTCGGACAGAAAGAGCAAAGGAGCGCGTTCCTTCTATATCCAGCACAACCCAAACACCACGGTAACATACCACCTCTGTTCTAGATACGATCTTGTTTACCTTCTGACTTCTTCTTATACACATCTCAACTACGAGTACTCGCACACAACCATCTATCTTGACATTTGCAACGAAACTATCAGATATTCCAATATATTATTCAAGATGGCTTCCCCAAGTAAGGTTTGTAATATGGCTCCTCTGAATATAGTGTCAAAGTGTGATAGCAACTTACAGGACTTCTCTTCAACTCAGACTGCCTCTTTGGATGAACTCCTTGAGCGTTGTAACTTCGACTGGGCAGAGGATGTTGAAGACGCCGTAACCGGAGATTTGCCCAATGTCACTGTACCAACCCCTGTTGATTACTTGTCAAAGGTAAACCTCTACGACGAGATATATCCAATTCCTCGCCATCTCACATATTCGAAGTACAAACCATCGCTTCCAACTGTCTATGAACAGATCTCGCACCAGCTATCTGGTTTGGTCAATAGCACCCCAGACATAACTTCCAGCCCTTCGACGAGAACGTCGAAACAGTCCTACAATGATACTACCGACCCCTCAACATACGAGACGCCCCTCACTGATAGCGAGCTAGGGCAGGAACTGTTCACAGCCAACAGCGAGTCCGATGCCAATTGGATTGCGCAACAATCTATTGACAATATATTTGAGGACCGTCAAGCCTGTATGGATGCCGATCAAAGTATTCATCACTTCAATTGGATGGGGCTACGAGTTTACACCCACAGCTCGACCTCCCCGTCTGACTCTCTGGCTATTATCCTCGCAAAACCCAAAAACCCACAAGGGGGTGATATGTGGAGAGTCCATTCAGTTCTGAACCGAGCCGGCTGTTACATTGACCCGGTACTTGTGTTTCTGGATGACATTGACGAAAGTTTGTTCGAACTCCGGGGCTCCGAGCTCGTACGTGCATCTACTGGCCGTGTCTTCAAATTCTATTCTCCACACGGGAGATGGATGGAGGATTCAGCGGATGGGAGCGATGAAACTACGACGGATCTTGGTAACATCCAGACATACGAAGCAGCAAGTTTGGCTGTTGGAAATGGTTTCGTTGAATCGAGTGCCATTCGCTCAGTATCAGATTGGATCCACTGCCATGATGAAGCCTCTGACACCTCAGGAGGTTTATCTCAGCTTCCCCGAAAGAGTACCTGGGAGCGAAAACCTTCACCGCTGCGACAATGCGAATCGATTTTGGACGAAGAAAGCCCAGAGGCATCAATCCCGCAGGGCGTCAAACGTGCGAAGAGACCACCTCGCAAGATCACAACTTGTGTGGCCGGAGCACCCCGTGAGGAGTATTTCTCCTTCCCGACTCCTACCTTTGGTCGCCCTGGCATAATCAAAAAGGCATTTATAAAGGCGCAGCAGGGTTTGAAATCGGTTCTAAGATCAATTAAGCACACTCTACGTTAGGTATTTGCCTCCCTTTTCCCCAGTCAGATTATTTTTCCTTTGTTCTCAGTTTCGCTTCATGGGACCTTGAACTTGAACTCACATTTAATAGGTTTCACGTTGCTCTTTTATTGCCGCCTGTGTTGGATGATGTACCTATGCACTCTTCGGTTGTCCATAGAATATCGAGAATGAGAGCATTAGATATGACTTCGTGTTAATCCATGTTCCACGATACGAGGCGCAAGGCCTTATCCTCGTGATCGGAAACCGCGTTTATCATCGCTTTGTCGCTGTAGAACACATCACGGGAAAGACGCTGAATACCGCGCATCATCCGTCGTTGATGGATCGGATTAAGCTCACATCTTGGATTTGTTCAAGACCAGTCCCTATTTGGCGGGAATGTTTTCGATTTTCTGGTCTTCTTTTGGAACATCTGTATGGCTGACATGGATATTTCAGACTGCCTAGGTATTGTTGAAAATTTTGAAAAAGATCGAGGTGCCTGTTGTCTTGCCTTTCTTCCCCTCCTTTCTATCAGAGGCTTGCCTTTGTGGACATTCATTTCTCGATGAATGCTCAAGCCCATCATTCGTTCACTTTATTTTCCTTTGTACAAGTTGTCAGTGAATGGCCATTGTGTCTGTGTGTGATACCCGTGTGATACCCCTGTTAAAATATATGCATCGCTATCAAATGAGTTAACGTCATTTCCTTCAAATTCAAGTAGACAAATAGAGTGCGTACATGTTTCAAAGTTCAAGTCATATAAATAAGGTAAGTAGCTGGGTATATTCAAATACGTATGTACTTGACGGGAGACCTGGGCTGAGCAGGAACGTCACCAGTAGCATGGCGGTTCAAAAGATATATGATATAATTCGGTGGGCTCGATGCGGACTTCAGTCATGAGTCACCGTTTCCAAATTGCACGTAAGAACCCATCCAACTAGCTCAGTTCGACCAGAGGATGATTATTCTGATACCTTGACTGAGAAGTTTAAACTGGTGATGGTACCTCGACCGGCCCTAAGGGTCCAAAGAGGTATGGGAAATTAACCGAGTCTAGTACCTTGACTGCCTGCAAGGTCGATGGAACATCACTCATTGAGCGCTTGTCCCACTAGTAGAGGACGCATAGGGGCTCTGTGTGAACGCTCATAGTCTACAGACGCGCGGTCGGTGTTCTCAATTCGTTTATAACGTTCCTGCTGTCCCCGAATGGGACAACGTTAAGCCATCACCCGGTTTATATACCATCTTATAAGCGCTACCACGATTAGTCTCCTATCTTCTTTCAAAAACAGGTAGGTCGGTTTAGGAAGACGTACACTCTTGACAGTCATCAAAAGCTGTGAAACTTCACAGCCAAGTCGATTTCTAAAGGAAAGCAATCGTTGAGGTTCATGTGTCAATATATCCCAACGGTCTTTATCCGCTGGGTGTAGTATCGTATATAAGAGTGTAATGGAATAAGCTAAGAGAAAATATTGTGTATGCATTGGAAAGGCGGGGGCGGATATGGAACGGTGGAGAGGGGAAAGAGGGACAAAGAGGGAGAGAGCTAGCTGTCTATATATATAGATCCTGACGTGGGTGCCTTAGGCCACTAATCTGTATCTCAAAGGTGATTTCAGTGAATGACATGTGACATACATAATATTATGGTGCATGCATTATCGACCATTGCATAGGCCCAGAATCAATTTATAAGATCCCTATGAAAACAACAAAATACCGAAAACTTGTATGAAGGAATTTGGAGATCTTGGTCCCGAGCCCAAGATTGACTACAAGGAAATCAACGATTTTATAATGGTGGGCTACGACGGCTAGATCTAGGCTGACAGAATGGTAGATTCGCTGATAGTAAACTATCGCCATACGAACGACATTCAGCAGGCGAGTCAGATATCTGCTAATTACTCTCGAAAGCTATTCCGCTGAACCTTCGAATAGATCTGTGTCCGCATCTGGGGCACATTTAGATCAGACATTGTATCATACATTATCCTATATCTCGGATACAAATTTGAGGGAAGTGAAAACGACTTTTATCAAACAAAAAGCTTTCGAAGGGATTCTCAAGCAGTAGCCCAAGCTTTCTTGATCAGATCGCCCATGATCCCAGGTCGGGTAGCCAAGGGTGCAGGAATACTCTTGCAGTCAGACCAAGCCTTCCTGGTCACAATTTCCATGATTCCAACGGGCAGAGAAATGGATGTGTGTGCCATTCTTTTTGGGGCGACCCCGGCCTTTTGGATAATGGTACTCATGAGATCAAGTGACACAAAAGAGTAAGTGAAAAGCTGGTCTAGGGCCAGCTGCTCGGATGCCTTGATCTTGAGCTTTGAAGGCGATGGCTTCCAGGGCATTTTCCGAGGGGATCGATTGTGCTTCTTAGTTGCATCAACCAGTTGATCTTGCCAATGTATCCACTCGTTTCGAGAAATACTGGGTCCATTTTCCAAAATACCATTGCCAATTGCAAAGTCTCCATCGGTGACTGAACGTACTTCTGGTGTCCCAGAAACATCTGGAACGATCATCTGCCGCATTGCGAAGTCAACATTCATCCAGTTCCCATGAAGGGAATAGTGATTGTAGGTGTCGTCATTGCACCCCTCAATCAGTGCAGACCCATACATTTACAGAACTCCTTCACTTCCCCTGTTAACTCTCAAAATGACAGGATCAACTTTATGAATAGCGCGGTTCATAATGGAACCTACACGGAGTTGATCCCTACCTTCCTTGTGGTACCTTTGACTCAGCCTGTATAAATGCTAGGGAACCTGCCGTGGGGGTTGTGGATGGTCCATACACTGGCCATCCACACCGGTTCCAATGATGGATGTCAGGATCTTCCCTACCAATCAAGGTCCGGTACTCGTACTCGTCGATGCACTGATTGGACGACGTAATGGTATTCATATCAAGGCGATTGTCCATGGCGAGGGTAGTCCCAACATTGTTCGCTAAGTTGGATGTCTCGGGATGTGAGAGTTGAGCATAGGATCGCCCTGTATGGTGTGATAACAGTCAGCTTTTTAAGGTCTCAAAGAGATAGGGGAGCTAGTAGTGGAAATAAATACCAATTCAACGGCTGTAGCAGGGCCGTTGGTTGTGGGAAGCTCGTTTTGGACAGCCAGGTCTTCGGTGTCCATGGCGATGTCGTTTGTAGCATCATCCGGCCAGTGGTCATTTTCATTTAGAAGAGGTTGGGTAGACTTGTCGTTATATAGTGAAGAAACTATTAGTCTCTGAGGTCAGACACGGATATGAGAGATGAAGATGGAGATATACCAGGTTGGTAGCGGTGGTGGGGCTGGTAGCCAGGTCTTCGGTGTTGACGGTGAGGTCATTCTCTGAATCCTTTGAATAGTCGTAATGAAGAGGTGTTTGAGTATTTTCGTCGTCCTATAGTGTATCTATCATTAGTCTCATACGGTCTGAAAGAGCTAGACGAACTGGAAGTGATGATGAATACCAGGTTTCTTGCGGTGGTGGGGCTGGTAGGAGTGGCAGCCAAGGTGATATCGTTATCAACATCCTTCGAGTTGTCGTAGAAAAACAGGTGACTGGGAACCCTCATCGTCCTATAGTGTATACATCGTTAGTGTCTAATGCAAAAAAGATAGGCGAGCTGTGGGGATGTTTGTTTGTGGTAGTAGGGTCGGTGGCTATCCATGTGTCCGGTATCCGTAATGTGGATTTGTGTGTCCATAACAAAAGCCTATAGCACTTACTAGGAGCCTTGGACCGACCAACTAAACAAAATCACTTATAGACTTCGCAACAGTTCAACGTTACGAATTCTCAAAATAGTCGGAATTAGATGGAAATTTTACCCATGGTCCTGACTTTTATCTTTGCCGTGAAAGCCAAATCCCATATCTCCCATGCACGATATCCCATCCACGCATACATGTTTGCTACTGACTCAGGCCCTTTGTTTGTTATTTGCTATTTGTTAGCTTGCTTGCAACAATTGAGCAATGTTTAGATGGTTTTAGCAGGGTACATAACCCCCTACATTTCTAGTTTAGTCAATGAATGATTCTTCCTCTGCTTTCTCCCCATATAGTAGTAATCTACTTCAATAGGTTGCTCAACACCATCCATGGATATATCCAAATTGTTCTACGTTAGGTATTTACTAGCACTGGGTTGGGGGTTCCAGTCTATAGTACAAAATGACTAACCAATACATCTTTCAATCCAGGATTTTCATTCCTCCAGGGCTATCTAATTATGTTTATTTAATACTTTAAATTCTCCTTTATATATATTGATCTTGATTCAACATAGACGACTGAACACCTGACTAATAGGTGAAGTATTGGCTATATGTATATTATACGACCATTACTCGCAACCCCGTGTTCCCGCTAGACTTGGTGTGCCCAAGCATACGTTTACCAACATACGGTGGTTATAGATTAGATGGCATACTTCAGATTAATGTTTCTCTGGAGGCAAGAGCGTCCTCGAGGCCCTTCCTGTTTGGGGTTGTTTACTTCGATATACAAACTGTCCACAGCAATTGTCTCTATTTACTTCTTCCATCATACATACCCTTCACCATTTCATGAAAGATCTATCTCCATCTACCATCTCACTAAGGATCCATTTTGATCTATTATCCCACGTATTCCATCATTATTTGATTCATCGGTTACCCTAGTTTGATGGGGGAGACTATTATGGTACTTCGCCCCTCTTTCTTTTGAGTTGGTCTCTTCGTTCAAAAGACCAGTTACTAACATTGACTATACTATATAGGCTGACCAATACGCACACGTTGTGTGCGGAAGTTTCGATTGGTGGGAGGATGTGGAAAACGACATCGCTATGAAGACTAAAGCTGTCGCGCCTATCCCTATCACAGCTCCTAAGCTGGTATAAATCCCCACTTCTAACTCAAACACCTACTTAAGACGCTGTATACTCACAGTTGCTGCTATATTTAGGAGAATGAATATGCGTGTCTTCGTGTGCGCCAGCAGTTTGACTGGTGGGAGGACGTCGAAGATGACATTACCAAGAAGACCGAAGCCCTCGCTGTCGACACTAAGATCCGCAGTACGGACACCGAGAACCCGGCTTCAGCTTGCACTAGGCCTGCCACTTCCAGAAAACCGGTATCTCCCCCACTTCCATCTTGCGTAGTTGGGACTTAAACTCTTTCGAGACTAACAATAGCCAGGCTCCCGCCGATCTGCTGAAGCCATGCTCATTTAACTGGGCTGACGATGCTGAGGAGGAATTTGACAACCTAAACTCCATAACCCAACCGAATAATCATTGTACCACCGTTCACCCTCTTACTCGGGCCCTTGCCCAGGCAATTGCTGAGGCTAATGGCGACGAGGCTATGGAAATCTTCTCTTATCAGAAAACAGCTGTGTTTAAGCCTTCGCTCTCGGCTATCGAAGAGGAATGCGCAAATTCCCGCACATGCTCAGCTTACAGCTTGGAGGAGTCGATTGGAAGAACTGAAATCTCTGAGAGAGTCTTACATGTCCATTATACCGCCCATCCTAACACTCTGGCCATCGCCCAAGCCATTTCTGAGTTTGACGAAGAGGGTATAATGACCACTTTCCGTTGCCAAAGAATACCCTTGTTTCAGCCCTCTCTTCCATCAATTGAGGAGGAAGGGTGTCATACACCCTCTCAACCCTCACCAGATCGCAGCTCGGTAGACGTGCTTGGAAAAGCTGATAACTCAGAGATTGTCTTCAGATCTTCTCAAAGACTACGAAGAACGACCAACACTCGGGACTTGAGGGGTTACACAACCAGGAAGAGCACGGTCATCCCACTGGCACAATATAACCTGCCTACGACAAAATTGAGCACACCTAAAGCTAGTTCACCCAGCAGTCTCATCGCCCCTGACTACGAATTCTCTTACGGTTATACCGAGTTCCCCCGGCTACCTCGTCAGAGGAAGAGAGATGTGTTGAAAAGAATCGTCAAGCAGGTCTTCAGGAAACTCCACAACCTACAGGCTACGAATTGAACATACGTTGGACAAAGCCTTTGGGTCCTGGCTGATTTCTATCATTTTTTATTTGTCTGGGCTTCACGTCGATGTCAGAGTTTCAGGGAATTAAGTGTTTTACTTCTTACATTTAAGGGCGGGATTTCTTCACTTGACCATCAGCCAGTTATTGGGCGATCCCGGTTGATTTTCACTTCGAATTTAAATTTGTTTTACTTCATTGGCAAGAGATTCATAATTCGTAGCGCTTGCATCATACTGTGCAGAGAGGATTGAAACCTTTGAAGTGAAAGCATAGTCTAAAGTAAAGCCCTTTTTACAGGACGTATCTAAACCCTTTGTTGTCGATCTCCGTTTGGTCCTTGGGGAATATAAGTTAGCTTATATCAAGGCTTCATGAGACTCAAAACTCACCAGCATGCCATTTTCGACACCTTCTGCCTCAACCTCCTGGCCATCGCTTACTTCGCGGTTTCGACGCTTATTCTCGAGGTACATATAGATATACAAAGCGACAATGCAGGCCAGCTTTACTGCATAGCCAGCAAGCATCCTATAGAAATTGTCAGTCAATTGAAAGGTTTATATAGAGACAAATAGCAACATACGCAATATAAGCACTGTTATACCCAGGGGCCTCGCTGGACTTGAAAGTCTGAGGTCCAATGATATTTCCCACACAGTATCCAGTGAACAGCAGGGCACCGGTGACTTGCTTTTTGGTATATCCGGCAATGTTGGAGCTAACAATTGTGAGACTCATGCTGAATCCCAAACCCTGGAAATAGCATAGCCAGAGTGCAACAAGGCGGCCCCATTTATTGGTGTCCGGTAATCCGACCAGAAGACCCGATCCAATAATACAGACCGTACAAGCAAAGATCATGCATGCAAACCGTGAATGGAACTTGCCATCAAACTTTGTTGCGATATAACCTCCCAGAAGAAGAGTGATAAACTGGACAGCACCGCCGGGGATTTGCAGATATTGAGTTCCAAGCGTATCAAATCCGAAAGTGCCGACGATGATGGAAGTAAACTGTTCTGGTCTATTAGCGTCACTCACATCTAATCAATAATCACAGGGAGACATACACTGGTTAATGCTGAGTTCGGGACTTGTGCACCGATAGCCATGACGAACAAAAGCCAGGTCTTCGGATCTTCAGCCGCTTGTCGAACCTGATACCATTTGAACTGACTGCTCTTGACACCTTGTCGATTGACGGCGACACGCTCAACAGCTATCGCTCACTCACGCTCGCTGAGGAATTTTGCAGTTGACGGAAGATCTGGGAGAAAGATCAGGGCAAGGACGCCTACCGCGATGGAGAAGGCTCCAAAAATAAGGAAGACGTACATCCATCGTGGAAGTCCAGTGGTGATATGTCCGACCGCATAGCCAATAAGACTATATGCAATTAGTTTCCGGGTTTTATTTCCAATATATTTGGGTATTTGCTCGTCGCTTACCCTCCGAACATTGTCGCGATACCATTAGTGCAGTACCATGCCTCTAACCGCAGGGGTTGTTCTTCAGATGTGTACCACATGCCGGTCATGAGAACAAACCCAGGAGTTACAACTGCTTCGACCATTCCTAAAAGGAAGCGATTGATTGCGATTCCAGCAAAGTTGTAGCATGCAGGTGTCGTCATGAGCAAACCACCCCATACTATTCCTCTTAGCATCGTTCCAATATTGAATCCACCTTCCGAGTGCCCATAGGGTATCTCTTACCTAACGTGGTAACTGCAAGGAATTTGCCGACGGGCAGCTTTTGCAATGCCAACCCTGCAGGCCATTGCGCAATGAGATATCCGAAATAGAAAATGGAGCCTGATCGGATTAGTGCGTTACATTATAGGTTCTCACAATCGAAAGCTTACTGAGCCATGAATATTGTTGCCCCTTTAAGTGTGTCCCTTGCTTTAAACCGTAGACAGAGGCAAAGTTGATGCTGTTCTTGTCCAGATACTGCATGGGATTAATACTTGGAATTCAACGAGCGAGGCACACGATATTCTCACCTGCAGCATGTAAATTAAGAACAGTAGGGGAATAAGGCGTATATCGATTTTGCGCAGAACCCTTTTGGCTTCTTCTGCTGTGTATTCGAGGCCTTGGTGCTGTTTATAGAACTCATAGTTCTCATCCCGCTCCGATGAAATGGTTGATGAGACAGGAGGCGATTCCGTTACTTCAACGTCCTTTTTCGAGGCCATTCTGTTGATTTTAGTCGGTCTCTCAGGCTCAGTGGAAGAAAGACGAATGCAAAGACAGGAAGTGGCAGAGCTTTATAAACCACACGCTTAACTGGCGGCACACTCTAGGTGGATAATTGCATAATAATAATAGAAACCACATCCCGCGCAACCTAGCGGGGAAGGTTATATGGACAAAGTGGAGATATAAGATTCAGGCTAAGCTCCCAGGGGGCTATTTCTACAAAGTGATAGAATGCTTGGTTCTGACGGGCGTGCAAGTGAAATCCGAAATATCGATGGGTACTTTGATTGGCAAGTTGTGTTTCGAGTAGGCAGCTTAACGTGCACTGCTCTCCATGGTATATTCTATCCAAACACATGGTACCTTGTTCCTAGCATGAGTGACATACCTAGATCTTTGGGTGGGGTCATCTGTGAATCACGACATCATTGCCGCAATTGCGCGTTTCGCAGACCATATGAGCAACTTTTATCTAGAATCCCCTCACAATTGGCTTGATGCTCGGTAACTTGCTCGGTAATTTGTCGTGTCCGTTGAAGAAACTGAAAAGAAAACCTTGCAATCTTCTTCTTGTTCTCCACGGAACAAGACCGAGACTTCCACCATCCAAAGCATATATATACATTTGGCTTGGCACGTGCCCGACCCGCTGGGTATGTACTTCCTCAAAACTTCGAGTTAACATTGAACTGCTGTATATTAAGTGGCCTAATATTCCGTGAGGCACCCGGGAATTCCTGGGGTTCTATTAGGCGACTTAGCTCCTAAGCATCTCGGACGTTAAGATAAACAACAAACGGATTCCGTGGAACTTTGAACCTTGAACTTCCAAGGTTGGAAACCCCGCCTTGGGGCTTGCTTATGTAATCGCCACTGGTATTCGGTAAGCGAGCTGCGCAGCCCAAAACACATAGTGAAAGCCATACTATATTTCAACAACCAACGTTTTTATTTAATTTCATTACTTGCCGATAGCAATCGATAAGCATTGTTTGATAATACATATGAATTTCGAATACTTCGAAAACTTGCATTGTTATAGTATCGAAAAATACATCGCTGAACTCCAGAAATGTATATATCTCAGTCACAAATTTATCGCTTTTACTATGTGGTTTGGGCTGCGCAGCTCACTTACAATACGTTATATATTTCAGCTTGTAGTAGCTAGATGTTATTGTTAAAGCAAATGCTCAAGACACAGCAAGGAAACTATATTTGATTACTAGCTAACAGTACGCGACTCCCTCTAAAATGTAAAAAGCCATTAGCAGTGGGATTTCTAAACAAGCGGGTGTTATCATGATGGCTGTGAGCTTTCGCTATAGGCCGAGAATCTTGTGTAAAATCTGTTAAATTAGTACAAGAATTTTACAAGACATAAATGATACAAGAAACATGTAAATGGAGACCAACCATGAACGTCCCGGGGGCTTCAGTGGGATTAATCATATTGAAACAGTTGGAAGTGAATTAGACATTCATGTTTGGACCTTCTATGCTTCAATCTATTGGGAGTAGTAATATAGTCTTCTAGCGCTAAGCGTGCCTTAAAAGGATCCAATCATATATAAGTCTTCAATCAAAACTCGCCAGGACCCTTTCCGAAAAAGCTTCCCTTGGGAACAGTCAACCAAGGGACGGACTTCGCATCGTACGTATCAGATCCAACTGTATTTCCCCACCAGTTGAAAGTGATAGCGTGGTAGCCCAGCGCGAAGAAAATGATGATGGTCGCAATAGCAGTGCCGGTATCCATGGCAGCTTGGAGCAAATCTAAGCACATCGTGAGTAAGTGATTTTTTTTAGAAAGGGAAACTTGTAATGTAGGATCTCACAGTTATAACGCTTCCACCAGTCAAATGCACGCTTGCGAATCAGGTAGTTGAAGAGGAAGCCGAAGATGAACCAGAGGGAGTATTGGGCTATTTGTTCAGATTAGAATAACTCCATCAGGAATGTTTCAGGAAACATACTGGTGTTTGCAGGAGGAATGTTGCCAGCCGCATTGAAGAAGATCGGAACGTTGATATAGCGTACCCAGCTGTTAGGGTAGCGGCGGTAAATAAAGTAAACAATTACAGTAACAACAGGCTGGAGAGTCAGTAAAGCAAAAGCAAATCAAGTGGCTTGAAGACTCACCCCAATGAGGAAGAAGTAGACAAGTCCATTGTACACCTGTCCAGACTGGAACATCCGCTGCGGACCAATGGTGCCCCAAATCAAGGAAGCATTGTACATCACTTTGGCACCATTGCATGTGAAGCGTTGCTTGTTTGTTGGTTCGCAAAGGTTATCAATGTGTCCCATCATCCATCGTAAGACTACTTTTGTTAGCTTGAAATCGCAATATAGATTTTACAAAACATCTTACCCCCGGTCTGAGTTGCTGTCGCAAGAATACTAGCATAGATCTGACCAAAGAACAGAACACGGGGAGGAATTTTCTGAATACTAATTAGTAAAGCTCCACTTGCAGGGGTGGGGGCAATAGAACCATACCATATATTGCCCAAGCTTCAAATCCTGAGCGAAATCCATGCCATGCTTGACTGCGTTATAGCCGTAACACTTCACCATCAGATTAGCGATGGGCTTTCCTGGCCACGCGTATCCGGCGATCATCTCTGTAATGATATTGAGGAACACGCGCTGGTTTGTCGTTCCTTGCAGAATACCCTCAGGGACAATGAGAAGCACTGCCAATCCGAAGCAAACCACGATAAAGCCCCAAACCGGAAGTTCCGTGTCCCAGTATCTGGTCGTCAAGATACCAAGTCCCAACACCACCACTGTGAGAACTCCGTACCACCATTCTGGAACCTCTTTATATTGGCGCATCAGTCGGCGATGAACATCTTCACCTCCATGTTGTGCATTCTTAAGCCTGGCCCAGATTTCAGTTCCATTGTAAAGGTAGGTATGGATCACGATTGCGGTAACGGCAGCGAAAGACAGTCCATAGGTGAGGGAATAAGACATGGAGATATACATGGGAGAGTACTCCTTGTAATTGCTCTCGCTAAAGTCTAAAGCCGAGTCGAGCACACGAGATACATTGTAGGAGCTTCCCGTGTTGTCGAAGGTGCCAGCAGAGAGGAGAGGAAGGCTAGATTGTCAGTATGTTGGAAAATTCCCCCACCAGACTGGAAACTTACTATGCGCTATACCACACATTAGTGTAGTATAAAATCGGCGATAAGAAAAGGTAAAAGAGCACGACGACAGCAAAGGCATTGCATGTGATGTAGAAGGGGGTCATGAGGGGGAAACCAGCGTAGTTGATTTGCGTCCAGTCGATGCTGATAGGTATCAAACCTAATCCGGAATTCATCTAAGCAAAATAGAGTTAGTTTCGGGTAGAAACTGTCAGAATTTCTGCAAGACTCACTCCGAAAATTGTGTTGACCTTCTGATTGTTAGGCGCAATCCACGTCACGAAAGCGAAAGTGCTCAAGCTTGTCCAGATGTAGTCCGGGAACCAAAATAGAACAAATGCAAATGCCGTAACGTAGCCAAAGAAGCGATACCGCGTAATAGTCCAACCATTGGCTGGCGTACGGCTTTCAGGCTCATGTAGCGCCCGGAAAAGAACTGTGGATGACAGTGAAGTAGGCCAAACTAAGGCAGCGGGGTACACAATCCAACGGCGGGAAAGACCTGTGAGACCAAATCTAGGAAAGATCAGTGAATGAATAACGTGGAAACCCCAGGATCCACTTACCCGATCATCTGAGTTGTCAAAAGGTATAGGAATGAGAAGCCTGGTCCGAGGTCGCGGTTCCAATATACAGGACTGACAATTGCTACCAAGGCACCTTGGGCATAAGCAGTGGTGGCGCTAATATTTACGCACTGTTTTGGTTTGTTAGATGTGCTTCACGATGGAATTTCCATGAAACTGAAGCTTGGCTTTTGCTCACAATAACTATGAAGGCGTGCTCCTTGATGGTAAATTTTCCAGGGTTAACATCGAATGTAAGTTTTCCCAGAGGAACCCTCCATCTCGGAAGCTTTTCCCATGCTCGGCCAATTGGGAAAACGAGGATTTGAGCGACGACGTAGCCTATTGTGAGGGAAGGCTAGGGGATATTAGCAAATATGTAAATAACAATTGCAGGGACCTAAAACATACATATCGTAAGCCGAAGAATTGATTAACTCCAGAGAAAAGTATAACAAAGACAGTCATCAATATCCAGGCCCGAACAGCTGTAATGGAAAGTTAATTCAGTGCCTTCACATGGAAGATCAATAACTTACTGTTGCAGGCCATCGTGGGATCATCTTTATTGGACACACAGGCCGCAACCTCCGGAACTGAGAAGTATCAACATCGGCTGTTGGGAGTTGGGATATATATATAGGTCAACCTACAAGGCGACTGGTCTCCCTCCACACTCCATTTGAACGCTTCGACCGGTGTGAGCTCTGTGAGCTCTGCCCTGTCCGATTTGTACAGCCATTCGCCTGGATCCTGACTGGTGTGTTCAGATTCGAGATCTGCCGCTACCGCCGGCGCCTCCGTTATATTTGGATCTTTAGATGGATCCTTGGAACTCGTCATATCTATATTGTTTTTAGGCCAGAGTGCAGGGAAAAAAATTGAATGGGATAAGATATAGAAAAGCACCGGAAGTTGGGTTCTTAATATGAGTTCGCAGCTGGTCATCCCTTGTCTCGCGTGGCTTGGGCCAAGCCAGCATTCGACGGTCACGATAGATCCACCCAGAATGGCAACAAGTTCCCTCCAACATGCAAATACGCCAAAGCTTGAAAGTTAGTCTACATCCGTACGGCTTCATACTGACTTGGATAGTCCGACCGGTTGAGCTATGCGCACTTGCTGACGCACACCAGTAAGACTACATAATGGATTGGGCGACCACCTACCGAATTGTTTACCGTATGTTTGGGGTTGTCTCACGGAATTCCAACTGTTTACAGTATTTACTTTTACGCTACCGAGCTATATCCCTGTAACAAAGCTATATTGGCAAATAATTGGATGAGGATTAATATTCTCGCCAGGTGTCTATCTGTATATCTAACATTATGCAACCCTGCGCGGGCATACGAGTCCACATAAGTGGGGGTTATCTTATACGTTGAGGATATTCCTAAATCGCCTCTACGTGAGGTACTATAATTCCAAGTAGTCAGAGCGTGGCAAAGGAATAGCATCGCCAAAAAATGACAACAATGGATCATAAGAACGGAGTTTTACAAGTTAGGCCACACATGCCAAGTACAAAAGGGCACATCTTCGGGCTGACTTCGGACTTCAGTGGCTGCAAGTGCTTAAATAGTGAATGGCGTGCCGAGGCGGCTTGATGAGCTTATCTCCACTGGATTTTCTTAGTGCATTCGCCTCCAAATTCGACCTTTAGGATTCGACCCCAGGCCAATCAAAGCAACGAATTATAGCTGGTTTAATTTCTAGAAAAAGGTCCCATTATTGGAGTATTGGAGACATTTATGAGTCCCTATAGTCCAATATAGAAGGGGGGGTTACATGATATTCCGAAGACGTCATAACAGAAGAGCATTTATTTGTAGGATTGTAACAACTTCCTCGAGGTATTTACATTCTTTACTTGAAGCCGTTGAATATAAAATTCTTGATGCAGTAGCAGCAGTATAGCATTCGGCTCGTAGCTCCGAATTCAGAGTGCGTGCTGCATCGTCCTGCAGCGGACATAACCTAAACGAAGCGGCCAGTGCGGCAATGGCGCGATTAGAGTTGATTCACCCATCAAGTCTCACCCAGATGTTTTTAATTTCTATTCGGAGCAATCCCGAAGGCGAGTGTAATACTTGTTTCGTATGAGTGACTTATTTTATAGATCATCTAATCTGTCTAGATAGTCTCCCAAAGTCCGATCTTTGTCTATGTGGCGGGAGTCAATCAGTTTCGCAGCCTCGTCCTCCTCTCATTGAAGCCATTCGGCGTCAAGAATCAGACGGCAGAGCTCCTGGTTACGGTGGTGAAACAACTCATTATCGGCGCGAGCCTGGGAAACTTGCCGATTATGGAACTGTACAGTTTCGGCGAGCTCTCTCATCGTTTGCTAGACCTCATCAAGGGATTCATGCCGTTGCCCCAAAGGCAACATTCTGCGCATGCAGTCAGGTCTGAGTTACCCTCAAGAACCACACAGGTGTCCCATGGGCCATGGTCCCGCTGGCAGGGGATACATGGCTGCTCTGTGGGAGCACCCACAACTTGCATAAGCGCAGACATAATGTTATCGATTCGTTCGTTGATGATTTGTTCCAGGGTTGCACCTGACCACGCCGTTTCTGGGCGGAGGATGGGATCACGTTTTGCGGGTAAGAGGTTCGTAACCTCGAGGGCGTCCGACTTTAACTGACTATCGTTGCGAGACCGGACCTCATTGTAATTGAGCCGCTTGATGTGAGCGGCAAGGGTACCGGGAAGGTAATCTGCTGTGCCAGAGGTGGTAGTGGGGATGACAATGTGATTTCGATGCTGGCGAGGCGTTGATCCGTATATTGATTGGTGTTGCTAAACATGGCAGTGGGGAATGTGAAGAAGCTTCCACCTACGCGGAGGTGGGGGACTCGATCGTCCATTCAGGTCGGTTAGCAAGATATATAACTCACATTGTAGACTGACTATATCTTACGAGGTCATCTTGGTGGGTTGGAGGTAAGAGACCAGATATGAAACCTGGGGACAAGAGGAGATGATGACAGAAAAAGCCAAAAGAGGCCAGTATGAGATAATATATTATAGGAGCAGGAAGTTTGAAGAATTTGTACGCTTGGTCTCTTTGTTGGACGTGTTCACACATCATCATTCATGCAGTGAGAAATTCCCAAACGTATCTATTCAAAATGGGCTAGAGTCCCGAGGTGGTCTGAACACCTGCACTTCATCCTCTTCAAAGGGGCCAACGATCGAATACATCACACCATGGTTGTTGAAAATAATTAGATCACCTCCTCCCAGTCCAGTGCACAATGACAAGCACAACTCCCCCCAAGGCCTTCCGAGATTACGAGGGAGTCAACGAAACGGGCTATGCGAGGGAATGAATTAAAGATATAGAAATGGCTGGAACAGGTCAATGAAAGAGTCGCTTCGAGCGACTGTAAATTTTCGCCTGTCTTAAAACTGAAGTGGGTCATGTAGAGTGTGGAATGTTTCATTGAACCATGCATCAAAATCGATGTATTCGGCTGTATCCCATGCCGGCTGCATTTCGTTAAAGTGAGCACCGATTATATCTTGGGGATCAGCATTCGAGAACCTGCTAACGGATGTGTCAAGGGTATCGGGCCCAAGATTCATTCTCGTAAATGTTGAGAATTTAGCCAGGATTTGGCCAAAATCAATCATTTTATTGCCAAGTCCTGCAGAGTCTGAGGTTATGTCGGCAGTAAAGATAGCATCGATCAACGCGACACCTCGCTGAGCCAGCACGTCATTAGTTCGATCTGCAAGGCGGGTGCGAGCCGCGACTATTGCATCCTTGTGGGTTTGGGCGATAGCGACCTGGGTCTCTGCAGTTGCATTCACCTCGAAGCACATAATGACTGCAGCGGTAATCGCAAAAGCTGTATGAGTCCATATCGAGATATCCCCTTCTCCTATGATTACCTCGTGCTCGCGCAAAATTGTCATTGCAGCGGCAACACAGGTACGTCTTGAATAGATATATGTTTGATCGTTGAAAGAGCGGAAGAGAAACGGCCGATGGATCATGATAATTTTCTCGGCTGCAGTGATAGCGAGACTTCGTCGAGCGATAGCAAGCCATGGAATTTGTGCTTCCTTGGTCTTATCGACGCGCAGGAGGAAAGGGGGTATGTTTTTCACAATGCCTCTCATTTTCTGGTCTATATGCAGAATATGTTCGTATTGCTCTCGAATAGGCTTTCGGGATTTCATTGGACCCAATCCGTCAACTAGACCGGGCATCAATTCCGCCAGATTCACGAGCACACGGATGTACGTGCTTATGGTTGGAGATGTGATAGGCATATCTGTCAAGTCATAGTCGTCTGCGTTCATGGGGGGACCTGTCGAGAAATGCATCGGAGAGATGCTGTAGGTGTCGGTAAAAGGAATGGCGAAATGGTCTTGGATGATCATTTGGCACCATACTCTCTTTCCGACTTCTCGTCCCACCTTCTCATCCCATTCATCTTTGTTTTCAGCAGGTTTTGTTGATTGATCCTGAATCTTGTGGATCCCGAGGCATTCGGCAATGCGTACAGCAGCATTGAATAAAGTCGCGTTCAGTTCACTCAAGCCAAGATTATGAGCGACCTCAGTCGATATGACGATTGCTTGAACAGAGTATATGGAGAGATTGCTGAGAAAATGTGAGTTGTAGAGGGTTTGTACCATAGCAGAGAACAGCTGTTGTGTAGATGGTATTGCCTGTAGGTCGACATGAACAAGTTCTCTCACTTTCGTACTATTTTGAATTGAGCTGACGGTGGCACTCAAGATAGAAAAGTACAGAGCTTGCCATAAAGGGTCATCAAATCTCCCAGTCTCCCAGAATAACTCGCATTGCTCGAGAAATGTTGGACCATGGATGCAATTATGATGCCAGGCCACATGGCATATATGGAACTTGATCAGCTTCTGAGCGTCGGTAGTGCTGGGAAAGGAGGAGTCCAGCCCTGGATTGAGTCCATTGACTGGGAAAGGGCCTGATAGGGATTGGAGTCCATCTTTGCGATACTGGCACGAGCACGTCCTGTGAGGGAAGCACCCGGCGGAATTACGACCCCAAGCAAGATGTTCAATAGCTGTGAGAAGCGACGAGTCAATTTGATGTGCGGTGTTTTCAGTTGAACTAAGCGACACTTTGCTAGGTGCACGGTCCTCAGTTGTACTTGATTCCTCTTGTGCGGAAGTACGGTTGGATACATCTGATTCCGTAGGATCTTGGCCGGTCTCCAGCCGAAATATTCGATTTTTAATTTTTTGAACAACATGGCGTACTGGATCAGGCGGAGACGATTCAACGTCTACCAAAAGCGAACGTAAAAACTGAATTTCTGACCCATGTTGCACAGCGTTGCGTCTAAGCTGGACGACTTCTATTGAGCACTTCAGGTTCAACCGTTTACATCTCGAACAGGGATTTTGTTTGTCGCATTTGCGTTTGCGCTTCGTGCATTCTGCATTATGTCAGTCGCTTAATAGGCCGCAGCGGCACAAGATCGCCATTTACCTCGGCAGGCTTGCGGCTGACGCTGCGACACGCGCACTGTGGACGTTTGGTTTGACACGGTGCCATCCATTGCCCGTCAGCCTTGCATTTGAATGCCTTTTTCTTCTCAATTTGAGTTGACAACTCCAGGCCTAGATTTTCTGCTGGTGCAGGGAGAGATGCAAAGTGTGGAGGTTGGGGGCGGGATTGAGACTGGCTCGGGGACTTGGCACTGATAAGCGCACTTGGATCGATCTGAGCAACTACCAACATCCATGACATCCCGCGGTCTTAATCTCAACGGCTAGTTGATATTGGGACTACTCTATTATGTTGTATGGTGTGATTTATCCCGTTTCCTCTTCAAATATTCCTCAGGGCGGGAAATTCCGCAGTTTCTATATAATCACATGTGTGAAAGATCCCCAGTAACTTCAGCCAGATTTCTTCAAATCTCGTAACCCAACCAGTGGACTACCTTCAATCTTAGAAAAGTCATGGGCATCTAAACATGCCTGTCTAGAATTAAGGAAGCTCGGCTCGGCTCGTGCGAAGACATCATTTTCATACGCCGCAAGGGAGGATAGCAAGGCTTCGGAATCGAAAGACCTGAGGATTGAAATAGCGATCATCAGTATGAACTTAATCAAAGAGAGTTGGAGGTAGTTAGATTCATACCTTGGCTGGCGCATATCAACACGCTTCACGAGATCCAGCACATCGACGATCGCGTTGTTGGCGCCTTCTCCGCGGACTAGTTGAGGTCAGAAATGCTAGCACGGCCGCATATAATGACCGAAAGAATTACATACACATAGTCATTGTGTGGGCCGAGTCACCCATCAATACCGCCCGGGGATGCGTGTGCGCCCTGCCCAGACTGAACATCCAATCTTCGATGCGAATCGAGCGCACCTCCACGTCGTCTGGAAGCTTGTGTACCAGCGAGCGGAATGGTTCCGACCAATTATCAGTCAATTTCCTCATCAGCGCGATCCGCTCGGCGTTCAAGTCTGGGACTGGAATTTCCTTTGAATCTGCCCAGGAGATGATGATTTGACACTGGTACCGGTCCTTGCTACTATTCTCAAAGTTGTTCGGGGTATCCAGAACTAAGGACATCAGCAACCTGTAGATTAGAACAGAGGATTTGGTGGACTCACAACTGAAGAATAGGAAGACGTTGGACTCAGGATGCGAGCCCTGGAATATGAAAGGGTCGATTGACTCAATTCCGCCCAGCTCCTCCGCGCTGTATAGTGTCGATGCACCTAGAAGCTGCACCGGTAACTGGTTCATCTGTAAACCTGGGTAGAGAATCTCGCGTGTGCGCGACCGTGAACCATCGCATGCGACCAGTAGCCGCCCGGTGCAAGATGTGCCATCCTCAAAATGCGCGGTGATTTCATTAGCTGTAGACTCAATACTACGAAAGTTTTTGTTCCACTGAACGGCGTTAGCGCTCAGCAAGGGTAAGAGAAGAATAGGATTATTCCAAGGACGATAATATTACGACTTACTTCAACGTCTAGGCCTGTTGTCAGTAACTGTCGCAAGCGAACACGACTGACACGAATGCGCTCAGCGGCAGGAATATTGTATAATGCATCTCCCGACTTAAGGTCGAAAAACTGGAAGCGACCGACGTCGCCTCGGGCAGACGCTTCTTTGTTGACAAATGTTTCAGGGAATCGCTCAACAAGGTGTTCTGGCAATAATTCACGCAGGGCAGGGAGTGACCAATGCAGTGTCAGACCCCATCCACCACTTCGGGCATCAATTGCGGAGTCTCGGTCAAAGATCCTGAACGGAACATCATGTCGCTGAAGGTATTGGGCCAGTACGAGGCCACTGATACCAGCGCCGATGATCAGAATGGGAGAATCAGACATGGTGAACAAAGTACTCCGTTCAGTTTGATTGCTTCAATCTATATAACTCAAACCATGTCTCACCCCGCTAGTGGGCTAACTCTGTGCCAAATCACACAATTAGTCGTCCCACCAGCTAGACCAATCTGTGTAATACGGAAATTATCGGTAATCCTTCTAGTAGGCTATCTAACCCGAAAGGATCAGAAAGGTTACTTATAAACCCTACATTGTCCCTTGGGACGGCTTGGGCTATGTTACGGCAGAATGATGTTGATTGGGTCAGGTCATGAGGATGGACGTTGATTGGAGGATAGACAAAATACCGCCTTCGTTGGCAGGCCCACCTTCCGTATCTGATTCGGGAGCTACCTACCCGCTTTAAATTGACACTATCTAATTTGGGTTTGGGAATGAATCAAGGGCTGAGACTTATGTATGGCCTTTCACGAGCCAGACTTACCTAGATAGATTAACGAAGTTACATTTTGATTACAACCGATGCATCACGGACTCAATCACATCCTATGTCAGGCGCATTTGCCGCATTGTGCATATGTACGGAGTACAGAGTATGTCTGTACTTGGTGCACGCGGATGGGGATGGTCCACTGTCGAGCGGGTTGATCCTGTGGATCCCGTCTAGGCCAAGATTCGGCCAACCAAGTTCAACCCGAATGTTTATAGGAATCACCAGAATCACCCCAAACCCTAGTGTCCGGAAATACAGGATCGCAGATTTCTATCGGCCGACCATTTTCGCTATTAGTAGAGCGTGAACTTGTTGTTTCTCGGATTGTTGCAACCACAAAATATGATTGGCGTGAACTCAAACGCCACAAAAGGCAAGGGGTGCAGGGGGTACAAAGTCCACGGGTAGAAGGGGGGAGGGGCAAGCAGAAAAGAAAAGAAACCAAAAAAAAAACCAAAAAAAAATGATTAATACAATTTCTAAATAATTGGGAACTGTATGAATGAAAAAAAGAATAGACAATTCGAGCCAGTTCGTTGCGGGTCAAAAACTTCCTATTTGGTTGACCTGCCTTCCGAAGAAACTCTGTACTCGACTGTCTTCTCGATACCCCCATGCGCGGGCTCCTGAGTGGCCAAAATGAGTTCCTCACTCGGTGTTCGTTTTGGCTGTCTTTGACTGGAGGCAGTTGACCGCATGTGCGAATTCTGATCTTTCGACCAATTATCCATCAAGTAGCTTCTGCCTTGACTGTCATAGTAATACTGCTTGGATTTTCCACCGGTCGAAGCAATTCCCCGCACGAAGCCCTTGAGCAGAGGCGCCAGGTATGGAATGCAAGTGACAATGTTCTAACGCAGAAAAATCAGCCATTATGGGTCGCACAAAACTGGTCATTCCACTTACGCCCACGTTGAACTCAATCGTTCCCCACAACACAAGCATTGTTGAGTTTCCGTCTCCGAAAGCCACTCGTTGAATCTGAGTTAGTCGTAGGATGGAGCAAACTGTGGTGAAGAGGCCCAGGAGGAAAAGGCACACAACGCCAGCCTTTTGTGCAACTTTTATATTGAGACCAAGGAGCAAGGGAATAGGAAGCACAATAATGGTCACATCTGCGATGATGGTGTAGATTGCGAGACCGTAGAATAGGCCTCCCACGGGAAGACATGTACCGGGTACATGATTGTTCCATGATCGTCGAACCTGTTGTGGGTGAATCCCTTGTCAGCTTGTGGTTGCATGTGGCGTTTGTAGGGAATGACTCTTTTTACCGGTGTGCAATTGAAGATCAAGCTAAGAGCACCGGCGATATGACCCAACGTAGATGCAACAATAACAATCCAAATCACAATTCGGTAACCACGCTTTGATGTTCCAGATATTAATCGTAGATAGCTCAGGCAAAGCGAAGCCTTGAACCCTGCGATGCCAACTTGGTAAAAGGGCCGTCCTGCATAGTTGATCTATTTGCCTTTTTGTCAGTTCGGTTCGACAATCGAATGTAACCTCATAGGGTTAAATAAGATGCAGAAAACAGAAAAAAAGGATACTGACCTTAGAATATGTTAGATAATTTGCTGCCGGTCGTTTCTTCAACGGCAGTCCTAGTCCATATCGACTCTCTGCGACTGTAAGTTTCATGCGGCTATGGGAAGAGCTGGCGTCGCCCACGGGAAATGCAGAGTGCACTGTATATAACAGCAAATACCTGCTCAAGAATTAGTTGTATTCTTCCTTGTATCAGACACAGATTAACTTACCATGCTAGCAACCATCACATAGTCTGCTGCTGCCCATCGACTGGCTCGCGCTCGAAGGAAAAGTCTCAGGGAAACCGTCAAAACCATTAATATGGTAAGACTCAAACATACCCCAATAATGAGAGGATACTGCGAGGCAGCTTCAACTTCGGGCGAGGCATTGTGTACCCAGCCCATCTTTGAGGAGAAAGCGTACGAAGGGGTAGGAGGGAGAATATAAACGAGAACATAATCAAACGTCTACATGGGTAAGGAGATCGAACCGGGATTTATTCTCTGCATAGGAATTAAAATTTTATTTTAAAAAAAACGTATATATATGAAAAAGAAAACACCAAAAATGCTCGTCCTACAGGGGTTTCCTGTTTTGAAATAACACCAATAATTGCCGGTCAGATGTACTTTATGCTCCTCGCAACACCGGACTCCGTACTCTCCCGATCTTTCAAGGTTATTCCTGCAATATTATTGATATTTAGCTTCCCCCTTTCATATCTTCCAAGGTTGTAAGCTTCTCTGCCCAACAAGGAAAGGTTCTAGCGTCTTGGAATAATGATTCTAATTCGTTGCCAGGTGGGACTACGTGTAGCCATGCGATCTCCACGGTTGTTGCGACGTTATTTATGCTTTTGTCTCATGAATCCTCTATATTTCCCACTAATATATTTGATTTTTCACTAACCTTTTCCTTAACTTTTCTTGCTTTTTTTTCCCCTCACACAACTTCCTTATTGACTACGCTGTTCCTTCTCTGTTTACCTATTGTTACCAGCCGCGATGGGTGAAATAAAACCCGAGGTAGTACCACAGCCTCCTGCAGATCAAGTGGATGATGCTGCGTTATATCTCAAGGACCATCAAAATGAGGCACTTGACTCTCAAGTTGATCTAAGCGCTTTACGCCGCAAAATTGATCGCCGTTTGATGCCATATATGTTTTGCTGCTATGTCCTGCAGTTTTTGGACAAGGTCATGCTGAACGTGAGTGACTTTCAATTCAGCCGTATGGACCATGTTATTAATGCAAGGGTGTATGCAGTATGCAGCTGTTATGGGGATCAGAAAAGACTTGGAACTCGCCGGCAATGAATTCTCTAACGTTGCCACGTGGGTCTTCATTGCCTACTTGATCGCTGAAGTACCTAATGGTGAGTATTTTTATTATCTCCCGTGCATAACTTTCTTGGAGTATTACGGCTAAGCCTCAATTTAAGTATACTTCTTACAGAAAGTACCGCCTGCAAAATGGCTCGGCGGAAATGTATTCCTCTGGGGAGTCGCGGCTGCCGCCTCCGCTGGCGCCCGAGGATATCAGAGCCTGCTGGCAGCTCGAATTTTCTTGGGTATTTTTGAAGCGACAGTGGGACCATCCTTGATGCTTATTAGCAGTCAGTACTACACCAAAAGCGAACAAGCTCCTCGGTTCACTATATGGTATATGGGTCTTGGTGTGGCCCAGATAATTGGGGGCCTCATATCTTTTGGATTCCAGCATGTGCATCATGCCTCACTAGAAGGCTGGCGGATTATGTTTCTTGTTCTAGGATTGGTGACATCTGTTGTCGGTGGTCTCACATTTTTCTACATCCCAGATACACCAATGAAGGCACCCTGGTTATCGGATAGCGAAAAGGTGGCCCTCCTTCAACACGTCAGCGAAAACCAGACTGGAGTATGGAGCACAACTTTGAACCTGAAACAAATCTGGGAGGCCGTCCTCGATGTCCAGCTTTGGCTCCTGACTGTAATAACAATTCTGGTATGTCTCACATTCCCACTTTCACACCCCTTGCTCCAAATATCCCCTGCAGTTTTATTGACCAACATTGAATAGATCTCCGTGTCAAGTGGTGTGGTGACGACATATTCCTCGACTTTAATTGCCGGATTTGGCTTCTCCGGTCCCATCTCAGCCCTTCTCAATACCCCTGGCGGTATCGTTAGTATATTTTTCACCCTTCTCGTGGGTTTTGGCATTCGGAAAACTTCTAATCGCTGGGCCTGGAATGTACTCTGTACAATTCCTGGAATCATCGGTGGAGCATTACTATCTTTCTTGCCCAAGACCAATAAAGCCGGTGTCCTGATCGGTATTTATCTTGTCAACGCAATTGTAGCAACTCTTCCGATTATATACCAGTGGACCATGGCCAACTGCGCTGGACATACCAAGCGAGCATTTGCTAGTGCTCTTGTTGCCGGGTCCTTTTCGGTCGGAAACATCATTGGCCCACAGACATTCCAGGCACGCGATGCACCGGAATACCACCCAGCCAAGATTGCTGTTCTTGCAACGCAGGCTGCGGCGGCTGTACTATCTGTGGTTCTCTTCATCTATTACAAGTGGCAAAACCGTCAAAGAGACCAGACAAAGAGCGTTAATGAGAACAGCGTCGACGATACCAAATGGGCTGGTCTTACTGACAAGCAGAATCCATCCTTCCGTTACGTCTACTGAACATTCGATGGATCAAAGCTTGCACTTGTACTGTATATATCACTATGGCTTTTATTCCCTTCTGTCCAAAAGTCTTTACCCTGCTTGTTCTACCATCGGGTTTCTTGAATACATATTTCCGTCTTTTGAGATGGGGTTGTTGATCATTCGTCGCAAAACCGACGGCGACTCGGCCAATTTCTTCATCTTGATCCACACCTCTACTAGAGTTGAGTTAGTAAAGTGTCAAATTGTACCTCTCCGGCGAGTCTAGAATTAAAATCATCCATCCAGGTAGAATTGCAAAATCCCATACTTCCTTGCTATCCACCTATGACATGTGATACATCCGAAGACGAAAGAGCCACTTTGCCTATAAGACCGAGTATCTCCAACCAGAATACCGTAGACACTCAAGCAATCCATCGGCCATGTGGTGTCGCTCGATAATCCCCACCCCGGTCGTCCACAGTCGGACCCGAGCCATGTGGGCAGCTGATATAGTTCAGAACTGGTCCAGTAGACTGGGCCGAATGCTGATTGGATACTATACCGCGTGTGGTCAAATTTAAGCTTGGGTCTACCGTCTCCTCGCCAAAATACAAACCTCCAAGTTTTGGGCTCTTGGGCACCACATCGAGTGCCCCGCGCCAATGTTACTGGGTCCTTCCCTAACACATAAACAGATTTTGAGCCTCAGAACAAACATATATTTTTGAGATGTGACGTTGCACCACCCAGATCCTGGCAACCGATTTCTTGCAGCCTGTGGACGTCCAGCCGACCTGAGAGTCTTTTTGGGTGCCGGAGCTGCCCATCCAGTATTTGAAAAACTGCTGAAATTGCCAAGACTCTCGACTGTGCGGGCATTACATTGGGTCCGTATGTATTTTTTTTTCGACTGGGTAATATCGTGAGTATGGAGGTTGAAGATAGGAAAATTCACTCATGTCCATGCCTTGGCCAGGCACTAGTTCCGAAGCTCGAAGTAGAATTTATACCAATCATAAAATTGCCGAGGTCCGTCCGTCCGTGTGAACCATTCAATCATATAGTCCTCGCCGTGGTCCGTTGGGAGCAAACGGCTAAGAACCATGAAGCATTAAATCATGTAGCGTGTGCGGAGATACTGGGAATGGAGACGAGAGCGAAGATCCGGGAAAATACCGTCAGCATACGAATAGAATATGAGAACCGGACCGGAAGGAAGGAGCGCTTAAAACTCAGGAGATATCACGAATCTGTACACTGAGGAGAAATGTAAAGAATGATGGAAATCGCGAGGTCCATTTATGATAGAGGGAAACATAAATCTTTGGAGGTAAACAAACCTTCCGATGTTCAGTTGAGAGGGGAAAGCACGACTGGGAGCCTCAAGATGGAGACACGATGTTGGGAAAGAAGGAAAATGAAAGTTGTTGGGTGATAAGAATGAAATTGAACGTCAGGATGGAAAACAAGGAAGGTGTGGTGAAAAGTTGAATAGCATCAAAAAGAAGGTCCCCATTAATCTAGACCGTTCCTAGACCTCAGGAGGGTATGGACAGAGGCTGGCCACTCGATGTACATGGTCCTCTCCTCCGACCATTCCCCTATATGCTTCCACTCACCGTACTAACTACGGCCTCCCCCCTAAGTAACGGGGGACTATACCCTTCCGCGGGGGTTTGCCTAGTGTAGTGCTTCGGGAGAGCTTCAGCATATAGGAGTCCGACCGACAGTGGGGAGCAAGTAAAACCCGTTGCGACATCCTGGTGTGGGATGCCCCGGCCATAATACCGCTGGGCCACTGGGGGGGGCTGGTTGAAATATTAGTACTTGTCTTCTTCATATAGGAGGAAAACTTAAGAGAGAGGTTACTAGAGAGCATTGACACATAGATTTCCTGCCTTCCCGGAGTTGTGATAGCGTCAGATTTTAATGGAAAGATCTAGAGAGGGTCTGTATACTACCTATCGATTTTGAAACTAATCGGATTACCCGTTGGTGTTGGTTGAGGATCACTTTAACTGGAGGGTACATACATATAAAGTCAAAAAATGAAGCTATTCAGACACACATTTTAGGAAGGAACGATAACAGCATGAGTGTCTTAATCTCGGAGTCAGGCGTTCAATTCCTGGCCTCAACGAATGAATTAATACTTGCACTTTTTTCATTCCCCGGCTTTTTCCCACTAAATATTGAGCCGTTGGTACTCATATCAAAACATCGTCCCATCGACAGCGACCATAAACAAGACCCCAACCACCAAAGGTTACAGGACTGATACCTAGATGGTCCTGGTCAGGTCTAGAAGCCTCTAATACCACCGCATACGCTGCGTAAAATCAGTGTCTAGGACACTTTTCGCGAGCAAGGTCTACAGGTCATCGTGAATATGGATAACATCGAACTCACTCCTCAGAGCCCCAACTATGCTAGCGATACCTAGCAGCTCGGAATCTAGCTAAAACCACATTGCAGCAATGCCTACAAATTTTCCCCTACAAGAAACAAGAGTCGGATGGTTTCGCTGTATGACTGGAAAAGTCTGAAGACTAAACGCGATGATGGAAACGATGGATGTGGCAATAATCATGATCGAACATGTCTCGGAAGTTCAAGGAGAGGATAAATGAAGACCAACATGCAGTGCACACCATATATTATCGACAGAAACTGATGATTCAGAGGGCTTCCTTGGAGGGTTCGAACCTCGGAAGATTCGGCCCGGTCCGTGGTTTCCACCGATCCCGAACTGAGAGATACCTAACCCTGTATTCTAAATCGAGAACACTTTGCCGTAAATGTATCCGGGTTGTCCGATCTGTAATAGTCCACACGCGCTGGCAAAATCTGCGTGTAAACCCGTTCTGCAGGGCGAATTCGGATATATATAATCGTAATATCAAACGTTCATTGGCCATCCTATCATTTATCTTCAACATCAACACTAGTTCCCATAACCTTTCCGAGACCTTTCTCCGCCGTCGCCCACTCTTTCTTAATAACATCCAGTACCCAGTCACCCCTGGGCCGGAGTTTAAATTTGAGCTCCCTCGGCATTGTCATGAATCCTGCCACGACCATCGCCCACGGATCCACCTCCTCCCCATCAGCGGGCTCGATATCAAACGCCCACAGCAGACAAGCAATATGGATAAAAGATCCATCCGTAGCGACCTTCTTTCCTTGACAGATCCGGCGGCCCTGCCCAAAGACCGGCAACGGAAGGTCCGTTCGCAGTCTTTCCTCTCCGTCATCATCCCGCCGGAGCCACCGCTCAGGCACGAACTCCTGAGGGTCTCCCAGCGCAGGATCAAAGACCTTTTCGTCTCGACCGATGGCCCACGCATTAGCCATAAGAGTGACCCCCTTTTTAATTTTGACACCATTGAACTCGTCATCCCGGTCCGCCCTGCGGGGAATGGATCCCGGCGAGATAGGTCGCCAACGGAAAAGTTCATGCATAATAGCGTCAATGAATGCAAGCCCTGAGCGGTCCGAGAACTGTGGTAGCCGGTCTCGCCCGACGACCTCGTCGAGCAAGGCGTGCGCCCGTGTCATAAAGGACGATTGCTGCAGCGCTGCAATGAACAACCACAGTAGCTGCCGCGGTGAAGTCTCCATACCTCCCTGGATAGAGGTTGCGAGAGTAAACGCGAGATCGAGGTCGGGGACACCATCTTCACAGTACTTCTCCGCTGTGGCGATTGCCTGCTTGGTGGAGTTCCAGCCAGCTGAATCCCTCCCGTGTCGGAACAGACGCATGTACAGGTCCACCTGTGTGGCGTACAGCTTGTCAGCCGCTCGTTTCCAGGGGGACAAAAATGCGGGTAGGTGACGCAGAGCCGGGATAATATCTGGAAGACGGGGGTTTGCAGCGAGGTGGGTTATTTGGGTCTGGATGTCAATGATCTCATGCAAGATGTGTTCTTCGAAACTTGGGATGCGCAAGCCATAATGTAGAGCAAGTATAACACTCGATTGAGTGCGCTCAAGAAGTGGATAGATTGTTTCTGTGCTGATTCCTTGGGAAAACTGCTGGGCAGCATTTGAGAGATCAAACAATAGCTGTTTAGACTCGAGCTCCATTAAGGGGTGATATTGTGGGGCGGCCAGAGCACCCAGACTGGGGGCCAGAATACGGTGATGGAACTTGAGGTGATCGTCGTAATCGTGCATCAGAGTAAACTTTGACTGCCCAGGCTTAGCCCCTGTGATCATCTCCATGCTGACAGAGGGCGGACGATTGCTGTACCACTGGCTGCGGCGGCTGAACAATTCAGTCACAGCTTCATATGAATTCAACACCACAATCGGTATGAGCCCAAAGAGCTTCGGTACCGCAATGGGACCATTTTCCCTCGTCCATGAGTCCCAGTTCAAAAGTGGTTTCACAATAGGGGAGCTATGGAGGTCACCAATGAGGGGAAGCTTGAGGAGGGGTTTCTTTTGTCCCTTCCGTTGCCCTGTGACAATGTAGAGCAGTGTCAATAGACCTATCGCGACCGCGGCCGTCACCTCAATAATAGGAGTAGCAGCCATATCATGGAAACAGGGGTTAGGAGGACGTTTGACATATCAGATGCACTGCAAAGAAAGGGGGAACACATTTTTACATAGCGCAAACATGATGCATGATTCGGTTAATCCGCCAAGCGCTATTACTTATACTAGGCCAATGGTTTGGTGTCGAAAGACGCCAATAAATGCGGGACTGAAGATGAACTCCGTATTAGTGCATAAGCGGCACTTGGCACACCAATCAGCTCCCTAATAATGAGACGTTTCTCTGTCATATGCCGAAGAATCAAATTGTTTTTCATTAAACTTGATTATAATAACCACGGTCAATCTGGATATGCCGAGTCTTTCATCCTCTTAATTTGAACAGCTAAACTGTACAGAAGAATTCGCCATGTGACTCGTTCTTGCTCACTATCACATTCCCTTAAGATGTCCTCCGTGCATTATGATTGACACGAAAGTGTCGGAGGCTAAACGAGAATTGCCCCCAGTGCGGCCCAGGACTTTTGGCCCCCGACTAGCCTTCGTATGCCGTGTTAGCTGCGGGTGGATTAGTCTCAAATTCCCTATTTAATACCGTCCCCGGATTTGATTTAGATTGCGGACCGTTTTTGTTTTTTTCGCGTGCGAGATGAGATGGTTGTTACCTTTCCTATAGAGACGCCAGCCCAAAGGCAGGTCTTGGGCGTGGCTATTGCTTTCTCCATTCTAGCTGTGGTAGCAGTGTTTCTGCGACTTCTAGCTCACCATCTCGCGAATAAGAGATGGATCATCAGTGACTATTTCATAGTTGCCGCCGTTGTGAGTACTTTCCTCACTATCCCGAAATTTGTGCTAACAGATACAGATATTTGCCGTCGGTCTCCAGTCCATCAGCATCACCGGCGTGATACAAGCGGGCATTGGTTATGATCATGTCAAGGCAATTGTACCCAAGTATGGGCCCGGCCCTATCGCTAAACTCCTCCAGCTGATTGTCCCATTGCAATTTCTTTGGGTTCTGAGTCTCAGCTGTACAAAAGTCTCCATATTGTTCTTATATCTTAGCATCTTCCCCGTCACTTGGGTCGTGCGGATTTCCTGGACAACAATGGGTGTGATTGTAGCCTGGACTGTTGGAACAATACTGGCCGGGTGTTTGATATGTCGGCCCTTTGCATATAACTGGGACCAGACTATTCCTGGGGGATCGTGTGGAAACCAGGTTACCTCCTTCACGGTGACGGGAGTTATAAATCTCCTCACCGATGTTGTTGTGTTGGTGACGCCTATGCCGCTGCTGTATAGTCTGCAGATGGCAACATATAAGAAAGTGACATTCATCACCATCTTCGGCCTCGGAGGAGTGTAAGATTTGCACAACCGGTGTAAAACCAAACGTGAAAAGATCTTTGCTAACCTGGAGTATAGCACGTGCATCATCAGCATTCTTCGTATCTCCATACTCTCCACAATGGACTTCGCCGACATCTCTTACTCGATTCCCCTTGCCAACATTTTCAGTGGCCTGGAGCCCTGTCTCGCCGTCATCCTCGCTTCAGTTCCTATGATGCGCCCCCTCCTGGGACGTTCAACATACACCCCCGAGGTGACAGTTCGTCCTTCAAATAAGTCTTCGTCCCCACCTGGAAGATCTAGGTCTACTGGCGATGGCGAGTTCCAGCCGCTTCAAGATAACTCGAGTCAGCTGTGCTTGCAGCCGGTTGGACCAAAGCATAAGGTCGGTGTCGCAGTCCAAAACCCCACACAGACGAGAGAGTTACGTCGTGGGAGCGAAGATACTCTTGAAGCGGGGGAGAGCAGGGATATGGATCAGGCACAAAAGGGAGGTTTGGGAATTTCAGTTAGGCAGGAATGGGTTGTTTCGCATGGACGAAAGTAATGTGAAGACCTCTTTTCCAGAACTCTCCAGGGCTACGATGTATTATAAGTTATATCTAGTCTGTTATACTAAACTAGGTAATATACGCCTTACTGGCCAGGCATCTAACTGTGATTCGCTCTTTCCCATTGTTCAGTATATTGGTCTTTCCATTCATGATTGTTCGATTGTTTATATACATTGTTTCCGATCTACATAGCTTCTCACTTCAAAACCTCTTTTCAACACCCTCGCGTCTTTAGAATATTTCTCCTGTTGAAAATATTCTCTTCTCCAAGAAACGCTTCTCAAGATCTCGTCAGTAATCTACAAGATGTTATTCAGATATCTTCTCGCGTTGGTGATCCAACTCTGCTGGGTTGCTCTCGGGTTTGCCCACGCAGACGCGACAATTGTTTGTTTACCTCCTACAAAGCCACCAAGATACTCGGAAAACTAACATCATATAGACGATCCCATGGGTCACCAATGCACCCGATTACTTCAACGGCTATGGAGGCAAGGCACTAGGCGCTGTGTGTATTTTGTCTGCTTGCTTCTCTTGTGATTAATCACTAACAACCAACGCAGAAAGATGCAACAACAACCTACGGAATCAACTGTCTCTCGGACCAAACAGCCTGTCACAGATTTACCCCAGATCTGACTGTTATCTATGGACCTAGCAGTAAGAACATAGCAGCCCCACCGCCTCCTAGACAGGACATTATACTGACTTCTAGATATAGCATATGACATGATTGCCAACGGCTACAAATTCGACTTCACCTCAGGTTGCACGCTTATGGGTTCTCCGACACCTACAGGCGCGTCTTGCACAGAAACAAAATCCTTGCATGAGACTAGCGCTGTCACCTCGGCCACAGTGCTTGTTCCAGCCACGGGCGACGATTCCGCTCTCGGGATTTTCCCAGCAACCTTGATTGTGACAGATACTGGAGACTTCCCCGCGCCTGCTACCGCGACTGAAACCGAAGCTTCTGGCGATTCTCATGTTTCAACTAGTGACACGAGTTCGAATGCGCCCGCGACCGCGACTGCGACAATTACTGGCCTTGGCTCCGCCTCCGTTGGGTCCCCAAATTCGACTGCCATGATAACTGGTGTCCCAACTTATTTCGGTAATGGAACTTCGCCGGCTGACAAGAACGGCACGACAGTGACGGTGACTGTTCTTGCCAGCTCTATTCCGTGCCATTGTAAATGTGACTGCGGAGAAAACCAGACCGCCATTGCCACCGTCACTATTCCAATAGGGGCAAAAAATCACGGAGTCAAGAAAGTTGCGCCCGTGGCGTTGATGTGTGGAATCGTAGCTAGTGCTATGTTCTGGATTTGAACTTGAGGTGTGAACTGATTTCCCATTTGAAGAGAATAGTTTGAAATTGAAATTGATTGGTTTATATTGTACTCCGTTACCTATGTTGTAGGAATCAATTCCGCTTCAATTTGTCAGTATAAAAATAGAACAGCCCTGCCCAGAGTTGCTTGGTAACGCATTGATAATAACGCACTAACTATATCTAGTTAGTCAGTCCATAATGCTAGTGCTTATTAATTATGGTCCTTCCAAGGTTTCTTCCACTGTGATTGGCCACTTTCAGTCCATCTACCCCGAGATATGGAGCCATAAGCATGGTGCCATGGAGAAAGCGATAGAAAAATAGATTTTGGTGATCTCGCGAGACAAGGATTCGCAATCCACATCATGTATAAGAACCCCAGCCTAGTCCACCTGTTGTTTCTCCTTCTTGCAATTGCTCTTTACCACTTCACTCCACAACTAATCATCCACCTGTCTCCTCTCAACACCTTCATAATGGGCTCCACTCAACCCGAATTCAAGAACACGGCTACCTCCAATCTTTTGGAGTTGGTCAAGGCTCGCCGCACCTACTACGACCTCAAGGGCGAGAGCCCCGTCTCTGACGATGTCATCGACCGCATTGTTCAGGACTCCGTCCTCCACGTTCCCAGCTCCTTCAATACCCAGACCTCCCGTGTTGTCCTCCTGCTCAAGGAGGAGCACAAGAAGGTGTGGGATATTGCCATTAATGCCTTGGAGGGTCTGGTCGCTGCTGGCCACGTTCCTAAGGAACAGTTCGAGACTTCTACCAAGCCCAAGCTGAACTCTTTCCGCGCTGCTTACGGAACCGTGCGTTTCCCCTCTCCGATATGACTATGACTCCATTTTGCGTCAAAATGGCGAATCATCGGCTTACCCATCAATCCAGGTCCTCTTCTTTGTCGACTTTGAGTCCCTCGCTCCTATGAAGGAGAAGTTCGCTATCTACGCCGACAAGTTCGACCCCTTTGCCCAGGAATCGAATGCTATGTCTCAGTACCTTGGTATGTGTTTTTCTTCGTAGGCCTTTGGTCGGAAATAAGCAATTTTAAGCTAACTATCATTCAAGTCTGGATTGCCCTTCAGTCTGAGGGCTTTGGTGCCAACCTTCAGCACTACAGCCCCCTCATCGATGAGCAGATCGCCAAGACCTGGAACATCCCCGCCTCATGGAAGTTGGATGCCCAGCTGGTCTTCGGTACTCCCAACTCTGAGCCCGGCGAGAAGGCCTTCGCTCCTATTGAGGACCGCTACAAGGTGTTCGGTAAATAAGCATATCTAAGATACTTGTATATTGATTTAGCATCACGAATGAAAGAGCAATGACTTCGATTTTCAATCTCCATGCAATTGTGCAGGTCTTGAGATTAGTAGGCTGTACTGCATAATTCAACCCCACCTCTCAGCAAGGGCAGGGCGTACCTGATATGACGTCGTGTACATGTAGGGTGATGATGATCAACAAAGCTTAGTCGAACATCCAGGTTCATAGTTTGAGACCCTGAAGATCAAGCGTAGATCAGAAGAAACGATGATCATCACACGGGACTAGCGGTCTGACATTAACCGAATCTTAGCCTGATGCAAGGTCCCGCTGTGTCCCTTCGGCTTCGGAAATCGGATTCCGTCATGCCGTGCATCCGATTGGATGAAAAATTCCAAGGAAGAGAGATTGGGCATCAAATTATCGAATCATCGTGTCAATCATTGACGATCAGATCAAGGCTGACGACATTGATATACATATTGATATACATTTGATTCGCAATTCATTCTCTAATAGCATTCCAAGCATGATCTCGGAAGTAGATCTTCTGCTCTCATGTACCTTACAAATACAAATGATTGCCATGTTTCTTCTTCTCCCTTTGCTTCCAAATAGAAGAGAAATTAACCGTCTCGGCGTTCAGTCTTGGGGGCACTATCTCTAAATCAGGATGCTTGGGAAGGAAACTCTCGTTAGACATGACTATAGACATACCTGTTCCTGAAACACAAACTAGATCCACTATTTAAGAGTATACGCAAGCTTCCGCAAGGGGGTCGGATGAGCACGTTGTAAATTATATGCAGGAGGTACGTAGACGCTATACATCTAGTATAAACTAGTTATCGTACCTTGTAGTAAAGATCTTATAGGTACAGCATACATCGATGCCTGACCTTATTTTGGATAAAAAATCAAAACTCCACCAACTCCACTCACATCTTATCATTTAGCCGTTTTTCGCCATCCTCACTATATATTTTTTCTTTCTTTCTTTCTTTCTTTCTTCTTCAACCCTCCCAAATTGTCCTTCATAACAACCTTGAACACTATCGTGTCTCTGTCAAATTGACTATGTCATTTGAACCGCACGCGGGTGCAGACGCCCACGCCAATGGGACTCAGGATCTAGATCTTACGCCTCCACAAGGTCAAGATGGAGACTCAGCGCCAGTATCCAGCCGGTCTTCAATGTCCTACACAAGAACATACTCAACACCAGCGACCGGGGCACAAACCCCCGATCCACTGATGGGCCACAAGGTCGTGGACAAAGTCGCTCTCCAAGACCTTTCTATCAATGACATCAACCGTGAAATCAACGAGAGCTATGCCCTCGATACAACAAACAAGATGAAAAACAGAAAACACGCAGAGTCGGTACACCGTTCTCATCCCGACAGCTCCGACGAAGAATCAGGATCCCCGATCCGCAGCAAACAAGGCATCCCGCCCGAGCTCTCAAGCTTCACAGCCGAGCTGGTTCTAATCTTCGTCTGCTCAGCTGGCCTAATGCTTTTTTCTTTCCTGCTAGGCGACATGCTCGCCCCACAAGAACAAATCAAAACAGCCCTCGGCATCACCAACACCGAGCTCCCCTGGGTCGTCGGCGCCTTCAACACAGCTAACGGCCTGTCGGTAATCATCTCCGGCTCGCTTACAGACCTAATGCCACCAAAGCTCCTCATGGTCGGAGCCTTCGCCTGGCTCGCCGTGTGGAACTTAGTCGGCGCATTCACCCTACACCCATCGCGCTACGTGCTATTTTTCGTTATGCGCGCCATGCAGGGTCTCGCCATCGGCGTCCTCGTCTCAGGCAGCATGAGCATCCTCGGCCGCGTCTACAAACCAGGTATTCGCAAGAACCGCGTGTTCTCCGCAATGGCCGCTACCGCCCCGTTCGGGTTCTCCCTCGGCGCAATCCAGGGTGGAGCCTTGTATCAACACCTCCCGTGGATCTTCGGCTCAAACGCCATTATCTGCGTGATGTTGTGTACGGCGGCTTGGTTCGCCATACCACCTCTCCGACCCATGGCCGATGTCTCCGGCAAGGAAGCACCGTCGATAAAGCAATTCGACTACCTCGGCGGCTTCTGCGCGGCCGGTGGTTGCGTGTGTCTCTTGTTCGGACTGACGCAGGGTCCAGTCGCATCTTGGGCCCCCTACACATACGCCTTAATCATCGTTAGCTTTGCGCTCTTCGTCGGGCTCTTCTTTGCCGAGCGCATTGCTGTTCGGCCGCTCATCCCTAACAGGCTCTGGCGTACACAGGGCTTCACTCCGTTGATGATCGCATACTTCCTTGGCTTCGGATCCTTCTTCGGCTGCTGGCAGTTCTACGCTATTCAGTTCTGGCTGCGTATCCAACACGCCAGCCCCATTGCTGTCGCGCTATATCATATTCCCAATGCGCTAGTCGGTGTCCTGGCGACTGTGATCGTCGCCCGCACTCTGCACCTCGTCCCCGGTCATTATATTTATGCGGTATCCATGCTAGCTTTCACGCTTGGACCGGCGTTTTTCCTTCCCCAGACTGCTAACACCAGTTACTGGGCGCTTTCGTTCCCCGGTGTTTCGCTGGTCACATTCGGGCCTGATCTTGCTTTTGCGGCGGCTTCGATCTTCATCACTAGTAATGTTGAACGGTCCTATCAGGGAAGTGCGGGTGCTTTGTTGGTTACGAACCAGAATCTTTCGTCGGCGATTTTGACTAGTGTGGCTGATGCTATTGGGACCCGTGTTGATAGAGGCCCGTCTGGGGAAATTGGTCTTGATGGACTGCATGCTATTTGGTGGTTTGCCCTTGCGGCGCAGTTGCTAGCTGCGTTGGTTACGATTGTTTGGGTCAGAATTCCCAAGGAGGAGGAGAAGGAGCACGTTACTTGATTTGGATATTACTTTGGTTTATTTAGAGATAGATGTCTTAGATCACGGGTTGGATATTTCCTCCATTTGATATAGAATACCCCCGCTATATTAACCACCACTAAGTATTTAACTATAGATCTTAGCCCTCTCTACTATTACCTCTCTATAAAAGCGGTTAGACAGTTTTATGACTTATTCCAGATACTATTCTACAGTTCCAAGTGATTTGTAATCGATTCCAATCCAATATCTACACGCTGCACTGTTCCATAGTGCTCTATTCAACAGTTGTCAGTTGACCACCCATCCTACAGAAATATATATCAAAATGCCGAACCCGAGCCTATAAACGAAACAAAAAGAAAAGTTGCCACTGAAGTATGTCGTCCCAATGAAATCATGAAAAATAAAACAAAGCTCGTGCGTATATCCGAACGTAGATGAAGAATATATGTATCCAGACAAAAATAACGAAGAAAAAAAGACATCAAGCATCCATAACTAGCCTATGCTGACTGGTTCCCTTCTTCGAGGTTTTCTCCTGCATAACGCTCATCTCAGTGGTGACCTCGATACCGCCGAACGAACTGTGACTGGAGTGGTTACCAGACTTAACATTGATCGAATACATATCAAAGTCCTTATCGTGGTTTTGGCTAAACAGCTGAGTATGACGTGTTATAGTACGAGTTCCCGTGAGGTTCGTCGCGGTGGCTTTATTGGCAGCATATCGATTGGAGCTACCTGCTGCCAGAAGCCTAGGGAAGATGCGGCTGATTATGGGTCGTAAGAATGGGAGGCAGGAGCACATGATGGCGACGTTGCATTCTGCGGCGGTCCAGTAGGCGGCTGCGACGTTGCTGTCTGTATAGTGGATTAGCCTTTATATCAATGGATTGGAGAGGACAAGAATATAGCGTACATGAAGTGTCGGGACTTTTTGCTACTTCACGTAAACTGGAAAGGCGGAGAATGCTGGTCACCACAACCAAGATACCCATGGCAAAGACGCCTATTAGGGCAATCTTCTGCGTGCGGGGCAGCTGTAGTTTGGAAAGTAGCGGCATGGGCAACAATAGTAGGGCGATATCGGTCATAATGTTCATCACAGCATTGAAGAACCAGAGAGCCTCGAACTTGAGACAGTTCCCTGGCAAGTCCTTGTTCCAGAATTTGGCCACTGGGACACAGTTCACGAAGCCACTCACAATGGCCCATGACGAGTAGCTAGCCACGATAGCCATTGTGACATAACAGGCAATGCGGAAAGATTTGCCGGGAAAGATGCGCAGATATTGGAAGAGAATGGAGAATTTGGTGAATGCCAAGCTGGCGTTGTACATGGGAATAGCAGCCCACAAACACTGAGAAGTCTGATTAGTTTACACTAACAAAGAAAATAAGTAAAGGGTAAAGCGTACCTTAAGTTGTTGCTGCAAGACATAAGTGGAAAGAAGTGCTGAGTGGACGCCCATCTGATAATGTAGTTCTATCATTCATATTAGTGGGGTGGCTCTTGAATTCACCGATGCATCCTGGACTTACGGGCAGCGACGAGTGCAAGGTAGATAATGGAAAATATCTGCACATATAACTTATTAGCGAGCTGCTAATTGAGCTTTGGATGTGCTCTTCAAGGGACGCACAAAAGAGATTAAAATAGCCCAATCTTCACGACCGGTAATTTTCATCAGTCGAAGTCTAGCATAGAACCGCATTGCGACAATGATAGTTGAAATTGCGGTTAGTACTGCAGTCACCACCAATGCCCGTCGGCCGTGAGAGGCTCCATTATCATCCTCCCGAGGAAGCAATTTGTGAATGAAACCATGCATATTGAATACCGAGGTCAAGGACCAAATATAACGAGAGTAGTTGTAAAATGAGCGTGTGACCTATGTGCAAATGTTTTAATCGATCATCCCAGCGTAGCAGTAGCACAATGGCATTAGGTCGATGCCCCTCACTGCATTGAACTTGGAGTGGAGACCAGCAGGAAAGTGAATCTGATATAAGAGAAAACAATCCTCCTCGGAGACTCGCAAACAGCGAACAGAAACAACCTCATTTGAGCATGCCCTTAATGTCAATCATTGTCTGAACACACTGCGGAGCACCATTCATGCATGGCACGAGCAAATCTAGATAGTCGATTCATGGGAAACCCCCACAGGTTTGAATAGTCTGCATAGTCTGCTCAATAGTGCTGCAGCACCAGCCGGTGATCCTATGTTCCCACCCAAGTTGCTGGGAATCCTTGGCTCGCCTAGGTAATAACTCCGACCCCGGGGTATTTGCCATGTGGGCGTATACCCTGCATATGGATCCCCCTGGAAGAATGATGTGAGAGACTCACATACAACGGGTAAAGATTGACACGTGGCTGTCAAGTCATTTAAGGAAAATCCAAGTTATCTTTTCGAGTTTCCTCGTTGGGTATAGCAGTTGAGAACGGGCCTCTATGACCATCCAGATGACCCGCTTTAATGGGAACCTTGGGAGTATGCGGTGCTTTCACTGGCGGTAGATGTATTTTTGCCGAAGGAAATTAATGCCGGGTGGAGTGGCATTGGTGTAGTGCCGTAATTCTACCGATAGTAATAATATTGATGTTGCATGCTGCATCAGCTTAGGGTCAGCCCAAGCGGTGTTATCCGTTTACTGACGAAGTGCACCGTGGGACTGGGTATATGTGCATCGCTGAGGTATATTGTAAATATCTTGCAAGCGGCACGGTAGAATGAACATGTTAGACCTGGACAAAAGACTTCGGTGGAAAGAAAGGAAGGGAAGAAAGGAACAATCTGGTAGCTAACTCGTTAGGTAGGATCGACAGAGTGATCACTCATATCATTTCCTAATTGAGCTAGGTTATGTTCCCCTTATTGCTCCTCCATCTTTATATCCGGGACTAGTTATTCATTTTTGTTACTTCCGTACTCGTGTACTTGAGTTCAGACCTCAGATCTCGGGTCTATATATCTTGGAATACCTAGTATAAGCAATATACGATGTTAGTATCCAATATGCAGACAGATCTGTGGAACTATTTGACGAACAATCCATCTATTGGCTATTTATGTTTTAGATGCAATAACTACATAGTGTATTTCGCATGGACTCTCGAAGCACATGATCTCGGATTCACTCACTATGTTGTAGTTAACTACAAAATACTCCGTACATACATGGAGATATCTACTCTCCAGACAACTCAACAATAATCTCCCCTTTCTCCCCGAGCCCAGCCTTAACAATTGTTCCCAACTCCCCACTGAGCTCACGAATCTTCCTCCTAACCCACACATGGTCCTCATCTCTCGAATCCAACAAAACAGCCCTAAATCTCTCAACCCGCGTAGGGAAGATCTCCAATCTCTCCAATCCAAGTCCACCACCACTCTTCTCCCGAACAACAACCCTCCACAACGCCCCAAGATCATTCCTATACTCCTCATTCAGAGCATAATCATCCACAAAGTCCCCACACCCGTAGATAACAAGCTTCCCATGATAAACCTCCACCCCCTGAACATGATGCGACGAGTGCCCATGAACAATATCCACCGCACACTCATCGATCAAGAAATGTGCAAGAGACGTAATGCGTCCATCAGGCTGCCAAGCATAATTCGGCCCCCAGTGAACCGAAAAGATCTTCAACGCAGGCTTGGTCTCCTCGGCATCAACAAGCATTTCACGCAGCCGAGCGCGCGTGTCGCGCGTGTAATCGAACAGGTTAAATCCCGGCACGTTGGCCCACACGTGCGGGTGATCGGAGGCTGAGTAAATATGGACCATGTGGCGCTGTTGTTTGTCTTCGTCTATCGGATCTGAGGCCCGGGGCAGATGTAGCACAGCAGGCTTGCGTGCATCATTGGCTGTTTCACCCGCACCGGCGTAAGTGACGTTCGCCCGTTGCAGTGTTTGCACGGTCTCTGTGAGACCCTCGGTGTCGAAATCCAGGGTGTGGTTGTTGGCGAGACTGGCGTAGTCGATGCCGCCGGCGTGCAGAATGGGGCCTAGGTTGGCTGGGTGCATGCGGTAGTTGAATACCTTGTTGGGCCACGGGATTGGGGCTGTTGTTACGGCGGTTTCCAGGTTGATGCATGCTAGGGTAGAGGAGTGGAGGAGCGGGAGGGTTGTTCCCCATGGGGACGATGGTGTGTATTTTCCTTTTGAGAGGAGAGTTGGATCGGCTTTTATGAAGGTTGTGGCAATGCGCTCGTCGTGCTGGTTAGGGACATGCTCTGGCATTAGTTGATCGAGCAGGCGGCCGAGCATTACATCGCCTGTGAAGGTCAGAGTGAAGTCTTTCGGGGTGGACATTGTAGAGAATGGTCAGTTTGAAGAAATTGGAATTGGTAGTTTACAGCGGATTTGATCTGTTTCCGATTGATTTCATCGAGAGGTTGGAAGTCATTATGACATCGATCCTCAGGAAGTAATAGTGAAGGAACATCTACCCATATGCTCATCGAGGAACTCGTAAAAAAAATGAAATAGATAGCAATGGCACATTATAAAATACAATCCATTTCAACACTTTTTTTAAAAAAAATAAAAACACAGCCAGGGACAAGATATCCCAGGAACGTGAGTGGTATCTTTGTGCGCCATTTATCTCACGAAAAACACCGGTTTGCAAAACATTATCCGAATATCATTATTTTCGTCACAACTTAGACAGGCGTCGAATCTATCGTCTCATTTCTGCCAGCTCGCGCTCCTTTGCTCTGAGCATCTCGCGCATCTGCTCAGCTTCGCGTTCAAGTCGGACACGGCGATCAACCGAGTCTCCGAGAGATGCAAGGCCAGGCAAAGGCTGCGGCGGGTGAGGCGAAGGGGAGATAGAGTGGTGAATAGGAGGTGGACGTCCCAGATTGGTATCTGGGCGAGGCTCGCCCCGAACATCTGATTGGTTCAGAATGGACGAGATTGAGCTAAGACGACCGGGGGAGTAGGATTGGCCGAAGACATAATGGGAGGCAGTTGATTTGATCCTGCTTCCAATGTAGACGGGGCCGGGAGAGCCTCTGACGCCGTCTCGGCCAATGTTCGCTTTTTAGGAAGGTTGAGGGGATTTGGAGAGGCGGACCGCCGCCCGTACTGAGATACGGGTGAATGTCCCAGGCGATCCACTCCCAAGGGTTTGGGTAGGCCGTGGGAGACGGAGAGACCATGTACAAGGGGCATGGATGAGACATTGTACCCGGTAAAATCAACCGGCGGTGGCGCAAACGGTAAGGGTCGAGGTGCATCTTCGGTCTTTCCAGGCATCATGTGGTAGTGCTCCGCAGGCTCACTGCTCATATATCGATAGTGATCGTCATGGCCATGCGCCAGGGCGGCAGGCGAAGCCTCCGGGGATGCTGATGAGCCATTGGAAGAAAGGGTAGCAGCGGTGGGGGACTGATCCCGCAGGGCGGGAACAACACGTTTGCGACGTTTGATGATGGACTTTTTCATGTTGGTGGGGCGATAGCATCCGTGGAGCTTATAGTACAACCCTACGTTGTGTTAGAGATCATATCATCAGATCTATACAAGATCCAGACTTACCACAAGCGTTGCAAATGGGGTGGCCCTGTTCATCGCGCCGCCACAGAGGAGTCACGGTTGTGCCGCAATTTTGACAAGCAACCAAGGTATTGGGGCCATCAGCAGGAGTAGGCATCTTTACCGGTGGCTCCTCCTGCGTCACAGGCTCAAGTTCTTGCGCTGGGTGACGGCCCCACGATGACTGGATGGTAGTCGCTCCTCGGGGAGCAGACTTGTATATCCGGTTGTTGTATGCCGGACATCCATCGCACCCTTCTGCACCACCAGTGCCATTACAACTCCCACCACCAGGGCATGACCCCTTGCAACCACCACCTTCCGAGGAACCGCCACAGTGAGAGCTTGTAGGAGCCGGCGGCTTCTCGGCCCCCTCTGATTGCATCCTATTCCGTTTCGTGGGACGAGCGACGTTGCGAGCTTTGAGGTAGAGACCGCAGGCGTTACAGATCATCGCTCCCGTGGGAGAACGACGCCAGAGAGGAGTGCTTTTTGTGCCGCAATTGCTGAAAAGAAGAGATGGTGTCAGCCCTTGTAACCTAATTATCAATGGAGGCCACCCAATCGAGACTCACCTGCATGAATGCCCCAGGAATGTTGTGTCTTTTTGGCTGCCAGGGGATGTTTTCTCGCTCGAGATATCGTTGTGTCCAATCCATTGAGTTGTTCCCGGTTGGCCAGACCCTTGCACCATGCCATCCTCCCGGTAGTGATCTGCTAAATGTTCACGACCTGCCTGCGCGGAGGAGATCAACTGCTGCGCAGCATCCAAATCTTCCGCTGATGGTTGTCGCATCGGAACGTCCTGATTTCGAGGCAAAGAGTGAAGCGCTTCCATTTGTGGGATAGACGCTAACATTACAAGCGGTGATTCGGGCCAGGGATCCTTCGGCCGTTTTGCTTGAAGTGGGAGAGTCGAATGGGAACGAAACGACGGAGGCGAAAGGGAGAGTGAAAATCCTAAGATGTGAGGGCGATGTCACACCACAGTCGAGAGCGGAATGCACCGTATCACTCAAAAACCAAATGTCGGTCAAGCTGACGGGTTGGAGAAAGATGGGAAAAGTCAGTCCAGCAGGAATATATGCAGCCACGATGCTGCAGGATCGGGGGAATCGTAGGGCGGACGATGGCTCGGGATCACGGTGGAAAAGAAGTGAATTCGGATGCCGCCACACAGAAGTAGGAAATCGAGTGTCGAGTAGATTAACAAGTCAACCCGCCACCAAAGATAGTAACCGGCTCGTATGGAACAGTGGCGACCCGACGGACTTGGAACAGTCAGGTGATAGTGATTGCGATAATTGACAGCACACCACAAGGTCTTGGTCTGACTGGCAGGCGATCGTGGGGGACAGTGTTATCGAGGGCCCGATGCAAAAGGACGAACAGCGAGGCAGGGATTGTTCGACAGGCTAGGGAGCTGCAAGATGGTGATCACTCCGCGTTAGGACTAGGCAAAGTGGGCACACAAGATGCGATGAAGGCGATAAAGGGGGGACAAGTACTCCGTATAGGAGGATTATAGATTGGGAAGGGGCGTCAAAGACAAGAAAGATGAAAAGGAGAGAAATAAGAGAAATGAAACAAAGAGGCGAGACCGAGTATTGCTTATCGCCCAAAGAAAGGGATTGGGGTTTATCGATCTAAGTGGAAGGGGGGATCGACGGGCGTATCAATCTATCACTTTAATCTGTACCGTTTGCCGAGGATCGCATCAATCTCATCTAATCATTCACTCTCTATTTGTGATTTTTCTGCTTCTACTTCTTCTATTTTTTTCTTGATCTTGGACTAATTCAACAGGAAATCTCTGGTGATTCTGCATGATTCGATATCTCCCCATTTACATTGTAGACTCCACCTATGACCTGATGAAGTTTAGTTGGAAAGTGAAAATACAGTGGAAAATGTGGAAAAGGTGGAAAAAGAAAGAAAAAGAGTGGGAAGAGTGGGAATTACACCTTGCCCAACTGAGGTTAGAGTGGGGCAATGGTAGGAAATCAAATATATAAAGTCAATGATTGGTTCAAAATAGATGACTAATCCTGTCATCAAATCTCTGGATGTTCCGATTGGTTTCTCGGAGATGGAACAAGCCGAAGCGATATGGCCACGCTGTACTTTTGTACGGTAACATATAGTACGGAGTACGGAGTACACCGTTGTATGTTGTAGTTATGTTGTATGTTGTACGGAGACAAAGGTACCGACTCTTTACAAACTAATACCGGGTAGTACAGCATACAAGTCGTCTCGGCGCTAAGAAGTCCCTGCACTAGCTCCTTGATTATCAGATGATCTCTCACCGGATTACTAGAATAAGAAATCAATAAATCATTAGAGCATGCCAATGCTGCTAGACAATGCTAGCTCACCACGTCCCAAATATAGTACAGGTGTCTCTCTGTGTCTCTGTGTCTCTTTACGCTGGTATCAACAAAAATATTGACCTAGCAAAACTGTCCTATTCCCCTCTTCAAATCCCCTTCCTTACAACGACATCCCTCGATGATGAAATCCATAGGGCGTCTCAAGGTCGTCGTGCTCATCGAACATCGCATACCGCATGCTGGAGGAAACCGCCTGATCAGACAGTATCCATCACAGTGCCAACGCGATACGAAAAAAATTCTCACCACCTACGCAGGAGGCAGTTTAGACCTGCTCGGCACCCCAGCCCTGGTCGGATTCGCGCATGTTCGAAGGGGGCTCGATAGAAGGAATGAACTCGAGGGCGACGTATCCGAGACCGATGAAGGCGATCAGCGAACCATCAATGATGCGCAGCACATGGTCGTGTAGCAGAATGGAACCGATGAAGATGTAGACTGTTGACAGTAATGATTAGCCACCGCATTCCCTCTGATTTAGGAGCGTGCAATGGTATAACTTACAGACACCACGGCCCAGGAAGGAGAAGAGGAACGACGCATAACGGTACGCGTAATCCGGGACATGGGGGAGGAACTCCAGTCCGCCGACAACTAGGATAATATTAGCACGGACTGTTGGTGTTATGAGTTTAAATGACCGTTGGAACCTACCGAGACCAAAGACAACTGCATATGCGCCGAGGATGAATGAACTCCAGGTGCCGGTGAAGAAGTTACTGATGCCACCGAGCACCATAAACACGCCCACGGCGATGTTGACAAGACGGCTGCATTGGGTCAGTACTGGCACAGATACATCCAGCAAGAGCTAACATACAAGATGTTTGTGAAATCCATTGCGATAGTTTCGTTCAAGGCTTGGGGATGGGAGTGATCTTCAGGGTTGCTCGCGAATCAATGTGGAGGGCGAGTCGTTAGGCTGCAGAGTTTTGACAAAGAATCGGTGTCGAGTAACTAAACTGGGTCTTCAATGGTGCTCTGTTAGCTTATGATACGAATACGATGTCGCTTGGTCTCGCCAATCGCTCAAATGATGATGGAAGCTAGGTTCGCCGGAGTTCGCCAGGCCGGACCCCAGTTTCCTAGTTCTATGACAAAAGGGAACTTACCTTGAAGATGACACAACAGGTCTGAGGGGAGATTAATAGGCAACACACGTTTGATCAAACAGCTTGCCAGGGTTTGAAAGAAGCAGAGCAGGGGGGAAGTGGAAATTGAGGGCGTCGACAGCTGCTGCGCTGTCGCAACCAGCGGGTCTGCCAAGACAGCTGGTGGCTCACGTGATCTTCCATGGGCCAGTGCGGGCGCTATTCTGTATTAAGAATAGTGTTTCCTTGGCGTAGGGCTACAGGTCTTCACTTAGTTAGCTATTATTGATCTCTTGACTGTCAGGTATGAATTTATAATACATGCTAAGGTCAGTACCTCCTAGAGAATGTACTATAGCCGTCTCCTCAAGACAGCGCAGAAACACAGGTAAAGAAAGAGAGAAGACAGTCAGTTGAAACCTACGAAAACCACATACCCATGTGTCTATTATATGTACCAAAGTTGATGAAAGGGATGCTTGATTTACAAGCTGCAAATTCAGGTACAGCATACAAAGGGACTTCACCAGAATGCTTGACATATAGCTACATATATACCAAGCGCCTCAAACCCCCGTCATGTAATGCGCTTTCTGCCTCTACACCTAAGCTAGTGAGCATAGTCGGGAATACCTGGGTTGTAAATTATATTATAGCAAAGCGCTGATGCAAAAGCCCTACGGGTGGACTAATGTTTGTGTCAATTGTTGAATATGATATCTTGAAGCCGTGATTGATATGCCTGAAAAGTTTACTGCTGTTCATCATCTCCACCAATAACAGAAAGATCAAACATCAGATAACACACTATACCTCTTTATTAACCTCAAGAAGATGTACAAGTGTAAAGTCAGAGTTGGTGTTGTTTGACTATTCTCTGGGGTCTGTATCTCATGAACTTTCTGTGTTGAACTGGGTAGATGATAGCTCAGAATTTGAATGGATTACAATCGAATAGTACACCATAGAGATTTAAGGCAAAAAGCAAATCATGCCCGAAAAGGCAATGAGATCCAGCAATATGATAAAAAGCCCCAGACTCCATATAAAATACCCCAAAATACCTAGACATATACCTAGATATACTTCGTTAACTACTGTGCCCATTTAAGAAGTTGTTGTAAGCAACACCCTCCCCTTAAACCTACATGAATACACTTTGAAGGACCCTGGAATGTTCTACATGCCCAGCTGCCCCGCAATAAATCATTCAGCTGGTGCAACTTGCGATCCCGGTGGAAAATTCGACGGAATGGATAATAGTTGGCCCAATCAGTTGTGTTGATCGTCAATAAATCATGCAGATAACGTGCATGTATCATCCCTCCATGTAGACCAATGGACTACGGCAATATACAGAGAATAACTGGTTGAGATCTCGGACTAAGTTACCAATATTTCAAGAGACCTAGACTGCTTAAAACCTGCTCATCGCTGACGTTATTACCGAATTTAATTACAGCTCATATAGCTTTGATGCAAAAGTATACGGCTCCAAATTCTGCCTTGACATGTCTTCCCCCTTACATCTTCACCTTAGACTTGGCTTTCCACACGCCGGTTTCCCATTAAAGGATTATTGTTTACCTTTACAAAGGGACATCGCGGGGGAAATCAAATTGAGAGCTTGTTTTGTTATTTTGTTAACTCCAAATCATAATGGAGGATGTCACATCAAGAAAACCGTGGCTTTTCGATCTACGCTCATCCAAGCAACTGATCGGCCTTGCTGTATTCTCAACCACCTTCACTGATGGATTCCTTTACGGGATAGTATGTGTTTCTAATCTTAGCTGTTAAATGGCACTATTGACCCTAAGGGCTCTCTTCTAGATCGTATCCGTGCTCCCTTTCTCTTTAACCGTTCGGTCTGGAGTTCCAGAGGCTGATGTCCCATTTTGGACATCAACTTCTTTGGCCGCTTTCGGTCTCGCGATGGTATTTGGCGCCCCGATAGCAGGCTGGATTGTCGGAAAATACGAAAGACGCCAAATACCATTCCTGGGAGGCCTCTCTTGTGCATTCGGTGCCACCTTTTTATTCATGCTTGGAGTCAAGCCATGGGTGATCATCGTGGCAAGGATTTTCCAGGGCCTATCTGCAGGTGTTGTCTACACTGCTGGATTAACGCTGTTGGTGGACACGATCGAGTCGCACGAGCTGGGACTCTGGGTTGGATTCGGACTCTCGGGCATGAATTTTGGCGTGCTCGTATCACCTACTCTCGGAGGAATTGTATATGAAAAAGCAGGCTTTTATCCTGTTTTTATCATGGGTCTTGGCGTGGTTCTCATCAACTTGGTCCTCATTCTGCTCATGATCGACAGGAAGACTGCTGTGAAGTATAGGGGTCACAATGATTCCACTGAGAGTTCCTCCCTTCCCAATGGGAACTCGCCAAGGAGTGCAGTTGCAAAGGGAAAACGGCGACTATCAACTGTCGAAGAAGGCGATTCAACTATCACCACACCGCTACTTTCGCACTGCCGCGAGACCTCGTCTGCGGTTGCGAAAGATCCTTCTTGGTGGACTATTGTCGGTGGTCTCCTTCGAAATCATCGTATATTTGCTGCGTTATACGGATGCCTCATCAACACGATCTTGGTGAGCGGCACGGACGCCGTCCTCCCGATTTTTATCAAGCAGACCTTCCACTGGGTTTCCGGTGCCACGGGGGCTATGTTTTTAAACTTCTCCATCCCATCATTGATATGTCCATTGGTTGGAATGATCTCATACAAGTACGGTGTCCGATTGATCTCCGGTCTCGGTTTTACTTTAGCAGGTGTCGCAGTCGCTCTTCTCGCCCTAATAAAACATGACGATACTGCAAGCAAGGTTATGGCGTGCGTGCTACTATCTTTTGTTGGTAAGCTCCGACCACAGTTCCATGAACGTCAATTTATACCCACGGATTTGCTCACAACAAACAGGAATGGGGCTAAATACATCGCTGATCCCGTTGGTGGCGGAAATACCTCGCATTATGAATACCGTACAAGAGGAGCAACCTGATATATACGGCGATAAGAGTCCAGTCACCGAGGCCTATATGCTTCTTGGTGCGACATTTGGCGCTGGCACTGTACTTGGCCCATTGCTTTCAGAGCTTACGTTTGAGAATTTGGGATGGACTGGATTCACCACCATGCTGGGGTTTCTGAGTTTGTCGGCCATAGTTCCAGTGGTAAGTGGCTGCATGTTTATTCAATCCCTGTTGAATAGGTTGCTGACCTCAAAAAGATGGTACATTTGGCCCCAAATCCGAAAGGCCGGTAAATAATCTCTCGGTGATGTATGTGTTTACTTTTAAAGCTACCAGTTGAGTATTGTCGATGCTTTCGGAAAACAAATATCAAAGGTAACATTTACTTTTTTTCGCCGCGAGCTTCTGGCAAATGGGTCGATTGGGGGAGATCACGTAGGTCAAGGGCTGGCATACGTGTACACGAGGAAGAAAACCGGTAGTTCTATCATTCTTGTTGATATACATTGGCAATATCCCGGTCATCACCATCCATGTGGCTATTGTCCATTTTTAAACTTCCCCAATCACTTCCTGTCTTTTCTCTAGCCGAACCTCAGAGAGGCCATTAGCGAAGCAACTCATGCGCATTGGGTCCTGCTGTAGCGCATTGTACATTTCATCCAAATCAGTCCCAATTCCGATCTCCTCTGCGGTCTTCAAGCTCCGTGAATCGACAGAAGGAGCAATGCTTGGCCATATGCCTTGAACGTTGTTGAAGAATACCTCCACTCCCAAGTCCCCCATCCCCCTGATCTCCTTCATCAATATCCTGACTTTGTGAGGTTTTCCATCTGCCAGCTTGAGGAGATTGTTCAAATCTCCATCTGTATTCATGCAAGGTTAGGATTTGCTTCCACAAGCAGTATAACATCGCAGATTCAAATCCGCAGATGGAAGTAAAGGCGTACCGTATCTATCAACAACCAGCTTCGCGAGCTCACCAAGATTGGTAGCCCCCTGCTCTCGATACCGGTTGTAACCCCCTTCTAGCAAAACCATTGTTCGATCTTCCCACGTGGTCTGGGAAAGTACGTCGATGTCATGATACCCGGCTTCGATTAGCTTTTTGATCGTTTTTTGTGTCAACTCGTGAGAGATTGGCCTTGCTTTGATCAGAGCGTCTAGAGCCATCGCCAACACTATCTCAGGGCTGGCATTTAGCGACTTTGGGTCGGCAAGTACTGTGCCATGTAGAGGAGATCTACCGAACTCGTTCAGTACCTTGATAATTTTGTGGGGTGTTTCTTTAGTCCCATGTGCTGACATCGTAGAGCAATTGATGGAGTGATTATGGATGGAAGTGAACCATTCTCCTGCTGAATCTCAAACCGAGTCCTTAAGCAAATATCAATTGACGTCACAATGGCATACATGGGCAGACCAAACTTCGCAAATTACTTTCCATGGCTAAATATTTCTAAATATTTGGGATTGCTACTGGAATATAACAATTGCTCTGTACAATGCAGTTCCTCACAGCTTAGCGCGAGATTTGTTCTGTAGGACCTCTTTGACCAAAGACACAGCGGAATATGCGCAGCCGAAGGAGGTCTGATAGCCAAATCCTCCATGGCCGTAATTGTGAACGATTGCCACACCGTCGACCTTGTCTTTTTCAATGCGAGTGCCACCTTCTCTGAGTGGTCGGAGGCCAACACCGTGACGAATAATGTCCAACCCCTCAATTCCCTGTCCCTCCTTGACGAGGCTGGGGCAGATATCGATGCAACGCTTCATGATACGATTGGCAAGGTTCATATCCGGGATTCCATTCCAGTTGTGCTTTTGATAAGAGCCACCGAGGATCGTGCCACCACCTGGAAGCAATAAGCCAATGATCTAACAGTAAACTAGCGTATACGATCTTACCTGCAGCACGAGTCATAATGTACAACACCTCATCTTCTCCGTCGTTAGTTCCGGATGTCGACATCATAGGACCGGGGTCGTTGCGGACGACGACAATCTGACCACGAGCAGGATACATCTTGTCGTCGGTAACACCCCCGAGCGTCTTGGATGATAGGCCGGTGCAATTGATCACCACGTCGGCTTTCTGTCCGGTGTGGTGGGCATTGGCCGCATCGGCGATATGCTTAAAGACAGCTCGCTCGAAGACGGCGCCGTTCTTGATGCACTGACCGACCAACCACGGCAGGTAGACAGCGGTGTTGATGCAAACAGATGTGAACTCCTGGCCATTGTCCACTCCGGGGGCTAATCGGTCAGAGGGGACGCTTTTGAACTAGAAGCATCACGTTAGTTTGCACTCTGCGGCTCTATCTCACGGTTAAAACATACATCAGGAACGACATCTTTATACCACGGGTTTGGCTGAGTCAATTCCGAAAACGACTTTCCGGTATCTGTTTCTTGATCCTTCTTTCGGTTGTAGATCAAGCTGCCTACACTTTGTTAGAGGATCAGATGTTGATCAGGTTCTGGGGAGACATCATACCTCGGAAGTGGATACCAGCCTCTGGGTACTTCTCTGTGATTTCTTTCAATGCTGGCCAGGTATCGAGCTCCCATTTGTGATGAACACTTCCCTCCTTTCCCACCCTATAGAAGATTCACTTAATCAGAGCTTTATCGAGAAGCCGGTTTTGGTCAATCATACGGCATATAGTTGGCACCAGCCCATGGAGATGCATATTCAATATCATAATCCCCGGGCATATGTTTTGCCAGCACAGTGATCTTATTAGATGGGTCCTGTGACAGTAGATATGCGGTGGTCAAACCGGACACACCCGCACTATTACATATCCATGGATGTTAACAAAGTGGAGTTCCTGTAGGGGTGGAAGCTAAAGAACCTCGGAGCTCGGGGAACTTACCCCAGAACTACAATGTTATTCGTCATAATGGGCACTTTAAGCTCTTTGGAATTCGAAGCCAGAAATATGCACAGTTGACACAACAGGGGCCTGTTTTCCTTAAATGTGTGAGGTGAGCTCCAGGGCAACGAGCGGGGTGAGGGGGTAATCAGTTAACTATCTCGCTCATTTAACCGACAAGTGGAAGTCTCCAGGGATGGTAAGGTGCGGTAAGGTGCGGTAAGGTGCGGTAAGGTCTGGTAAGGTGTGGTAAGGGCTTGATTACATTACTTTGTGCTTAGCCTATTATGGAAATCCCACTGCGGCGGTGTAAAATGTAAGCCAATAATATACCTCCAAAAAAATAAATAAACACGCTAGAGACTTTTAGTGGAGACATGGGTGGACATTCAGTACACGGTCAAAGTTTTAAAAATACAACTCCGCACTTATGCGGAGGTGATGCGTACAACATACTTCTCTCTGGTCAAAGGATTGTAAGCCATTGTGACAGATATATAATCCTTTTAATATATACCTCGATACCTCAATGATTTTGTTCTTCACTTCTCTTAGATCCTTGATTCAGTCATCGATTTTCTAATTTCACTCTTGGTCCCCCAGTAAGGAGCTCCGTAAAGTCCCGCTCCATCTCTCCGGACTCCACTCGGAATTCAACGTTATCGATCACATTTGATCTCTCTCCAGGGCTCTTCAGTTACCTCAATTGACGCTCATTTCTCTCGTAAATCACTCTTCTTTGAGATATTTTTGAATCAGAAAACCTAACAGAACCTTTGATCTACTAAATATAGAACTGAAATGCCCTGAAAGCATTCTATACAAAGAAAGTTGGGCGATGTCATAGTGGGCAAACGCCCACGCTGTGGCCAATCACCAAGCACCAGAGTTCACCGCCTCGCCCGGGTAGTCAAATGGGCATTGGAGGGCCGAACAATTTCCTTTTTCAAACCACCCGCAGGGCCCGAATTCACTCTGCGGGAGCCTTTTTGTTTGCCATTCTTAGATCAATAACCTCAATTTCCCTATTTTCTCATTTTTTTCTCACTTCTCTTTCGGTCTATTTGTCTATTGATCTACACTCCCATAAATGCCGACTCTTATTCGAGTCTCATCTTCAATATGTCACTCCTCACTAATGGTGGCAGAATCGTGCCCATACTTACGGGCTCTGATTCTCACGATCCTACCCTCGAGATGCCTCCGTCGTTAGACGCATCTCTTCCTTCAATTCCTCTCTCTCCAATCTCTTCCCAACCGACTATTCCTTGCCTGTTGCAGGATCAACAGGCTAGCAAACAAACCAAGCCCGGGCACCACGCGAGCTTGGAGATGGCCTCTCTTCAAGAGAGAGGCCTTTATGCACTACCCACCGAGGGAGACGGTAAGTCAATTACACCTTCTACATGTTTTTGGAGCTTCATAGCGTTTAGAAGCTACGTCAAGTTTTTTTAAACCTATTCTGACGCGTCCAATGCTAGGTAATTGTCTCTATTACTCCCTCTCCGACCAACTGTATGGCGACACCCACCATGCAGACGAAATACGCCAGCTTCTAGCCAACCACATGGCTTCCAATAAAGATTACTTTATGCAATTCGTCGTTGCTGAAGGTGGGGAGCGCCGCCGGCCTAAACGTGCGGCTGCATCTGCGTATGCTACTCGCTCTGCCGATGTCTCCGCTCCGTCCCAGGAGGACATGGAACGGCGGTTCCAGGAAATGATTGCCACCACCCGCAAGAATGGGGAATGGGGAAGTTCCGAGCATCTCCAGGCTTTCTGTCAGGCTTTCAAGGTCGACTTGAATGTATATACCATGGATGGTGTTTCGGTGTTCCAGGATGTCAATGCTCTCCCAACGCAACCCCGGGATGTTCTGCACGTAGCCTTCCATGTAAGTGTCTTGCTGTCATGCATATCGTGCATATCATCGGGCCCCACTAATGACCACAGGACTTCAAACACTACTCTTCAGTGCGGGGTATCGAGGGCAAGCATGAAGGACTGCTTGCCAGGCTAAAGCCTTTCCAACCTCTCAAGGAGGGTATTAAGCCCGAGGTCATTCCAGACTCCAAATCCAACATAGTTCCTGAACAATTCACCCCACCAGAAGAAAAAAACTGGCAATGGTTATACAACCAACGATGCTGGCCTTGCTGTTGACCTCGATCCCCCTGGGATATCAAATCCATTCAAGAGGGATTGGGTGGCCGATATGACCGGGAAACAATTGTCGACATGCTCCAGAGATGCCGTGGCGACATTGACCGCGCCTTCGCGGCGCTCTTAGACGAGAAGACCGACATCCCATTCGATAAGAAAGCTGCCCCCGGCATTCCCATAAAACCAAGCCTGCAGGCTTCGCGCTCTTCTTCTCCATTTAGTACCGGTAGCAAGCGGTCCGCGGAGGATAGCGACGATTCCGAAGATCCTCGTCCCGCACGGCGAACCCGACCTAAAAAACGTCTTGTCTCCAATCTTACCTTGGGTGTTGGTATCTCATTCAGGGATGAACACGATGAGGTTGTTTCCTTGAATCTTCGAGTGAGTTCTCCAACCAATAGTTTCCTTCAAGTGGGATGCTAACTTTGCATTTAATAGATGAACTCCGACACAGAAGACGGTCAGGCCACAGACCCCCTCTACCGGGTACCACTACCCCGGAACAATCAGACATGGACGGAAAGAAATGTCGTCGCAGCAGACGACTTTCCCGCCCGCGTCCGAACTGATTTTTTTCTTTCTTTTTCTTGCTTGTCTCCAGTCTCCGACTAGACCTTTGAGCATCTTTAGCGCTTTCTCTTGCATTAAAAAAAGGTGTTAGTGATGAAGCGATTGGTTCTTTACTTGGGTTTGCATATTGCATCGCCCTGCGGGGCTCGCGGCCTATGGGCTTGCGGAAGGAGGCGTTTTGTGATTATGAACTCGCATGAGGATTTGTGCCTGGGGCCGTCCTCCATGACCTTGTTTACAACGATACCAGGGTTTATTTCTCCCACTGTTTTCTAGAGTCCTTAGCTTTAGCTTTTTTTTTTTTTTTTTGACTCTTCTTCCAGTCTGGTCCTTGCTTGACCCATGATCCAGCGCTGATGGCGAGCTGGTGTGACTTGGATTCTTGTATTATTACCATGGAATGTCACACCCACTCTAGCTCAGCTCTGTCAGTCATCTTCCCTCGGTAATCTCCTACATAGTTAACATGGTGGACCTCCTAGTTCAGTGGACTGTACTCGATGTACTAGTCTGGTCTCCCAATTACTGCAATATAAACCTCGTCCCTAAAGTAACACTTGGGTTGCCTGTCGTTGTGTAGGTATTGGGGGGGGTTCGTTGTCTAATGACATGCCAAATATTGCAATGCGTCTTATGTACATGAAGATTGATCTAGTTAACTATTTGGTACTAGTTTAAAAGAGCACCCACCAGTACCCGCCATAACCTGAAGAATGCCAGCCAAATTTAATGCAGTTCGCTTTGTGTCGTGTCGGGAGTTTATTCTTGCTCTCTCAATCCTCCAGTAGGAACTTGAGGAACGCCACCCCAACGGTGACACCATCATGTTCATTATTTGCTCTGCTCAAAGCATCCTGAGCTTCGTCTGCCCTGAATATACCACTGTCGGCCCGAAACTGGACAACCTCCGTGGTAATGTCCCCGGTGAATTCAGGATGGCCCTGAACGGTGATAAAGCGGCGCGGCGCATACATACCTTGCACAGCGCAGCGCGGGGATGAGCCCAGAGGAACCACGTTAGGGGGATAATTATAGACAATATCTCGGTGCATTTGGTGGATGCGCTATTTGCGATTGGAAAAATAATCGGTCAGCTATATGCATATGTACTTATGTACTTATGTACTCGAGTGCATGGGTTATGCAGCCTTTCGTTACACAAGGCGCAGGCGGGGAACTCACAATCTTATCCCGTCCAAACAACTCCTTTCCCTTATCGGTCAAATCCATATCACACACGGCAATCTCCCAACCTTCGTCGCTTCGTCCGACCCTGGTATTTAATGCGCGGCCAACGATTTGGTGTCCGAAGCAGATTCCGAGTAGACGGACCCGATCCTGCGCGAGGACTTGTTGAGTGAATTCGATGAGGCGGATGATCCAGGGGATGTCTTCAAAGGAGTTGTGTTCTGGTTTGAAGGTCACTGTCATTAGTGTCTGCATTCAATACTCTGCGCCTACTGAGTCAACACGCACTTGATCCTGTTAGAAGCACGGCGTCCACGTCTTCCAGCTTCGGGTATTTGTCGTCATTAACTATATCCCAAGCTGTAATTTCCAGTCCCGTTTCTGGATCGAGTTTCTCGGGCTGGTTCAAGGCATTGGCGCTAGCTTTAAGGAGCATGCGGAATACCCCGCCATATCCATTATAACGGCGGTTGACGCTGTCGATCGGGGTATCGCATTCCAAGACAGCTATGCGGAGCGGGGAATGCATTGTTTGTAATGATGTGAAGGCTGCAGGTACCGTAATGAAACAAGGATATACAGTTGAAAATACTTGCCCACCTGGGCAGGTGAGCCCTGGATGGAATGTCCCTTATCTCCTTATCGGTTCCCGAGATCGGACCCCGCTGACAAACCACGCTATTCCCGATGTGTCAAACATCTATGGACTGCACCTGTTTTTTGTCTCTCGGCAATTGGTGCTGGACTGCATCAAATAGGCTCTTGCAGTCCTAGCGTTGGTATAAGGGTCCTATTTCCTTAGGCTCGTACTTTTCTTTCTCTCTTTCTATTTTTTTTTGTGTCACCACTGCTCCCAAGGCCTTTGAGTCGTTGTTGATGGCGTTTTCCGTACTTACATTGCGTGCGTGCAGAATCTTCGGTCTTATGCAATAACTTATTTTATGCATTCTTTTTTATATATTTTTTTAGAAAATGCCTATTATTGGCGACCACGAGGGGCAAGCAGTTAATTTTTGCCCCTCCGAGGCCACCCCACTCCTACGCAATAATTCTGTCCACCAAAAGACGAGTTATCACGATGTCTCGTATTCCGCGACGGATATTGAATCAGCCCGCTCATCCACAAATACAGACGAGGAATCTCACAGTCGCTGTCGAACCAGTCCAAGCTCTGCGTCCGAAGAACTCGATGTCGGGGTGGGTTCTGAGGCTGGCTTTCCCAGCCAAGAGCCGAGAATCTCAGCTCAAGATGAGAAGAATTACGCCTCGAGGTTCATCGATGTCTCGCCGACAAGGTTCTGGGTCATCTTCGGCGGCATCATGATCGGCTACATGATCGGCTTCTTTGACTCGACCCTCATGGCCTCCAGCCATCCAGTCATCACTTCCTACTTCAATGCAGCCAACTCAGCCTCCTGGCTATCGACGGCCTTCTTGTTAACCTCGACCGCATTTATGCCTCTCTTTGGACGCATTTCTGACGCATTTGGCCGCAAGCCTGTATATCTCTTCTCTATCGCCATGTTCTTCTTCACGACAGCAGGTTGTGGCTCGGCGCAAAGTATCGGCGGTTTTATTGCTGCTCGCGCCCTTTGTGGGCTTGGTGCAGGCGGCGTCTTCTCCATCGGTCAGATCATCTCAAGTGACCTGGTACATCTTGAGTATCGCGGGGTCTACCAATCATACATCAACCTGTGTCTCGGCATCGGCGGTAGCCTTGGCCTTGCTTTTGGGGGTTACCTGTGTGATCATATCGGCTGGCGGGGTGCGTTTTTCATCCAACTGCCTTTTATCTTCGTTTACTTTATCGCAGCCGCTTGGACAGTCCCGGCGGACCTTGGCATTAAACACACTGGAACGGAGCGCATGAAAGCCTGGCAGTTAGTCCGGAGTATTGATATATTGGGATCGATCATCTTGATTACATGTGTGACTCTCTTAATCCTTGGTCTGAACTTTGGAGGCAATGTCTATCCGTGGGGCCACCCACTCATTATCATCTCCCTAGTGTCATCGTTAGTCCTAGGAGTTCTCTTGGTGCGCTATGAGCAGTATGTCCCACGACCCGTGCTACCAATGGAGCTCATGTCAAAGAATCCTCGAGCCAGTATCATCTTTGGCAATTTCTTTGCCTCCATGTCTTTACACACCATGCTGTTCAACGCTCCCCTGTATTTTCAGGCCGTGAAGCTGACCAGCCCAACTGATTCTGGTCTACGCCTTTTGGCTTCTTCCATAGCTGTCACTGTCTCTAGTGTGGGCACCGGGTTCATGATTAACTGGACCAGACGTCTCAAACCTTTCGTCATCATCGGTATATTCTGCATGGTGATGGGTGGATTTGCAGCCGCATCCATGGGCATTGACACCTCTCAACCACTTTCCATGATCTGCATCTCATTATCTAGTCTAGGCCAGGGATTCGCATTCCCCTCCCTGATGGTAGCCATTCTCGCAACTAGTGAGAAACAAGATCAGGCTGTCGCAACAACCACTCTGGGGCTGTGGAGAAGCCTTGGCGCCGTGATGGGTGTGGCTGTCAGCAGCTGGATCTTCCAGAATAGTCTCATATACCACCTTAACAACAACGTCACTGGTATTGAGAAGAATCATCTCATTGCACTTGTCCGCAAATCTATTGATACTATTGCTCATTTGGATCCAATCCACCGGCGAGAAGGTGTGTTCTATTTTTTGGGAGTGTCGACTTCGCTTTGACCTTGCTAATAACAACTCAGTCACCACGTCATATTCTGCGGCTCTTCAATTGACTTTCATATCTGCTGCCTTCTGGGCAGTCATCGTGTTAATATTGCTGGGCCGAGTCCAACTACCGCGTTTGGGAAGAAAAGCCTAGATAGTGTTTATGGGACGGTTCAGTGTTTCGACACCGGACAATATATAAATTTCAGCCTGTCACGCATAACCTGTGTGATATGTACTTGAGTACTCTACCTTGATTGTACATGTGTATCTTGTTTGGTTGATGTAAATAACTACATGTGCATTACTATGCCCCTCGTACTCCTATACCGGCGATCTTGGCAAAGCGACCCACCTTATTTTTCTTGACTCGATCTTTAACTTGACATCCACCCTCTTCTCCGCAACTTCGAGACGTTTGTGTGGCCAAGCAAGGGGCTAGTGAGTATATTCATTCTGTGCTTTCGCTTTCGGATGATAATCCTCAGCTGACCTGTTTTCGCCGCTCCAGAATTATTCGCCGATCCTTCTCTTCCTACCCCTCCTGTGCCGCCGCTTGGTAGTTGGATTCAAAGCTAGACTTGAACACCAATCCTAAAGACGGTCGCAATCCTCTTTTCTCTAGCTGGATATAATTTTGAAACTGCTCCTAGCAATCGTCGACAACGAACATGGCCATCTGGGTAGAACCTACAGCGGCATCTTGTGTATTCGGGAAACGTCTATCGGTTGGAACTCCAGTTGGCGCCGGAGACTAGAAGTATAGTCGCGGTATAAAGCCAATATTGCGGTTCGTCGGCAAAATGAACCTTCGAAAAGTAGCGAAGGCGCAGCCGCAGTCGCCCAATGTCAGCACGAGGACATCCACTCCAAAAAGCCAGGCCAGCGATTCACAAAGCACACCCCGACCCCGGTCCAGTCGCAAGAAATCCTCGGACGCGCCAGATACCAAAGCTAGGAGAGTACGCACAGGCTGCCTCACCTGTCGCCAAAGACATTTGAAATGCGACGAAGCCGTGGGACGATGTCTCAATTGTCGCAAGTCGGATCGCATCTGTCGACGTGGGGTTCGTCTCAATTTCATCGACACTCAAACTGTGGCACCTCCACACATCATCGCTCGGCCCCCAGGGTCGAAAGTGACCTTTCGAGACGACTCGCGTTTGATCGCGTCTCTGTATGTGGGAGGATTCGAGATATACCCGCCCGTCCAGCCGGAGAGTCCTGTACAAGAGAACAGACAATCCCACCATGACTTTGACTTTATGGGGGATGATGATTTGACAAATCTCTTTCAATCCGTAGCACATTCGTTTGATCCGCTGAGCTTTGATGTCCCCCATCCAGATGCAGCGGATTTTGTTGGAACTGATACCTGGCACCAGTCTCACTTGGTACCTGGAGATGAACTTCTCCCGCACGGAACGTCCCATTTTGCGCGGAAACTGGCTGGGAAACATGAATACCATGCTTTTCTCACTGACCCAGAGCAGGTCTCTCTTCTCAGAACTTTCATGGAAGACGTTGGTCCCCGGATGGACATAATGGATGAAATGAACCATGTGGGTAACATCCCTCACTCTCTATTCTTATAGTTTGCTCACAAAACGCAGTTTTCCCACATCCTTCCTGGTTTTGCCATTGGCGAGCCCATATTGCTAAATGCGTTTCTCGCGTGTGGTGCTAGACATCGCTCTTCTGTAGACCCTTCTTATGGGAACGAAAAAGCGGCACATTATTATGACGCGGCTACTCGGGATCTTCTTAATGCAATCCATGATCCTAACCGTGACTCTGTACTCTGCGCAACAGCAGCACTTACCCTCGGCTTCTCCGAAACCATGCAACCCCTATCAAGGTACAGTGGAGATCACAACGCAGGCTCCCGAGCTTTGATCCGAGAATGTGGCTGGACTGCCAAAACCCCTGGGCTAGGCGGAGCATGTTTCAGGATCAGCGTCGTTGCAGAGCTTCTGAACTGTATGCGATATAATTGGACATTGTCTTGGGATCCAAACACCTGGGGGTCAACATGGACATGGATCATTCACAGGCCACCAACGGAGGCAATAAAGATCTATGGCATCATCGGATACTTTATATTTTCGCGAGAGTCATGACCTTCCAGGCGCCTTCGCGCTCTTCTCGCAGTTTAAATGACGATGCGGCGCAGGCCATCCAGCCCGATGATCAGGAATGGATTACCCACAACAGATGGTGTGAGCAATGGGCGAAATCTATTCCTAGATCCCTTGTACCCCTCGGCCATCTACAGCCATGGCAAACAAGTTCCAACTCGGTCTTTCCTGAAGTTTGGTATGTCCTCTATTATCTTACACACCCCCGTCTCATTCGCCAACTCATATTTCTTTTCAGGCTTGCCAATCGATCTGCCATTGTTTCTCGATTATTCTACCACGCCAGTCGTATTCTGTTGGCAAAATCACACCCTTTCCAGTCGGGGTTGGATGAAAATATGCGGAAAATGCAACGCAGCCACGCACACGAAATGTGCGGCCTTATTGCCCACACTACAGACCAGTAAGTACAAAACCACCAAACTTCCAGAAATACCTGTGTCTGATCAGTTGAACAGAGGTGTGGCCGATATATCCCTGTACTTTCTTGTACTTGCTGCAGAGTGCTTAGACACACGAGCAGCGCAAGAGGAGGTACTCGGTATCTTTGATACCATCACTAAAGTGACTGGTAGCAGTGCTGAACCAATCAAAAACGATCTCAAACAAATTTGGAGTCGGACCGATGATCGCCCGCACACGGTAACGCCAGCCCAAATACACAATCACTTCTATGAATTAGACCCATCTCTATCAATCTCCAATCACCCAGGCTCATCTCCAAGCCCAAATAATCCTTTGTTGACTGCGGGTGACTTCTCATTGGAGAGCCACCCGTATCAAGCATATTATGTGCCACCTCATCACCAACATGCACTCAATCAGTATCACTATGGGACATTTGATCTGATCTGATGTTTTGAACACTTTGACGAATCATGAATTATTGCCTAACTTCACGTCCACGGTGCTTATACCCTATGAATATCCATTGGATTATTCTTTCTCGGCTGATCAATCCGGAAATACCGCCGATTTGTGGTTGAAATTAAAAACTACCAAACTATTGCTTCATATTTCTCCATATTCATCTTCACATGTCGCATCCCATATTGCCGGGTTCCAAGGGCTCATACGTATCGATTCCCCTGCTTCTACTCTCACGATCAAATCCGTAATAAAACTAGGCCAGGGCTTTATTCAGGTCTATTCGCTAGCTGGTTAGCATGATCAGCTTCAGCATCGCATGGCAGAGAATCCCCTATAACGCCGACAGTGGATATTTAGAACCTAGAAAAGTGGATCACCTCCCCCAGTGAGCGATGGATATCGGCCAATTTCAAGTTGGCCGTAGCCTGCCCCATCTGAGTCACAAAATTAGAACAGATAAATACTCAATGAAGACTATGGTGTGGTGAAATGCATACCCTGATTTCAAGTCCTCTCCATGGTTTCCAACTATACCTACTCATTCTTCCGTGTCTCTAAGACGGAGGGAATCAATGTCTCCGCTCAAAGATATCGAGACCTACGCTTAAAGGCGTTGAAGACTTCACCGGACTCTTTCTCGTCTACTTATGATATCGAAGCGGCCTTCGCCGATGCCGACTGGATAGATCGTCTCACTCTTCCTGATCGAGAACTCTTTATTTGTGCCGCAACACCACTCAATCTTAATCCGTCATCTCCCGATAGCATCCAATGGATCGGCCAGGTAACTTTGCGAGGACCTTCATCCAGGGCTGAATTCGAGTTACCCACGGAAGCTGGCCAACCACCACAGAAATCTGACGAAGAGGAAGAGCGATGGCAGATGCTGAGCTTGTTTACTCTCCCGGAACATCGCGGCCACGGACTTGGGGGCAAATTGTGCCAGGAGGCTATCGATCATCTCCGTTCATACCGGTCACTTCCTCGTCAAGTCCAAGTGCGGCTCATTGTCAAGGCGGGGAACGATGTCACGGTGGAATTGTACCGACGTCTTGGGTTTACGCACGCGGGGGAGGGCGACTCTTGTTGAAGCTCTCATCGCAAATGGAGATGGGAATCTTCTTCCGAAAGATCTGGGTTCGGCGAAGTATACGGAGAGAAAAGGGCTGATTATGATGTCTCGTATATCGCGCTCATGAATTGTTTAAAGTAATAGACTATGTTACCCGTTATTTGGGATTGTATGTCGGGAAAAAGCTCGTGGATGGATCGTCCACTACTTAATTAGTCCTCTCATTGGTCACCCTTATTTTACATAGAACCTTGGAACCTTCTATCTACTTCAGGGCTAGTAAGACACGGTATATATAAGGACTATGTAGTATTGAAGATGTATTGAAGATTATCTGCCGTGGATCTTCAGTTTTGTCTACCTCGGGAGAAGTCCGTCACTGCTCTCCTTCATCAGTATGGTATGCGGAATCGAGCAGGCGCCGATTTTGGTTCATTTGAGTAGCCACCTTCTCCCGACTTCTAGTCGAGCTTCACAATTCCATTGAGCCCAATACTTGCCACAATAATCAATACCTCGTGGCTTATGACTTCATATATCGAACTAGTTAATAATTTGAACAATCCAAGTCATAGCGACGTATATTTGCCATAGAATTGTGAATTACATACTCCATACGTCAGAACAGTTGGACAATAAGTAGCACGGCCAATCTCCGACTTTGTAATGACTGATCTAAATAACAGGGCTTTTTTTTGAGATTCTTCTAGCAACTGGTATTCATTAAAGACGCCTCTTATCTCCATTCTAGGTGTATTACATTGAAACATTGGACACAAGTCAACTCAGATTCCAACATGTCGAACCCTACCGAAAGAGCCGCAGAAGATAATTACGAGAGAGAAAATGATCCTTCGCCCGTGACGGAGGACTTCGTGGAGAATTCCTATACCAGAGAGCCAAAGGCAAATCTGAGAGATCAAGTCCCCGTCCAAGAAGATGAACAGTCATATGATGATCCAATGCAACCTCCATATTCCAATTCTGATCAGCAGCTTGGTAAGTCCATGTTATTTCCCGAGGTGGATTCTTAAAGTATCAGGCCACTAACTAAGAGCGGTTTAGAGGTGGACGAAAGGGAAGCGATCAACAAGTCTAATATCATTAGGGGAGATCGTCTCCGTCATGAAAAGCCTAGATCCACGACTAAATACAGTGAGGGGCCAGATGAAAGTGATCTACCGGCCGGGCTTGAGTGATTTGAAATCGTTCTTTATCAATTTGTACGGGCCACCAAACCGAATTGCCTTACTCTGTGATAGTGTAAAACTACGGAATGTATTCATATTGAAAGCACATAAAATATCGATGCAGTGTGCTCTACCATATTCCCTAAATATGTCGATAGCAACGGTCTTAGCAAGGTAAATAGATTTATATCCTGTTCTAGAGGAGTATCGAAAAGGCTATATACTATGACTTATTGGTAAAGGCTCTTTTTTTGACGGAGCAGGGAATATATATATATAGTATACCATCTCAGTATTCAATATTGCAGCGGGATATCTTCCATCGGGGAATATTACCAACGTCCTGTTAGTAGGAACTGGGCTGCAGGGTCCAATGTTGTTTCGTATCCTTCAACGTAGCTCGATTATAAGACCCGAATTTGATCGGACATGCAAGGAGTTTGTATGACCTCAGAATATGACGGTCTAGCCGGTGGCATACGAGGTTCCTCGGGAGTCTGTTCCCCAGTTTGACGAATCCAATGACGAAAGTTACGGTCACAGTTGATGTGATTTCCGGATCTTATTTTCTCGAATCGAAGTCTCTAACACATGGAAGCTAGATGTATAGGTATCTATTCTATCAGAACCTTATAGGCTCTTGGGTATAGACATAGAAAGATCTGTTTATACGGTACTGATATTATTAGATTCGTTATACTAAGCGAAGTAAGGGTCCTTTACATGAAGGTCTGCTCTTTCGATATTATGTCTAGGCTCTCGAGACCTTTCTTTACTTTATATTTGTCGATCTTCTTTTCCTTAGTTAAGGCTTATGAGGAGTTCGTATTGTGAATTATTACATATTCATCGGTCACACTGTAGTGTTATGAGTGCATAGTGTTTTGGTCTGATTTTAATATTATGCTTTGCCTAGTAGTATTCCTCTTCATCCTTCAAGTTGTGGATTGCATCGAACACATGTATCTTATTAGGGATTGTTGAAGTATTACAGTGGATTGTATCCTTCATGTAAACAGGACCAGTGATCAAAAAGCGGCAAGAGGTGACTAAAGCGGCATGAGACAAACCGTGTATGTTGTTTGTCGCCTCAGGCCAAGATTTCAAGACTTGTTGGCTGGCGCATTTCTTGCTGCATTTTGAATTTGAACCATTTGTGATTTGTATTATATTACTGACGACCAAACAAACCATGAAGATCTAAAAATAGACGCCAAAATAAGTCACGATCATAGGTGAGTGAGGCTCAAGTATGGCGGTGTAAGGAGGCAATTCCACAGGGCACCTCTGCCGGTACAACATAGAAGATGGAAGATATCTATCTACAAACAACAACCACGAGGCATTTGGGATGGACACCAATTCAGTTCAAGCTCAATCTCCAGCTACCCCAATATACATCCTTCGTGGACATGCTTCTCCCATTCATGCCCTGCACATCTACAGCCAGAATTTACGGCTTGTATCCGGCGACGCTAATGGCTGGATCGTTGTTTGGGACCTGGTCACCAAACGCCCTGTGACGACATGGAAGGCCCACGAGGGAGCCATTTTGGAGGCCAGAGGCTTTGATGTTGGCTCAGGTGCAACTGAGATTTACACGTATGATGATTCATCCACCCCGATCTAGCCCCGGGGGGGGCATCGGTCATCCTACTAACATCTGCAATAGACATGGCCGCGACCACAAACTATGTGTGTGGAAGCTTCGACCAGAGGATGAATCTTTCCTCGATAAAACGCTTCCAGTGGATGCGACGGAGACCGCACTGGCAGGAAGTAAAACCCAGCCGTGGTTACTCCATTCCTTGCCTGTGAATGCGCTCAATTTCTGCGCATTCTCAATGGCATTTGTGAATTCAGATGGGCTTCCTGCGCTTCCATCCCAATCTGGAAAACCAGAGAACATTCTCTTCGCAGTACCCAATGCCTTGGACTCTGGTGGAGTCGATATCTTCCACCTACCATCTGAGCGCAGAATCAGTACTATTCCTTCTGATCAACCGACCAAAACGGGGATGTTAATGGCTGTGAATATCATGGTGTCACCTTCTGGGGAGCTCTACATCGCCTCTGCATATGAAGATGGCCACGTAATGGTCTTCGTTCATCGTGAAGCTCTCAAATCGGCCAGTCTTGAGCGTGAGTATATAAGCAACAACCCTTTGAAATGGGACAAGCTTTATGCTGGTCGCCCTCATTCCCAGCCGGTTCTTTCTTTAGATGTCGCCCCTTCCCATGGGTACTTCATCTCTTCTTCTGCGGATGCTCTGATCGTCAAGCATCCCATCCCCAGCATAGGGTCTACGGGTTATATCCCTACCGCTGGCTACAAAGAAGAATCCCCCTTGAAGATTGTCAACACCAAACATTCGGGCCAGCAAGGTCTACGGATCCGATCGGATGGGAAGATATTTGCTACTGCTGGCTGGGACAGCAGGATCCGGGTGTACTCCGGCAAAACCATGAAGGAGCTGGCTGTGCTGAAGTGGCATAAGGATGGTTGTTATTCTGTAGCGCTCGGGGAAATTGAAAGCATGTCTTCGTTGGTGTCATCATCGGCTGAGTCTGCAAAACAAGAACCCCGAGACACAGACCAGTGCGCAGCAGGAGAGACCGCCGTCGACGGACGCGATTACTCCCTTGCAACAGTGCAGCAACAACGGAATCAAAAAGTACAACGAACTCATTGGCTAGCGGCTGGGTCTAAGGACGGGAAGATTTCATTATGGGATATCTACTGAGATAAATGCTAATGCTACAAAACAACCATACGACCATGCTTTTTTGAAGGAGTCCACAGAGCAAAAGATCATGCCAAGTTGAACTCGTTGGCTCCAGACATATGCTCCCTCATCTTGGCTCTCATCTTCCGAGCAGCCTCATCCGTAACATTTGTGGAAGATGGAGCATCCTCGGCCTTTCTCTTATTGCCTGCAGCACCGTTTCGCGCTGCCTTGAAGTCCTTCTTAGTGTCTTCTTGTCCAGGTCGCAGACCAGGGACGTTGATTTTGCCTGGTCGGTCGCGCAGGGCGAAGCTCTTCGCAAGATGACCCAAGTGGAGTTCCTTAATGTTGAACATGCTCCGTTCAGCTGAGGTGTGGGTTGCGTAGGCTCGGACATGAGACTGGAACGCCCGTCGAGCCATTTCCAAATAGTCTGGGTTATCAAGTGCCCAACGCTCCACGTCTATCTGCCAATCGGTTGTCTTTTCCTCCCAGTTCTTCCTCTTGTCGTTGCCGCCAAAGCCACGCTTGAGAATCTCGTTTGCATCAGTGCGGGTAAGCGCCTTGCCTCCATCGCGGTAACCGCGCTTTAGGACTTCGACATAGTTCTCCTCGCAGCCGGGTTGGAGGAAGACGAGGGCACGGCCGTCTCGGCCCACACGGGCAGTACGACCAATACGATGAGTATGGTCATCAGAACTGAAGGCCGGGTCGTATTCGACAACCAAGTCCACGTTGGGCAAATCCAGACCACGCGAAGCCACATCAGTACAGATCATGACACAAGCCTCAGTACTGCGAGAGAAAGAGCCGAGGGTAGCAGTTCGAACATTTTGGGGAAGGGAGCCGTGCAGTCGATGCAAGATGACCGGATTCGTCGGGGTCGAAAAGGCTCTACCGGGAGCAATAGTGCCGTGGGCTGACAGTTTTTCCTTTTCTTCGTCCTTCTCATCTTTTTCGTCTTTCTCATCCTTTCCATCCTTTCCATCCTTTCCATCCTTTCCATCCTTTCCATCCTTTCCATCCTTTTCTTCGTCGTCAATCTTCCTTTGTTGCTCGCGGTCTTGATTCCTCGAGAATAGCTCGAAATGGAAATCGACCACGTCAGCGCAAGACATGAAAACAATGGCCTTCATCACAGATCCCTTCCGCATGAACGTCCTCTTCAAGTAGGCTGTTAATGAGACTAGACGTAGTTTAGCTGGTACAATCGCGTACGATTGCTTAAGCTGGGCGGGGACGCGGAATGACTCCTCGTCCTCCTTATTTGACTTCTCATCGTCCTCGTCGGACGGGTCGGCCTTGATGTGTACAGCGTCCTTCAAACTGATTTCTCCCAGCTTTTGGACATTCATCTTCAGCGTAGCAGAGCACAGAATTGTCGTCCTACGTGTAGGCACACCGGGAACACGACTCGGCCGTTGTCTAGCATCGAGTTTCTTGACAATGCCTTGCAATTCCTCCTCGAAGCCCATGTCCATCAAGCGATCACCCTCGTCAAGCACGAGCCACCGCACATTGCTGACCTCCAACGCTTCCGTATTGTCGAGATGGTCTACCAACCGACCGGGGGTTGCGACAAGAATATTTAATCCTTTTCTCAATCGTGCCTTCTCAGACTTTTTCTTCTCTCCACCAATTACCGTTCCACACACAATCCAGTTCGCGCAGCGCAAGATGTTCTCCAACACGACGGAGATCTGCTTGCACAGTTCACGGGTGGGTGCCAAAATGATAGCGAACAATCCACTGTCTCGGTGGACTTGGGTATCGGTATGCTCGTTCTTCGCTTTTGAGAGATCTATAATCCGCTGCACCAGCGGCAGAAGATAAGCCAGAGTCTTTCCGGAACCAGTTTCGGCCTGAATGAAAGCATCGCTTTCCTCCTTAAGCAATTGTGTAATTGAGCTTGTCTGGATAGCCGTCGGCGCCTTAAGCTCGAGCTTCGTCAGCAGATGCGCCGCAAGATTAGGAGACAGGCCCAGATTCGTAAAGGTATCCAGCCCGTCGATCAGCGGCGCATTAGTCGGTTTCGCATCTTCTGCATCTCTCTCCTCCTTGGGCTCTTCTGGATTGCGCGCTTCGGGGTTGCTACTAAAAAGCGAGGAAATGAACTGGCGGGGGTCTCGTGGATGTTGCTGGGGTCGTCGATCACCACCAGAGCGCGGGGCGCTAGGGCGATTGAACGAGTCTGTGTCTTCAGTCCTTTGTCTTTTCACGGGTCGTGTACCGAGTTGAATCTGGTTCGGGTTTTTGGATGCCGCATTGCGCGCAGCTGCTTCTCCATCTCCGGGTTCTTTCTCGGTTACTCGGTGGGCTGAGCGCTTCTTTGCGGTCAGTCGGTCTCGCCATGTTCCTCCTTTGAACTTCGCTTCAGGCTTGATGACACTGTCACCAATGCTAAAGTTCATAAGCATTCCATCGTCGGCCATTTTGAAAGATGGTGATCCCCGGTGAAAATGGAGGGGAGTTGTGAAAGATTTTGCTGGACCGACGATCCAAAAGCTTTCGAGACTTTTTTTCTGCGCCAAGACTTCCAGGCTCTCAGGCAAATTTTCTCCGCCCTAGGGATTTGCCCTACTTTGTTTACATTGAAAAGGTAAATGGAGGGATATAGTTGAATATTCGACGTCTATTTTGCTTTTGGAGCTTGTTCTTCAGGAATGTATGTAAATGGCTTGCTTGCAAACCGTGCTATGCTAAAGGGTTAAATGTTCATTACTGGGCGTTTGGTATGATGTTAAGCACGAGGACCGAAAATGAGGTTATCAATCAGTCGCACGGGGACTTTACCATCGCCCAATCCACAGTCTTCGCCTGGTTTGGACTCTTCCAGCGGTGCCATCTTGAATGCGGTACTCAGAACGGCGCCCTTGGCTGGGTCGACAACTTCCAGCTCGTCAAGGGTGTCAGGGTCGGCGAGAGAAACATAGTCGACCTCGTAAAGTGCTCTCTCGGCTGGTGAAAGGGATTGTTGTGCGGAAAGAACAGAATCTGTCACCTTGCGAGCAGCCCCAAGGATCTCTTCCCGGCTGTTCTTGCCGCCCAGGTATACTTCTTCGGCGGCTTTCAGCGCCTTGTAGATGGTGAGCCCAACAGTTCGTCTTCGGTCGCCCAGGTAGACGTTCCGCGAGCTCAGCGCCAGGCCGTCATGTTCACGCGTAGTTTCAATGATTCGCAATTCGGTGCCAACATGGAAATCCTCTACCATACGCTTGATTACCACGGTTTGTTGGACATCCTTCTGGCCAAAGTACACACGATCGGGGGTTGTGATGTTGAAGAGCTTCATGCAAACTGTCGCCACACCCCGGAAGAATACCGGACGCGAACCGCCCTCCAGTTTAGTGGACAGCGGGGTAATTGTGACAAACGAGCCGTATCCATTAACCTCTGAGGTAGGGGGTAGACCGGGGTACATGACCTTCGAGGTCGGTGCGAAAATGGCAGTGATGCGCCCGGCACTTGCACTATTTTCTCCCAATCGTTCGAGCTCCTCATTCAGCCTTTCCAATTTCTCAACGTCTGTATCCCAGGTGCGGGGATAGCTGGACAGATCTTCCGTGACTCCGAATTGTGTGGGATTGACGAAGATGCTGACGAAAATGTCTGTATTCTCGCGAGCAGCTTGTCGAATTAGGGAGAGATGACCTTCATGGAGTGCGCCCATGGTAGGAACAAAGCCTACACTTCGGTCCTTCTGCAACAATTGGCGCCGGAGTCCCCGTATGGAGGGAACATCGCGGAAGACTTGAAAGCTGGATGGTTGGCGAACAGATTGTGAAGCCGCGGTCGCATCGGCAAAGAGGGATGAAGCCGTCGCTAGGATAAAGTGAGCTTATCTTGAGTTAGAAATTTCCACAAAAGAGACATACTCGAAAACGACCTCGCTCCATTGACAAAGCGAGACATGTTTGTCTAAAGATGATGAATAAGCTCAATGCAATTCCAAGGTTGGGATGCACGTCAACATCTGAGGAACGTGGGATGAGAGCTTAAGAGCACGTGACCTGCCTCGGCCCATTTCTGGGGAAATCCGAAAAACATCCGGGGGCGATCTACCGTTTGGTTGGCGCTTAAGAGCTTGGGGGGGTTCAAGCTATGATTCGGTCCCGCACCTCCTCACTTTGAGCTTCCCATCCGATTCCTCTTCTCCTTTTCTCCCATGGACCTAGCCTTGTTTTTCGTGAGCTGACCTGAAGTATACCCATTCTCGCCCCGCCCCCTTCTAAAATGCCGTCTCGCAAGTCGGCTATTGCCGATGACCACTCGGCACCAGATCTGGAAATCGTCAACTCACAGTTGACAATCCACCCGTCAGGCTTCACTGGGGGTCCGGAAACCCAAAATGAACAAATCACCGAACGCAACCTTGTCCGCCATATGGCTCGATTTCGCGAGAACCCCTTCGACTTTCTCCGCGAAGTGAGCCTGTACATGTCCGGCACGGGCTGGCGTGCCTATGACGAACCTATCGGCCAACCGATCTTCTATTCAGGCTTCTCCGAAAGGATGAAGACCTCCATATTGGACAGCCTGCTCCTGCAAAACAAGATCACTGAATTGGCGAACGGTCGACTCGTGGTGGAAGAGAAGGAAGGATTGCTGGCAATCAACGAAGGTATAACACTGGACGAAAAACGAGCCCGTCGCCGGACGGAGATTGAAGATAATCTTCGGGAAGTTGTGGATGAAATGATGGAAAACATGATTTGCAAGATGGAAAGCAAAACATTTATTCGGAGTGCTTATTATATGTGCACACAGCTCTTGACTCGCGCGTACCATCAAGGTAAATTTCCTCCGCTATACTTCTATCACGAGCCAATGCTAAACGAGATTCACCTTAGGCATCCACGTATCTAGCGAAGAAGTCTTACGTTTAAGATCTGTAGCCGAAACTGCTGCCAAGAAGAAGCAGTCGATTGTCTTCCTGCCTTGTCACAAATCCCATGTGGACTATGTCTCCCTGCAACTTATCTGTTACCGTCTCGGCATTTCTTTGCCAGTCATTGTCGCTGGTGACAATCTCAATATCCCGTTGCTGGGCGCTTTCTTACAACATGCAGGTCGGTTGCAACACAATATCCTGTTAGATTTTAGCTATTACTAACCTTGTATGTAGGCGCCATGTGGATTCGACGCAGCTTTGGAAATGATCCCTTGTACAATACTGTCGTGCAAGCTTATATCGACACCCTTCTTCAACAAGGCTTCAACTTCCAATGCTTCATCGAAGGCGGTCGCTCCAGAACTGGAAAACTGCTTTCACCTAAGTTTGGAATCTTGAGTTTCATTATGGACAGTATACTATCAGGTCGGGTTGAAGACCTCATCATCTGTCCCGTCAGCACTCAATACGACAAGGTCATTGAGACTGAGTATGACACCCCGCTGGCACTCTAACCCTTTTGGTGGACATTGACATTAACCCATTTTCTAGGTCATACATCAGCGAGCTTCTTGGCCAACCGAAAGCAAAGGAGAACTTGGCTGATTTTATCTCTTCGTCCTCGGTTTTGTCCCTGAAGCTAGGCCGAGTGGATGTTCGTTTCCACGAGCCATGGAGTCTTCGCGACTTCATTGGCCAGCAACTTACGCGACTAGATCGCCCCAGCACTGACATCAATAACAAACTTAGCTATACTGATCGAGGCCGCATTCTAAGAACATTCGGTTATCGGGTTCTGTCCGATATCAACGACGTGTCTGTGATGATGCCAACCGCCCTTGTGGGAACCGTGCTCTTGACTTTACGTGGCCGGGGAGTCGGAAAGGCCGAATTAGTACGCCGATTAGACTGGCTCTGCGACCGGGTGCGAGCCAAAGGTGGCAGGGTCGCACATTTCTATCACTCGCCAACTGAGACGGTTGTCGACCGTGCACTAGATGTCCTAGGACCCAAACTCGTTGGTGTGATTTCAGGTCTAGTCGAGCCAACATACTATGCGGTGGATCGTTTCCAACTTTCCTTTTACCGGAATATGCTCATTCACCTTTTCATCACTGAAGCACTAGTGTCAGTGGCTATGTACACAAAGATCAAGCAAGGTGGCGGACCTGCCAATCAAAGAATCACCTATGAGGATTTGAAGAAACAGGTATCATTCCTATCTCAGCTTTTCCGCGGTGAATTCATTTTCCCGCCGGAGGGCTTGGCTCACAACTTCGATAAAACCTTGCGTGGGCTGGAGAAGGATGATGTGATCAAAATCACCCGTGACGAGTCCGGGACACCAGTTTACGTTGAATTGAGTGAGTCTGAGCGACTATGTGGTCGCGAGAACTATGACTTCTACTGCTTCCTGATCTGGCCTTTCATCGAGGCGTGTTGGCTTGGCTCAGTGTCCCTCCTTGGGTTGACGCCGCCTCTCGATGGGCGGAAGGAAGTTTGGATCGACACTAAGAAAGCACAGGATAGTGCTCAGGTTGTGAGTTTTTCTTCCCCCGGCCCATGCCGTCCATTTCATTAATATTTGCATTCCCAGCTCGGTAAAACGTTATACCACCAAGGTGACCTCTCCTACTTCGAGGCCGTCAACAAAGAGACCCTCAAGAATTCTTATCAACGATTTGAAGAAGAGGGGATTATCCTAGTTGCGAAGAACAAAGGATCGCGTGGCGGTCCGTCTCTCAGGCTGGCTCCTGAATGGGCACCTCGGCGTGATGAGAATACTGGGAAGGTTATGGCCGGTGGTCGACTGTGGGACTTTGTTGAATTGATCGCACAGTCCCGTCGCGAGGGGTGAGTCCATTCTAATCACACCATCTCCCCCAATATACGACTAACCTTTCACAGCAAAAACCGTCGGGATGGCGCAACTGTTTCCTCACGCGTTCTTACTATGTCTGATCTTGTTGGGCGGAAACTGTTCCAAAACGCCGCGGCTCCGGTGCCTGTCGATGTATCGTCTCGGCAAATGCGTCGCAATGCAATTGGAACTGAGGCAAAGCTCTAGTCATTCCTCTTTGATACCCATTTACGTACATTATACAGGCTAGTTTTATATCTACGTCGTCTTACATAGCGTCAGTTTATAGTTTTAATATACTTATTTTTGCAAACATATCCTCGGTGTATGAGATGAGGGTATCATACTGATTAGAGCCTATATTTCACAAGTAGAGGCTGGATTCGTCAACTATATATATCAGCACTTCTTCCGGTTATTTTATCCCTTCTTTTCCTTTTAATACTGTATTCTTTTATATATTTGATTCCATTTTCTTCTTCGTCTTTCTTCTTTCACCTATCACTAGTTTTAATGATGAAGCCAATACTGTAGAGCTTCGCTACTAGATATAGAAAACTGTATTCCCCGTACACAATTCTATAATACGGACTGAAGGAGGAACTCCTTGTACAAAAGTGCGTTCTTCCCTATATTCTAAATTTTAGAATTCTCTACATGTTCCAGTCGTACATATTATATTCGTCTCAATTGATACACCAAAAATTCATGACATTGTTAAAGATTTTGCTCATGCCACAATGTGGTCAACTTGAGAATATGATGAGAAAGCGCCCTATTGGGTGCCATAAGGACGGACAAGACATGCATCGCTACCAAGGATAACATTTGATAACTACATAGTTTTCTATTTATACACTCAAAGGCCCATTCTCCGTGCCAAATCCACTCTCACATAGCGTTGTGGTGTTCTTTGATCACAAAAGAACTAGGTAACAGCCATATTACTTAGAACTTTGGATGGGCCAACGCAACCGGTTTCAGATCCATCATGTGAGCCAAGACTGTAGATAGAATCCAAAGGTGTGGAGGGTTAAAATCTGCGTTTTGCCTAGATAGCAACAACGCTAACCCAGAAGCGAGTGTCGTCAGTCTTGTAGGACTCTTTGCTGTCAATCTGCTGCTGAATCCACTGGACAGCCGACTTGTAATCTGCAAAAGGGTCAGCGTCGCTATCACAATTGTGAACACTATATATATATGGAAACTTACTCTGAATGTCCTGGGTGTAAGGGTTGGCCAGACCGCTTGCACCGTTGCGGTGGCCAGCAAACCACTTGTCGTAGCCGTAGTGGTTCTGGCAGTCCCAACGGGAGGCGACGTCGGCATGCACATTGGAGCTTTCGGAAGGTAAGTAGTCATTCAAATCATATCATCTAGGGTTTCCTTACTTGAGAATCGCTCCTTCATTCCACTGCGACTCGGACTTTCCAACAAAGCCGTAGCGCGAGGCACAAACGCGGAGCTGACCCCAGTTCTGCTTGAACAGACCAAAGTTTGCTGCATCCTGGGTCTTGGCGTCACCATAGGGATAGTGGCCGTTGTTCATATCCTCACTGTGATTGACTGTCAATATTATACATGGTATTATACTATGGTTCGAATCTTACTTCTCGAGCATGGCAATGGCAATATCGAGAGAGTTGCCACCAGCATTGAGGATCTCCTTCTTGTGCCATCCAAGGCCAGAGACGGTGTATTGACCACGATCTGCCCGCTTGGCGAGTGCATCGTCGGGGATCGGGGTGGCCAGCACCGTAGCCGCGAAGAAAGCAGCAACACACGAAACGGAGAATTTCATCTTGAACCGGAAGATGGTAATGTAAATGATAGAAGTAAAGAATGTGAGAAGCAAAGAATGTGAGAAGCAACGAATAAGATAAACGAAGAATGAGAGACTGATCGCTTGAAGTATCCAAAAACGAGGCTAGAGTCCGGAGGCTTTATACTCGATATACTTGAACCTGAGTATATCTTCGAGCTCCGAAAGTGAGACCTTTTTTGATTACCCAAATTATCCAATTTCCACATTGTTGATGCTCGTCGCTTCAGCATTGAGGTTCGACATTGATGCCACCCAAAGCCACCCCAATGTGGCCTTGATTCTTCAGCAATCAAACCATTTCCCTCGTTATTAGTGGACACCTCGAAAGTATTAACATTGTGGCTTTCTTGACTAGTGTAATTACTTTAAAATTATCCTTAAAATATATTCTAGTCCGATTCTGTGTCTTGTACCAAAGATGGGTGTTTGACTTCACGAGGATGTCTCAAAATTCAACTAGTATGTCCATGTCCACTCTATACAATCTCACGTGGCTGGAATCAATATTGTTCTCTATGTTGTAGATACAATAGAGGTAAAGGATATTCTAAAGTAAATAAATTACTTCTTCAGAAAAGATGTACCCCGTATTCCGCCACGCCCTAAACGATAATCCGAGGGATTTCCTCGCCGTACGGAGGGTCCATATTTGCATGTGTTGACATTAACAACCTTGGAACATCCATGGATGCTCCATAAATGTTCATGGATGCTCCATGGACATTCAAAACGGCGCTAGCGACGCCACATGTCTATGGAGCATGTAGTTTCACTAGGTTCTCGCTTGTTGTGAAGTAGAGGAGCTCTACGGAGTAGTATTTACCTACACGGACCACAAATATAACAACGTATTTCACAAGCGAGTTGCCCACCCAAAACATAAATTCGATAAATTATAACTTGATATCTATACGGAGTACCGAAGTTTGGATGTTTGACTTCATAAGGATGTCTCAAACCCTATCTATATCCACTCTGTACGTGGCTAGAATGTTGTGGTAGTATACATCTTTAGAAACATGCACCCCGGATTCCGCAGCGCCCCAACGGTAATCCGAGGGATTTCTCGCCGTACGGAGGGTCCGCATTTGCGCCTTTCCATGTGTTGACAGGGTGTTGACAGGGGTCCTGGGAGCCCAGGGAAGTTGGCCGTCCAGGTTTAGATCTGTGATTTTCAGGTTCGAGACATTGTTAGACGGAAATTACCCGATCCAGCACGGGTGTGTGTTGAGGAATCTCAGGGGCTCCGCCTCGATCGATCCGAGTAGGGTTAAAAGTGGGTTTAACTCGTTGAATTAATTTCCGTCAAGGACTGATTCATGTACAGTGGGGCGCGATTATGGTCGGAAACTAATTATTACTAATATTTCTGTCTGAAGATGCCTAAATTTGCCTGATTATACACCGCCTTTTGGCCACCGCTCTTATAGTGTATTGTAAATGTATTGTAAATGGACTCCCGGGTAATTAATATTGAAGCTATTCCCACGACACAAATCTTTAAAACATTCTGTTTCTAGGCGTTGAAGCGTCTCAATACAATATTCATACATATCGCCAATCTCATTGATTCTACTGCTCCCTAACTCTATATGTCACTATCTATCCTCATCGATCCCAACCGTACAAATCCGACCTTACAAATCGCCATCCATCCTCTTGGTTTTCAAGTACTTCACTTACAATGGGGTCTGTTATGGTAATTCAGGTATTCATATTTTCTGCCGGCAAATGTGCAAGCATCAATATTACTAATATTAGTTTCCGACCATGAAAGGTTGGGACTGCGATAATCACGGGCATGACTGTCGATCTGTACTTCATATGTTGCATGCCACTCGAAACTCCGTATTCTTTTCGACAAGTTGTCGAATGATTCAACTAGGGTTTCAAGGGGTCCTTGCGAACGCTTCGGATAGAGATCGACAGAAGGATAGTCTCCGTCCGGAGGAAGGTATAAAGTAGCTCGCAATGCATTCAATTCCAGTCATATCCAGATCAATAACATCCTTTACAACTTTCTCACTCCTCGTCACTCTTTCGTAACATAAAATGCGTTCCTTGTCTTCCCTTGCCATTCTATCTGCGGTAGGAGCAGCTTCCGCGCAATTTGGTCCTTCGTCTAGCTCGGCCGCAGGATCAACTCTCTCGACTGCTGTTTCTTCAACCGGACTGCCTACATCTATCGTGTCTCCATCTTCGTCGGCAGTTTCGTCCACCCCCGCTGGGCACTGCTCGCCCCACTGGCAGCAGCTCTTTTGCTAAGGTTGATGGTAGCAAGTTCAACATCGACGGCGAGACCAAGTACTTCGCTGGAACGAACTCGTACTGGCTGCCATTCCTGACCAACGATGCGGATGTTGACTCCGTCTTCAAAAACCTAAAGGAGTCCGGTCTCAAGGTTCTCCGAGTTTGGGGTTTCAACGATGTGAACACCGTCCCGAAGGCTGGGACTGTCTACTTCCAGCTCCACGATAAGGCTACCGGTACTACGACTATCAACACCGGTGCTGATGGTCTGAAGCGTCTTGATTACGTTGTCTCCGCTGCTGAGAAGTACGGTATCAAGCTTATCATCCCCTTTGTGAATTTCTGGGATGATTATGGTGGTATGAGTACCTACGTTACTGCCTATGGTGGCAGCAAGACCGAATGGTATACCAATGCGAAGATCCAAAGCGTGTACCAGGCGTACATCAAGGCTGTTGTCTCTCGCTATAAGACTTCCTCTGCCGTCTTTGCGTGGGAGTTGGCTAACGAGGCTCGCTGCTCGGGCTGCAACACCGACATCATTGCCAAATGGGTAGCTAAGACTTCTGCCTACATCAAGTCCCTCGATTCTCGCCATATGGTTACTACCGGTGAAGGTTTGTATCCCCGAGATATACAAAACTGTCAATATCTTCTAACCAGTGATATAATATAGAGGGCATGGGCCTAACTGTCGGATCGGATGGCTCTTACCCTTACGGTAACACCGAAGGCAACGACTTCGCCAAGAACCTTGCGGCCCCTGATATTGACTTCGGAGTGTACCACCTCTACGTGGGCGACTGTAAGAATAACCTCTTGAGATTCCTAAACACACAGCACACTAACCCATCCTAGGGGGTATCAAGGATAACGCCTGGGGCAATGAGTGGATCAAGGCCCATGCCAAGATCTGCGACACTGCTGGCAAGCCTTGCGTGTTCGAGGAGTATGGTATCAAGAAAGACCACTGCTCCGCCTCGCTGAAGTGGCAGAAGACCGCCCTGGCTACCAACGCTGGTGATCTATTCTGGCAGTATGGCGAGAAGTTGTCATCCGGTCCCTCTCCTGATGACGACTACACCGTTTACTATGGCACTGACGACTGGAAGTGCGCTGTCGCTGACCATGTCAACCAGATTTAAGCGGTGAGATGTCTGAATATTGTGCTGGGGGATCGATCTGCGAGGGTATCAGTTGGACTTTTCTTCAATCTCTGGTTTCGTTCATTGCCAAATATTTAGGGGATGCATGCCGCTGGCGATGCATTGCTCTCCATTGTGATATAGCTTACCAGAATTGAACACAAACGTGTCGAAAATAAGTGAACAGTAAATTATGATAGGGTTACAGATAGATAGATATAAGGCTCGTGTTACACTCTATCTGGTTTATAGTAAGCCCTATATAGAAGACCAGAGTTTTCAATCCCCTGATAAAATATAGAAGTCGTCTAAAATATATATCTATATAGGGAATCATGTAGGGTGTTTTCCGTTCCCCTGTAAAGTTGCGTGAGAGTATGGTTGCTATGAAGGTGAAAAGATCACCAGGATTGAGATGAAAATCATTGTCATCGTAGTGGCATCGCCCTGGTTCCAACCCACAGAATCACAAGTGCTAAATCTACCTATTTTCGTTTGTAGCTCTGATCCATTGAAGTTATTTGGTTCATGGTTTGAATATGATATACTATGTAAAATATATATCGGAGTGATGCAGGTACAAAGTGGTCTTATTCTCTCTCTAACTCGCTAACATTGTTGCTGTTTACATACAATCTTCAAACAAAGCTATAAATACTCAAACTATAAAGACAACATAAGAAGAATCAAATCCAAATCCGCTGAAACGTTCCCAATAAAATCTCACAACATATGGGCGGTAAAACAAAAGATGAAAAGACAAAGGAACAACATAAGAAAAACAAATGAAAGAATGGCTCATGGCTCAGTCGCTATAGAAACAATACATCGAAGTCACCAAAATCAAAAATCACATCCTCATAAACTGACCCTTCGTACCTGGACTCGTAGGAGCCGACCGAACAGTCATAGCCTTCGGAGAGGAAACATCAATCGGAGGCAACTTCTCAATACCCTTAGCGCCCAAGGGTGTCTTAGGAGGCGAATCAGTGGCCAGGGAATCATTGGCATTCTTGGCAAACTCCTGAAGCCGACCCATAATGACCGGTGAATCGGAGTACAGCACAACACCCTGCGAGTAAACACAAGGAGTAGCTTTCTCTTCATCGCTAGCAAAGTCCTCATGAGCAGCCTCGCGTGTAATACGCGGGAAGGTGCGCAGCACGACATGGCGAGTAGGCTCGCTTGACGGGGTGTGTTTCTGATCCTTGTTGGCAGCATACTCCATCCAGCCCTCATTTGAGACGCTCTCTGCGTCTGGGGCAGGGAAATTGGCGAGGACGAGCTCGCGTTCAACGCGTGCGTGTCTCCATGTCTCGGCGGCGAGCTTGACGATCTTTCGCACGCCGATTAGGAGGGAGTCGAGGTGCTTGGGATCGGCGAAGTGCTTGATGTGGTCGATGATTTCGTCCACGATGACGGCCGCCGCTACGTTGATTGATTGTTTGGCGTCTGAGGTCGTGTAGGCTGCTTTCAGGGTCTGCTGGCGCCAGAATGCCTCGCGTCGGACGGACTTGCGTCTGATGTCCATGGATAGCATCTGGAAGAAGGTGTCGGCTTTGTCGTATCGTCGGCCCAGGGTGAAGAGGAAGGGTTGGAAGACTCGGAAGGTTAGGGTTTTTGAGATGATGTGCTGGATGTAGGCACATCGGAGTTCACGGGAGGCTGGGGTATTGTCAAGGAAAGGTGGGAGTTCGGATGGAATCTTGGAAAGGATGTCTTTGGGGGGATCGATGGGGAGATATCCGAAATGTTCCTTGGATAGATTGTGGATGAGCTGTGAGAGCTCTGTGAAGCTGTCCAGGCTAAAGATGAAAGTGTTTATTAGATCGTGTCCATTTATCGTTATCAACATGAGTCTATAAGAGAATGTATGTCCGCTTTGCGCTGATGCAGTTCAAACAAAGGAAATATCGAGAATGAATGACTTGTCTTTAGGAGAAAGACGAAAACCAAAAGAAGAAGAAGAAGAAGAAGAAGAAACAAAAAACAAAAATAAACAAAATCGTAAATCCATAGGGCATCAAAGGCTCACTTACAAGAATTGATCGCCCTTGGTGTTCCTGAGGTCAGTGGCCTCTCCCAGGCTGGACAGTGTCTTTCTCAGCCTGTCACAATCCGAGCCCAAGTTATCGATGGTCATTCGCATACCCTCCACCGCACGCTGAAGATGCTGTTCCTTGACAATATTGTCTCCTTCCAGCCTCTCCTTCTCTCGCTCAGCACTGGAAAGTTCGCTATCTTTCTCGGAGAGTTGCTGCGCCAAGCCAGCACGCTCCGCGGTCCAAAGCTGCTCTTTCTCATTGAAGTGAGCTTCCAGGGCTGCGATCTTCTCGTCCAATTCTTTGGCAGCGGCAGCGAGTTGTTCGTCGTGAGATTGTCGCAAGGAGTCCAATTCCCCAGCGTGGCCTTGTCGAAGTTCTTCCGACTCTTGGGCATTCTTCTGGTGGGTTTCTTCCAGCTCGGCCAGCTTGGCTGCCAGTTCCTCACGTGTCGATGTGAGTTCGGTGAGTCGGGCTTGCAACTCGGTCTCCTTGGATTCCAAAGCAGCAATCTGGGATGTCACTTCTGTCTTGGTGGCCTCCAGCTCGGTGCGCTGGGTTTCGAAAGATTCCTGTAATTGGGCCTTCTCTTTCTCCCATTCGCCTTGGCTGGCTTCGTGTGCACTGCGGAGTTCGCGCTCACGAGTCTCCAGATTCTCGGCTGCTGATTTCTCATCCTCGGCCTTGATCTCCTCGAACAATTCAGTGAGCTCCTCCTTCTGTGCCACAAGGGCCTTTTCCTGTTCCTCCTTCTGAGCCTGCAACTCTTTCTCGTGGACTTCCTTTGACTCATTGATGCTCTCATTGAGCTGGTTGATTTGTCCCTCGAGTTCGACTTTAGTTTCGGAAAGCTCCTCGTTGGATTTCTGGTGGACAGCTAGGCCATCTTCGAGGTCCTTCTGCTTCTCTTGCAGATCTCCGAGTTCGAGACGCAGTTCACTGATGGTATGCTTTAACTTGGCGTCTTCTTCAGCGCTTTCATTGGCAGTCTTCTTTATTTGAGATTGCAGAGCTTCAATGTAGTAGTCTTTGTGCATCAGAGCTTCGTCGTGCTGGTTTCCAATGTGCTTCATCTCAGCCTCCCGGTTCGAGAGCTTGCTGTGGGTGTTGCGGTACCCATGAAGAAGACGGTTGATGTCTGGAATGGCTGACTGGATGCGTTGAAGAAGTTCAACGTGCTCACCGTCGTTTTCTGGGGGAGTCCCATTCTCAAGGGGATGGCCCTTGCCCATGGACAGATTTTGAAGGGCCTGGTATGATGCTGCATATGATGGATCCGGGATGCTGTAGCTCCGGTTCATATAACGGGCCTCCGATTGATGATGAGGAGAATAATGCCCATAAGGAGGTACCATTCCGGCAGAGCTCATGACAGGGGATTGGAGAGCATACGGTCCATGTCCATTTTGGCCCATGGAAGGCGCTTCTGAAGGAGCCATCGGTGCAGCTGGTGGATTCTGAGGCGGGGGAGTTGCCGCTGGTGATATACTTGCCGACATTTGAGGGTAATGGGAACGTGCAAGGGGGCTGCTGACTTTGGGTACTGGTGACGCAGTGTGAGCTACTGGTGAGGCGTAAGGCACCGGAGAGCCAGCGTAGGGTCCCGGTAGGCTGTAAGGCACCGGAGAGCCAGCGTAAGGTGTAGATGAAGTGCAAGGCACCTGGGAACTAGCGTACGGTACCGGGGCGTGGAGTGCAGGTGATGCGTAGGGTACCGGAGAGGAGTAGGGGTTTGGCGAGGCGTACGGCACCGGGGAGGCAGCGTACGGCTGTGGCGAAACGTATGGGTTTGGCGAAGCGTATGGGTTTGGCGAAGCGTAGGCGCCTGGTGACGCGTAAGGCGCCGAATAGGGGACAGGTGAAGTGTAAGGGGAATACGCTGATTGTCCAGCGTAATAAAGTTGGTTATCCTGAGAAGGACTTGACATGTACCGCGCTTCAGTCAAGGATGGTGAAGGCAAGGGCACACAGGCGGCCACAGGGGAGAATGGATCAGCCGGTGGTGATGAGACTACAGTCTTCTCTTCAGAATGTTCGACTTGATTGGGTTGATCGTGCTTGGTATGGTCATCCAATGGCTCCTTTACTTCCGACTCCTCGGTGAGAGGCTGAACCAAACTTGATTCTTCGACGGGTGGCTCTTTAATCTCAGTGTCCTCGATGGGAGGCTGAGTCGAGATTGCTTCTTCCACGGGCGGCTCTTTGATTTCAGAGTCCTCAATTGGAGGCTGAATCGAGCTTGACTCGTCCAAGGGTGGTGCTTCGTCAACAGGCTTGTCGACTACAGGTGATGATTGATCCACGACAGGGTCGGGGATGTCTTGGGGTGCAGTGTTGTCGTCAGGTAACTCAGGTGCTGACACAGGATTGTCGAGGACAGGTGCTTCTTGTTCTGTGACAAGGTTGGAGCTGTCTTGAGGTGTAGACTCGTCTTCAAATACCTCGTATGCTGATACGGGGTTGTCGAGTACAGGTGATTTTGGACCCGCGACGGGGTCGGGGACGTTTTGGGGTGCAGTGTTGTCGTCAGGTAACTCAGGTGCTGACACAGGGTTGTCGAGGACAGGTGCTTCTTGTTCTGTGACAAGGTTGGAGCTGTCTTGAGGTGTAGACTCGTCTTCAAATACCTCGTATGCTGATACGGGGTTGTCGAGTACAGGTGGTTCTTGTTCTGCGACAGGGTTGGAACTGTCTTGAGGTGTAGCCTCGTCGTCGAATACCTCGTATGCTGATACAGGAAGTGGTGTCTTTACTTCAAGGTCTGTATTGTCAACAGCGGGTTGGTCATTTACTTGCTCTGGTTCCTGCGCCGTGAGTTCAGGGCTGCCAGGAGCAGGAGTTGTCGTAGTTGTCTGAGTCTCTGTGACCTCTGGGCTCTTCCCCTTCTTAACCTTCTTGGTGGGTGCCTTGCCATTCTTGTCTTTGGCCTTAGTCTTCTTGCCCGCGGCCATTGCGGTAGAGTGATGCGTGCCCAAGTCTTCTTGCCTCTGAGAGACGTGTTACCAATAGGATCAATGTACTAAATGGAGCATGAGTGATAGTTCCGATCATATGGGGATGACTGCACTGTACATTTGCAACCAGCCCTGTGGCGATACCTCAAGATATAGCCCAAAAGGTTGACTATATTTGGGAAGTATCAAGACTTTGGAATATTTAGAAAACGTAAGCCAAAGTGACTTCCAAGGTTTGATCGGGCAGAGAGACCTGAAACCTCTCTCTCTCTTTGACTTGTGAGAGTGGGCACGAATGAAGATCCACGAATTCGACGTAGAGATATTTTTGGGATAAGACCAAATGACCTAGAAAATTAAAAAAGGAAAGAAAAAGCTGAAGCCGAAAGAATTTCAAAAAATATCTCTCAAAAATTAGTATCCCAACGTTGTCTGGGCACAATAGCGGACCGACCCTTAGCGTTGTTGATACCCATCCACATCTCCCAATGTGCGAGAGGGCCATCAATTAGACGCGAGAATCAGGAATTATCGAATAATTGAGGGCACAAAGACGATCCGAATCCACCCATATTCCATTCTGAACCGAAGCGAGACCAGTTGGGAGACGCCATGACATTGGGCATCAAACTGTGGGTTTGGGCGATTCAAGGCATTAGTGGGGAAACTTGACTGACATGTTCAATTGAGAGTCAGACACTAAGATGTGGGAATTAAAATGAGGCGATATATCAAAAGGATGTATCTCACCCAATTAGTGTATTTTAGCCTTGACAAATAGTGAGGCTGGTATCGGACAACACATATATTACTAGATGAGGTTTCTAACATATCAGCATATTGGACATAATATGATTGTCTTTTTGTATGCAGTACGGAGTAAGGAGTAGATCAGGCTGTACTTTAATTTTGGATTTTTATTTTTATCTGTACACTGTACATTGTGCAGAGTAGTACTAACTAATTAACTAGTTAACGACAGGCTATTGTTGTAATTATAGATAGGTCTTGCAGTGTGATACTAAATGTATCTATGCATGGGTTGACCCTCCAATCTCCAAGAGATATATGAGAACCAAGATATCGAATCTATTCTAGTTCAACAATATGATTCTATCCAAATATCATGCCATATAATAATATATAATAATATATAATAATAGATTACATATAGTAGTTAACTAGTTATCCAACACTCTGCCAGAATATAGAATGGCCCTAAACCAAATACGGACATCACGTGCCATCGACTTTCGCTTTCCACCTCGCCCTATCATCGCCCCCAAAGGGTCATCGATCATCACCAATTGCTTCCCTCCACACAATGTTCGCTGCCAGACGATCTGCTCTTTCGACGCGGCAATTGCTGCGTACTCAGCGCCGCTGGGGCTCCCACGCCGCCCACGAGCCCGTGAACGAAAGCTTCGGCGTAAGCTCCTCTTCCCCCGCCGACCGCGACCAGATCCAAGTCTGGAAGCAGGGCAAGAAAGGTCTCAATGACCCACGACCACCTGGCTAACCCTTTCATGTCCACTTAACAGCGCAGCTTCTACGTCACCTGTGGTTCCATCGTCTCCGCCCTCGCCCTCTACCGAGTTAGCAAGTCAAACAAGGAATCCGGCTCGCCCTCTTGGATCTCCAGCCTCATCGAGAAGTGGACTCCTTCCCAGGAGGTCTTCGAGCAACGCAACGCTATCCACACCGCTATCATGGAGAAGGCTGCTTCTGACCGCCACTTGCTCGGCAGTCAGGGCCCAGCCGAGGCTTTTAGCCTCAGACAGCCCGAGTATGTCATCTGGTTGCTCCGGAAATGCTTTTCTTTTCTTGTTATGCTAATTGTACTTTTTTTCCTTCTGTTTAGTATGATGAACTCCGGCTCTCCATACAACGTTTCGCCCGGTTCGCAGGCCGACCTGAGCCATGTCGTGGCTCACTACCAGCGCAAGAACCAGGATGCTGAGGAGGCTCGGGTTGCGCGGATGAAGGACGGCAAGGTTGTGTCGCTCTACGAGTAAATGGGGTTATCGTTTTTTTTCTTTGGTCGACTAGACATGTGTGGAGGAAAAATCATGTACATATACGTTGGGACTTGACGTTCAATCCAGCACCTGATAATTGGATTTTCTTTTGTTTTGCAACCTAACCTCCTAGATCCTTGCTGAATACTCGTTGGATAGAGAGATTGGATATTCATCTTATTATCGAATTCACTCTAGGGTCCCACTTGACGGTACAACCTCCAAAACTACTCTGCCCACACCCTCGGATTGAACGTTCAGTTTTTGCTGCACGTCCAGCTCATTGGCACAGACATTACCCAGAACAGCAAGGAATTCATCAACACCACCACCAACTCCGAAATAAACCTTCTTCGCCGCGACGAGAGCTCGACTTCTCGCCGACACAGCGTTCGAGCGGCGCAGCAGCACCAAAAGTGTCTCGGAAAACGCCGCCAGCGATGCGGGCGAGTAAATGGTTTCACTAGCGAGAACCAGAGTCTTGCGAGTGCTATCACCGGACGAGAAGACCAGATCCACAAACTCGGGCGACCAAGCGCCTGAAACGAAATCAACCGAAATCCCACGCTGAGCAAGATCATCTTTGAATTCTTGCACCAGCTCAGGCGTGATATCCAGCTCCTGGTCCTGGTCCGGCGCAGTTGGGACGACTGATACAGCCGTTTGGGAGCGGCTATTGTGCCATGTCAGAAGGAGATTCGGGAGGGTGACAAGACGGAGCACGTCCGAGTTGTAGTCTGCAAAAGTGAAGAGAGTCTTTCTTTGGCTCTGGCCGGGCTCGGCTTGATGGAGAAGACGGGCGAATAGCGTCAATGATGGGACTGCTGTGCCTGCGCCAAGCTGTTCATTCATATTAGCCTTCGCTCCAGGTAGATGTTGGGAAAAGCTTCTACAAGACGGATGATTACGAACCTCAATTATATGAACGTCCACCGGGCTATCGGAGGATTCATTAAGAATATCCTCGTTGAGGGAGAGCTTGGCTAGATCCAAGGCGCATTCCCAGGTTTTGAAGCCGCCTTCATAGAAATTGGGCGTGATGTCACCCTTTTCAATACCGGCAATAAGTTCTTCATTATCGTGACCTGCGCTATCTTCAGCCATGAGCTGGGTGCGAATGTCAAAGATCTCTCGACGAGCGACGGCCAGAGGCGTATCGTTGATTGCGAGCTTATTGTAGAAGATTTGAGAGGGAAGAATTGAGAGCTGTCATGTTGGTTAGTTTGGGGCTCTCTCGAACAAGTATCATGCATTTCAAAGTAGTGAATTCATGTTTCCATGTTCTTGTCGATGATAGAGGGCAGTATCTCGTATGCCAGAATTGGGACTTAGAATATACGTGCTACCTCAAAACATCCATGGCAGGGGCAATAGCATAATACGCATAATTGAAAATGAAATATTCTGCTTGATCACTTACCCATTCATTCACATCATGTTTAGCGGCTTTCACAAGCTCAGGAAGAGAATTGCCCACGGCTTGCTGGGAGGGCGCATCTGAAAAATCATTATTGATTTCCGAATCATCAATGTCGATATCATCCCCCGAGAATCCGAAGCTGAAGGCCATTTTCAATTGGATAAGATGACAGTCTCCTCTTCCAAGACACCTAATACTGTGTAGGTGGGTTGCCTGAAGTGGCCCCGATGTTGCAGATATTGAGAATTTCTCGGAATTGCAGGTTGCCGACAATTTCGTACTAGTTTGGATAAAAACAATATATTTAAATGCAAGGGCCAGCTGATTAAACAGTAAATTCGACTCCAAGGCTTTCTGTTCAGAACGCTGTGATCTGATCTCCATACAAAAAATTGCAGTGGGTGGAATGATGACTAAGCTGCTCTCTGCCTCAGGCAGAATATAAGTATAACACTTCGACTAGTTATTTTGAAAGTCCTAGGGTAGGGCAGTAATAATGGTAAATATATGATTTGGTGATTCTATAGTTCGTAATGTCATATCCGAGTGATTACAAATCGACGCTGTCTATTCTAATATTTAAATGCAAACAGAAGACATGAGCTGTAAAGACGGAGCTGGGTTTAAGCCTTCTTGGCCACAGCAGCCAGGCTGAGAGCCTGCATAACATCGGCGTGGAGGTCCACAGAGTCCTCAATACCACAGCTCATGCGCACAAGGTCATCGAAGACACCGGCGGCCTCGCGCTGTTCCTTGGGGATGCCAGCGTGGGTCATGCTGGAGGGCACCTCGCACAGACTCTCAACACCTCCGAGACTCTCGGCGAGGGTGAAAACCTTAGTAAACTTGCAGAAATCGTGTGCAGCCTGCTGACCACCCTTGATACGGAAGCTGAGCATACCACCGCCCATACCATCACGGTGCTGCTTGAGGGCAATAGCACGGTGGGGGTGGGAGTCAATTCCGGGGTAGTTGACGGAAATGACGTGAGGAGAGGACTCAAGGGCCTTGGCGATGACAGTAGCGTTCTTGGAGGCCTCGCGCGCGCGCAGGTGCAGGGTCTTCAGACCGCGGTGAGCGAGCCAGCAGTCGAATGCAGAGGGGACGGCACCGATGGCGTTCTGGAGGAAGCCAAGGCGCTCCTTGAGGGCCTCGGAGCTGAAAGCAGCCACGCCCATCAGGACATCCTAAAGTTGAGTTAGCTAAATCCTGCTAAAATCTAGATTGATAGTAAGAACTCACGGAGTGGCCATTAATGTACTTGGTCACGGAGTGAACGACAAGATCGGCACCGTGGTCCAATGGGTTCTGGACGTAGGGGCTCATGAAAGTGTTATCGACAACGACCTGGATACCGTGCTGGTGGGCAATGTTGGAAACAGCCCGGATATCCACCAAACCAAGAGTCGGGTTGGAGGGGGTCTCAATCCAAATGAGCTTAGTCTCGGGGCGGATCAATTGCTCCACATCCACCTCAATAGAGGGGGTGAAGGTGACCTGGACACCGTGCGCCGAAGCAACCTTGGTGAAGTATCGGTGGGTACCACCGTAAACATCGGAAACCGAGACGACGTGCGAGCCAGCAGCAAGGGATTGGAGGATATTGGCAGTAGCGGCAGAGCCGGAAGAGAAGGCAAGAGCGTACTTGGCGTGCTCGAGAGCGGCAACGGCTTGCTCGAAGTTATCACTGCGGGGGATTTTGTTAGTCCGCCTGATCGATGTCCAACTTCTGGACTAATAAACTAACCGGTTGGGGTTGGAGCTTCGTGTGTACTCGTACAGACCAACGGGATTTCCGACGCTGGTCTGGGCATATGTGGTCGACAGAGAAATCTAGTCAAGGCATTGTTAGTACCGTCTTTGTATTATTATCCCTATATTGATAAGCTTACCGGAGCAATAACAGCGCCGGTCACCGGGTCATGGGGGAGCCAGCGTGGACAGCCAGTGTCCCAAAGCCGCGGTCAGTGTGTCCGTTTTCCGTGGAGCCCATTGTGTATAGAGAGAAGATGATTGTAGGGCAATTGAGAGAGGCGAGGGGTAGACTATATGTTTATCGATAAGATGAGATCACCGCTTCTTTGTATGACTTGATTGTCTGAAACCGGAATGAGACTCGGATTGCGAATCTGATTGATAATCAAGGGAGATGACGAAAAACAGTTTCAATGTCTGCTTTTGGATGTTTTTGTGCTCCAAAATTCAACCGAAAAAAAGAAAATTTCGTCAAGAGAATCTTTTACATACAATCAACCTCTGGGGCGCAGATGACGATGGATCGCGCGATTGCGACTGGACGAGAGACCAACGGAGCTCCACCGGCAGTCGGCAATTCTGCTCGGAGAATCATTGGGACACTCCGATGACTCGGAGTATCGGAGTGTTCGGAACTTGCCGCGTTGTAGATCTCCTAATTTGTGATACTATATAGTTAGTTATACACTTCGCTTTAGACCTCGTGTCTTATGTCCGCTATATTTCGAGGAAAAGGGTAGATGCGGGGGTTTATTTACACTGGATTTAGATTAGTTCGTTGCTTAGGTTTCTCCTATTGAGCAGTTTACAACATGGTCACTCAATTATCTCTATATTCATTGGCATTGATTCGTATGGGTATCTGGTCTGACTCTAAAAGAAATTGTATCGGCGCTGAGAACGGGCCATGATAGGCGAACAAGAAGACAGTCTAATGGGACATCAAATGGCAGTATGTCGGCAGCAGCCTACCACCAAGTGATGGGTCCAGTTCCACCCATTTGCATCGAGCCCTAGAAGATGGTCAGTGAAAGCTAACAAGATCAATATAGAGAGACCAACAAGAATAGAATACGGAGGGCGCCTCTCCTGCGGAGTTTCATCTGCAACATCTGGTGCATTGGGGATTTGGTCGTGCCACTCTTCTGACTCAACTCGGAATCGTACAACTTCTCCTACATCGAAGAAGAATTCTGTTCCCCCTTCACTTTCCCAGATCCATACCTGCTCAGCATAGTCACTGCAAGAGAAATTAGCATTTCGGATTTGACATGAGGCGAGGACCAGCTCACAATCGGGACTTTTCCATCAGCATTTGGGGAGGGATCAGAATGTCATTGAAGAATTCAAGGCCAACTGGAATTGGTTAGCTTTTGACATGTACTGAGTTTTCATATTGGGGACGCACTCTTGATTCCGTGTTCTGTGCCACTAGCAATCTTCCCCAGCATGATCTCCCCTTTGAAGGGTCGGAAAACAATCATGCGGAATTTTACTGTATAATGGTCAGTAAAGATCTTAGACTCAAGAAAGGGCTGTGATCATCTACCGTTGACATTAACCAAGCCGGTTCCGTGGCCAATGAGACCATCAGAAGATTCAAGTAGGTCATAGAAGCTGATGCAAAGGCCGATTTTTTGAATGACCTGAAGGGCAGAATAAGCATTAAGAACGCGAAAGGAAGAAGTTTGAATAGCGCACTTTATTGGCGTATTTAGCATTGATGTTGTCTTCAAGTGCAACTGCACTGAACTTGGAGAAATCCTCGGGCGAGATCTGAATCAAGTCCGATATGGTGGTCTGGTAGCGTTAGAAAAAGTTTTTTTTTATATATGGCTGTTTTAAACTCACTAGGATAAACATGGCGACAGTAGGGAAGGTGCAACCAGGAAAGTGATCTGACTAGAGGTGCAAATATCTTTTTCCTGTTCTACCATTGTCAATGAAGCAACCAAAAACCCTTTTGAGATTCTTCGTGCTCCGCCTAGAATCCCGCCGGCACGTGACCACGGAACGGAAGCTTTCAATCTCAACCTTTTGACTTCGGTAATACGCTAAGTTCACGAGATTATTCTTGTGTTTCTGCTGGAGTCTCCAGCAAAGCCAAAAGCTCTCACCATGAGCTCACAGGGGTTTTCTTTCCCGCCTCCCCCGCCTCCACCACCGACAACTAACCAGGCGCCGGCTCACCCGACTCAACATGGACAGAACCGGGGTGGACGCGGTGGACATGGCGGAGGTCAGAGGGCACGGGGAAGAGGACAGGGCAACCGAGGCCGAGGAGGAAACCATACAGAAAGTGGACGAGCGCCGTCATATCTTCCCCCTACAGGTTTCAACTACGCGCAACCAATGTATGGCGGATACCCTCAACCTCTTCCCACAGCACCTTATATGCCTCCCCAACCCTACCATCATGGACAAACGCCAGCCTTTCAGAATCCTCCAAATCTACCCCTATTCCCATCCCATCAATATCCCCAGTCGGCATCTGCGGGTAACTATCAACACTACAATACGCCCAACCTTTCCACACCTTACCCTCCCGCAACTCCGACGTACATGCAAGGCTTACCAGCACCTCCGCATGGCCATCAACCAAACAATCAAGCAATTGTGCCCCCGTGCAATGGCGCAATGAGATACAAGGTGCGGCACCATACGCAGGGGCTCAACCGGGGCAAGCACGAGGGCCACGACCTCATGCGCAAGGCAATCAGGGTCCGAAACCCAAGCATAATCAGAAGCGGGACCACTCATCCGCATTCAACAAACCTCAATCAACTGTACCTCGAACTCCAGCGGCGCCTGCCGTCCCAAGCTTCGGCAACCCTCTGCCCTCGAAGCCACCACCCGCCGCAGACTCCACGCCCAACAGAAAGGCAAAGAAGAGAAAAAGGAAGCACAACCAACTTGGACTGACCCCTAATACCGAGGACCACGAGTCAAGCGAGGAAGAGGCTGATGAAGACGAAGAATCGAAGCTGGCGCAAGGTGGATCTGACGCAACACCAATTCAGGTCTCATACAAAGGAAAAACGGCTACGTTGCAAACCCCGTCCGATATTGCCGCTTGGATTGCAGAGCGGAAGAAGAACTTCCCCACTCAAGCTCGGATTGAAGCAAAAAGAAGTTGATGGAGGAGGCAAAGGCAGCTCGCGAGGCAACCCGTCAACAAAAGCAAAAAGAGCAGCAAGAAAAGCGCAAAGAGATTATACAAAAGCAAAACGAACACAAGACAGATCCCACTGCAGATGCAACTACAAACGCGCAGCGCAGGGAGAAGATTCGGCGCAACCTTGAACGAGAGGAGAAACGAATTCAAAAGGCTATGGCCGAGACCGAGGCTGCTCGTCTCCGAATGGAAGCTCTACAGAGGGAGGCATTGAGTCTAAATGCAGAGGATACGGGTACCACACCCTGGCGCCAAGGCCTTGCCCCGGCCCCAATTATCAAAACTGAACCTGCAAGCGCGATGCCAGACTCAGAGCCAGCCCTCAACACCGAACCTGAAGATGCGGTACAGGAGCCAGCCATTAAGACCGAACCCGAAGATGCGGTACAGGAGCCAGCCATTAAGACTGAACCCGAAACTACGGTGCTGGAGGCAACAGTAAACGCCGAGCGTCATGGCCCAGTTCCAGAGCCGGCTCAATCAGCCGTCCCCGCTTCCCACGCGACAGAGTCGCAGGGAGATCCTGAGGTCTTACCCGAGTCCTCCACCCTCGAGCACACAATCAAGACTGAACACCCCACCGACCATGGCTTGGATGGCATGGATCTCGCATCTGATCATGGAGCCAGTGATTGGACCTCCTCGAGTGCTTCTGGCTCAGATTCCGACTCCGACTCTGGCAGTGATGACTCCGCACCAGAGCAAGCCACTTCACGTCGCACGGGACCAGAGCGAGTGCCGCCCCCACCCCGCGAAGGCAAAAAGTCTGTTTGCCGTTATTTTGCACGTAATGGGCACTGTAACCGTGGCGACCAGTGTAAATTCCTTCATGAAAATGACTCTGAACGAACCTCGAAGGCGAAAGCAAAGCCTAATGAAAAGAAGGAGAAAGAGACGAAACGCAAGGGACTTTATCAAGCTGTGAGCGCCCCCGTTTTATTGATTTTGCGGCTCGTATTGAAAATTGTACTGACATGGATTATTAGTTGCTGGACCGACAAAGGCAAGACGATGACCGCCGGGCAATGGAAGTGATCACCTGCCTAGGTCAGAACAATATGTTGGATTGAGAAGGACTTCCAAAGGTAGCTCCCACATGATACCCCAATGAATTAGTGTCAGAACTGGAGTCAGAACTGGACGAACTACGAAACATTCATACGTGGCTGTATGTACCGGATTTTAGGCCACGGTCGCGAATTTCCCGATCGGGGTGCCGCCGCTTTATGAGAGCGCTTAGGCTCCTGCTCACTGAGTATTTCACAGCACAGGTGATCACTGTGAGCACTTAGGGTATGCTCAGTGAGTGCTCAGGTTTACTCAGTGAACACTTAGGGTATGTGACAGAAATCTGGCTGTATGAAATGTATTGTTGGTACTCGAAGTCACATGATGTAATATACCAGGTTTCAACAATGTAATTCAAAAAGTATTTGACAACATTTGAATTATCATTAGACCGGAGTAAGATATTTAATATAAGCAAATCTTCATTCTTTACACTGAAGTACGCCAAGAGTCAAACTAATTACAATACAGTCTTAAAAGAAAAAGTAGCAAATTGTGCTTTGGGTTCAGGCCGACCAAAGCGGCAAGCATCAAGTTTCCTAATATAGGTAAATCCGATGCCGCTATAATGCCCTACGGAACGTCCAATGTGGCACCGGGTGGGGCCCCGGGGCCGATAGTCTGATCGACAAGCATTCACAGCCTATAGGTCTACGAGTATATCGCAGCCTACCACCTTCTATGGCGAGCAAACGCCCTCGTTCGGATTCCCCAGAGGCATCCTCCTCTCGCCCCCGCCGCAAGGTCACGGAGCCAGACCCGCCTCCCCTAGTCCCGTATGAGGATTCAATCTTCTCGGTCCAAATAGATGTGTCGGAATCCACGCGTGCAGCAAATCTAGCCGCAATGCTTGATCGTATTGATCGGTACACCACAAGTGCGGAAAGACCCCACGATGAAATCCTCCAAGCATCCCTTAGAAATTTCCTCGAGATGTTGCCACCAGATGGATGCGCCGAGCTCTTGAAGGACATCGATAGCAAGCCGGGAGACGAAGGCCTATATGAGGTTTTCAGTAACCTCTACACCGGCCTGAGATCCCGGAGTAAGTTATGATCCCTGACTCAGTCTTGAAAAAAAAAATAATAAAAAAAAAAAAAAAAAATGATGAACTTATGAATCGGACTACTTAGTGATGTCGCGCTCAAAGCCTCCCTCGATTACCCCATCTCCGAACCCAAAGCGGGGCGATAATGCCGAAGATAAGCCAATCAGCCGCGACCGAAAGTTCAAAACAGCCTTGCTAGCGAGAGATGGATACAAGTGTGCCGTGACTGGTCATTTTGACCAAGGCCGATATGAAGAACTTGGTTTGGATTCGCCCGATCTTAATCCTACGGATACACAAGGGGCTTATATAATTCCATCCTCATATGGATTTTGGAATTCAAGCCAGGTAAGATAACTTTCTCTCTAAGGTAGTTGATATGAATGCTAGTTTTAAATAGAGCCCACCTCCCGATATGGTTACTGCTTGGGAAGTTTTGTACCGGTGCTTTCCAGCACTCCGACGCCTAAGATTCAACTGGGAAGATATCAACAACCTTGAGAATGGAATCACCATGGCTGAATGGATCCATTCAAGGTTTGGAAGATTTCGCCTTGCTTTTAAAGCAACGGTTAGCTATTTATACCTTTCAAAACAAGTGGCTAGGTACTGAATAAGAGGATACAGGAAGTCCCCGATCAATATGATGTTGAGATATTTGGATCGATCGGCAATGCGTATCGCAATATGATTCACGATCGGATCACTTTCACAAACCACGACTCAGCAAAGGACCATAAGCTTCCCAGTCCAATCATACTGGAGTGCCATTACATTCTAGCAAAAATTCTTAATGCTTCCGGTATGGCCGAGGCATTCGAACATGATTTTGATAGATGGGAGGCCGTAAAGGAATCAGTCCATAGCCTCCGCGAAGACGGGAAGACGGATATTGGCAGTATCTTAGAATTATCATTTTTGTGCGATGATATTGCTCGATAGGGGGATTACAGTGAGCTGAATTCTTATATTGTATGGTTTTGAAGATACATAGCTATTCGTGACAGCAAATTAAGGAGCAAGCTCAATTTCAAGTTAATAAGGAATCTTTACAGCACTTGCTAATGTTGGAAGGGGGATAGTTTACTAGATTGAAATCGAGTTACGAATATTAGCTTGTAGGATATAACATAACTAACTAGATAGAAGATTTAGTTAAATTTATAAAACCCCTAAAAAATATATAACTAGACTACCTAGGTAGATTCCTGACCTTAGTCAGGAATTACTATGCGTGCTCAGTTTTACTCAGTGAGCAAAAAGCGGCTAGGGGTGAGCACTAAAGTGGAAAGGGAAAGCCATGTCGCGCGGCCTAAAATCCGGTGTATATGCAAGGTCATAGCTTGGAGGCGTAGGGGGTGCTGGGGGGAAGGGGGGGCTCTGGCCTGATTTCCAACTTGTACGAATAACCGAACCTCAATCGCGTGGCTCCGATAGTACGCGACAAAGAGGGGAAAAAAAAGAGTAAATACATGTTCAAGCATATACAAAGTAACTAGTTAGTTAACCAATTACTTTTTTAGCCCCAAATAATCCTTTCGGACAATAATAAGATTTAAAATTACTTACCCAAACGGTAAAATCTCGGCTTTTCTCTCAAAGAGCAAGTTATGTCCGGAGTCGAAGTGACTATAGCCGACTGAAGTGGATATAGTCATTTAAGGTCACATCCAGGTCAAACCAGTCAAAGGAGGCCATTCTCTGCCAAGCGAGTCAACGATGCCCGTTAGTGGTCCAAAGAACTCGTGGGTCACCGCCACGCTTTCGACTTGGCCCTTTTTCTTTTTTTTTTCTTTCGGGCCCTCGCGGTCCCTCTTTGGGTTGTAGAATGGCCAATCACTCGCCTTGCTTCCTTTGTATTTGTTTTTCCTCGTCCATTTGACTCTGCCGGGCTGTGCCTAGCTCCTTTATCCATGGGGGCACATGCCCTCTTAATTATAAAGTGAACAACTAAAGAGATCCCGGATGTCCGGCCTTTTCCCAGTTTTGTCTCTTACACGCCTTCCACTCCTTTTGAGGCTTTTGTGATTTCACTCTTTTAATCTGAATCCTCTCACTTGGACATTCTATCGTTATTCCTCACCGTATAGTTATATATAATATACATATACACATATATTCGCCATAATGCGCTTCTTTACCTCCCTCGCTGTCGCCGCCATGGCCGCCGTTGTCTCAGCAAACAGCAAGGCTAACCCCTTCAGCATTCCCACCGATGGCTACACTTTCACCACTGGCGAGTCTACTGCTCTGAAATGGGAGCCTACCACCACCGGCACTGTTAGCTTGATCCTGCAGTGGGGAGCCGTCCTCAGCGGTACCTCTGGCACTACCATTGCCTGTAAGCGATATATCTGAATGACTCAATATTCCCCCGATAAGATACTAACTGTCCCAGCCAACCTCGCCAACGACGGTAGCTACACATGGACTGTGCCTTCCAAGCTGGCCGCCCAGCCCGACTACACTATTAAGATCGTTTCGGACGATGATACCAACGACTTCAACTACATTGGCCGTTTCACCGTCGAAGGCTCCACCGTCTCTGTCTCGTCTTCCAGTGCCAGCTCGACCGCCACTTCTACTTCTACTGAGTCATCATCTACCGAGTCCTCTACCGAGTCTTCTACTTCGGCCACTGGTACCAGCACCGGCACCAGCACCTCGGAGACCTCGGCCTCGAGCTCTTCGGCCACCATCACCGGCTCCACCACCATGACCACTGCTTCCAGCACTGTCGCTAGCACCTCCGCCTCTGCTACCTCTACCTCCGCGAGCTCCAGCTCTGCCGAGTCCACCTCGGCCAGCGCCAGCTCCTCGGCCGCTTCCCAGAGCGCCGTGCCCACCACCAACGCTGGTATCGCCAACCGTGTCTCCGGTGGCATGCTTGCCATCGTTGCCGGTGCTCTGATGCTGTAAATTTACTGTGCATACAGATGTTGTCACTGACGAGATTTTCCAAAGTCACATTGACATGCTTTATTGATATACATATTTTGTTTTTTTTTTCTCTTTGTTTCTCTGATTGGCTGTATCTTGAAACAGCCAATTAAATTTGTGTTGTTGCCTGTCCCTTTTTTCGGGGGTGCAGCTGTACAAAACATCCCTCTTTTGACTACGGTCGGCATTGTGGTTTTATTATTTGATTCTTATACTATTTGTGTGTCCAACGTTAATGACTGTATACTCCCTACAATCTAATTCCTATAATTTTGTACCTTTGTTTAATTTCATATATTAATTCGAACAAATCTGTGAAAATTGACAGTGGGGAGATAATTAATTAATTTGGATCGTCCCGCACCCACTATAATTGTAGTTTAATCTCGCTAAGGTATTGCCCTCAAAAGGTCCTTAAATACAAAATCTCTTACATTAAGTGACTATGGGGTAGTCTGGGACTATTGCACTGTCCAGAGAATGAGTGTTATTTATTCTGACTACAACATAAATGCCAGGATATCATATCAGTAAGGGGCCTCTCACTAAAGTTCTACTCCATACGAAGTACTCCATAAGATAAATAATGATCGACCGGTGGAGAAGGCCTTAAGTCTTGGAAACACCAAGCAAATTTCCCTGTCTAGTAAGGATTCTCTCTTCTCCACAACATTCGAGGGATGAGGGGATTTGACGTCTGATAAGTACGGAGTACAATTTCGAGAGATTCCAGTCTGATTGTTTTTTTTTGTTTTTTGTTTCTTGTTTTTCGACTAGTTTGGACTAGTAACAACTTTGATTCTGGAATTTCGACTGTATTTTCCTAATTTTGGGATTTTACTTATATTATAGTCCCTCGATCCCCGCGTCTATCTCGATTATGGGAATGCGAGCCCGTATACGACCTACTTGCAAGGTTCACTACATGACATGAACACCCTATAACTAACTATGCATGTACCTCCATAGCAACATAAAACTCCATACTCAGACATAGTCATTATGACAAGTCTTGGCTTGTCCGACTTGGCCCTGTGCCTAACTCGTGACCATACACACATGCACCAGGTGCCAGGTCCTCTCTACGATGAAATCTCAATCTGTTGACCGACTTGACGTTTCAGTCTCCGTGGACGATATCATTTCTATCTGGACTACCATAATCATGTGTTTCCAAGATTTAGAGGGTCGACTCCGTACTTTCTAGGATTCGACCTATGTATGCTAGGCACCCGAGCTATGAAAACCCAACCCTGGCATAATCAACCATCAATCCAATGCATGTCTGTTGACACACCGCATGAACAACATGGGAGCCCCCCAAAGCAAAAATAAACACCGCGCTCATGTCCAGGTTTAATAATAGCTACCCTGATACCGTCATCAAAAAGCTCAATTCCAAGCAAGGGTCTGCACAAATCTATGATCGCAGGAACACTCCACTCCACCTCGTGTCTGCAGAGGAAAGCAAGACTCCTAGCTTAATGCAGGGCTTTGCTGGAAATCCCAAAACATACAGTCCCATTCAGTTAATCCATAGGGCGGATTCTGGATCTGATCTCTGATCTATCAATCGCGAATGCCCTTCACCAAAGAAAATGTGATTGCCTATATGCAATCGATGCAGAAGACATGCAGAAACTGGGGTCTTCGTCATCCACTTTCCTTTGAAATGTGAATGGCTCAGCTTACTCTTTTGTGTCACATTAGTACGCTATACCATCGGTCATTGGTTGGTTGCTGAGAACGATGACATGACAGCTGGGTTTACAATGATTGAACCCCTAGCTTGCAGCAGGGCCCATTGATGGGCCCGAGGATCCGAGATCCCATGAAGAGATTTCCTTTCGAACGAATCTGGGCTGTGCTGCATAATTCGCTTCTTATAAAGGTGCTGTTGCATCCTCCCCAGGGATAGAGTGTTTATTGCTTGCTCAGTAGTGCCATTGAAAGCTCAAGTCAGAGCAGAGACCCATTTTTTTCAGATATATCAATTTTGGTCAAGTCTTATCCAACGAGCACAGGATCCACTATGTTATCCAAATTCCTTCTTGCGTCGGCTGCGACCGTCGTGGCGCTCTCTGGCCTGGCCACTGCCCAGACAAACATCACCGAGAAAGACTGCGCCTCCACATCCGAGTACTCAAAGTGCAACAGGGATGTCGCAGACAAGTGGAGCTCCTGCATCCGAGGCTGTAACGGCAATGGCAACTGTGCCGTGGACTGTGGCTGCAACTCCCACCAACAGTATATCAATTGCATGGCGGAGTCATGCTGGAACCAGGTATGAATTTTATATACGCCTTTTATTTCAACGGATACCCAATTCATGACGATCATAAACCCATGCTAACAATATTCTGCTTGCCAGGTCTACTCCTGCAAATACCAGCTCTTCGTGCAGCAGTACTTCGCCGTCTGCCCCAGCGCCAAAGAGCCAATCCCCTTCTGGCCACCTCCAGACAACGCGCCAAACCGCTGCTCCTGCGATCTAGCCAAGGTCACGCGAACAACTCTATCGTCGCGTAACCAGCAGATCAAATGTATGCGCGATGTCACCGACAAGGTCACTGGAGACATCGGCAACATCCCAGACCTGTCGAACCTAAACAACGGTCTTGACATTGCCAACCGTGCCTCGGACTGTGCCTGCTGTGGAGCCAGCGCTGGTATATCCGCGTAAGTGAAGCATATCAAACCGCAATCTTTTTTTTCTTTTTGGAAAAAGCACTAACTAACCCCGACCCGTAGATCCTGGGATGTCTGCCCCCACACCGAACCCACACTCGCCGGCGCGGACATGTGGGGAGTCTTCTTCCCCTCCGATCTACCCAATCTATACACCTCCCTCCCGAATTGGGCGTGGTCGTCATGCGACTCGACGCTCCAGGATACGAAGTGCAAGGACCTTGGTTTCACAGACACAGACAAGTTCTACAAGCCCGGCGATTTCCCTAATAACGGCACTTCGACCCTATACGAAGTTGGCGGTACGCTCACGGTGCCTCCTAGCGGTACTGTTCTCACTTGGTCGCAGGCCTCCAGTACTTATACCGTTACTGCCACTGGGTATGACCGCAAGGCTGTTGCTAGTCAGAGTGAGTACCGTGCTACGGCTACAGGTACTGATGAGGCGTTTGCGACCCAGACTGCTTTTAATGGTGCTGGGGCTGTGAGGAATGGTGGCCTCGGCGCTCTCGTCGCTGGTGCTTTTGCTGTTGTTATGTTGTAGTTAACTTGGTGGTTGAATACAAGTAACTAAACGTCGACTGTGCTGGCAGGTGGAGGGGATGGAAAATTGATATGTTTCTATGGTATTTCATGATGTGATATGACCGGGTTATGGGATTGTGTGTGGCGTTGACGATTTATATGTTGCATGTCTACTTTGGACTAACTGTTATGGGGAGGTACTCTTGGAATGGATAGACTACCCAAATGACGAATAATTCGATGCACAGGTTGCTTGTTTATGTCTTAGGCCTCTATAGTACTCGACTTAGACATATCATTCTATCAGTTGCCCACTTTTTGGCCATTTTTCCATCCCTTGCCGTCAATATATTTCGGGTGTTAGAAGTCTGGATACACGAATGCCCAATTCAAGTTCGCACACCCCCAGTGTTGCTGGTACTACTGGAAGTGCTTGGATTATGGTCTGCTGACTAGTAATGAATGACTACGACATTTTGCGAATGCGACCAATTTGGAGGGAAAAGAACGATGCTCTTCTGCATTGTATTATGCAGAGCAGCTATAAAATTACATTAAAAAAAGTCCCCGAAACCGCCCAGAACAACGCCAGTTACTCCACAGACATCGGTATCAAATGTTGGAATCATAGCCCGCTAGACAATGCACGGACACCGTGATCAGTGTCCTGTAGGACGACAAGAAAAGCATAAAATCTAAAAAAGCAAAGCAAGAGACGAAACAATCACGCAACCCACGACGGGACAACCCGCTTCAGGAACTTCATGAACTTCCAGAACCCAACCGCGTACTCCTCATTCCCGTGTGGGTCCACGACCCGCTCAGGGAATGCAATGCCGGCACCGAACAGTCCGGGGATAACAGATGAACGGCCGGGCTCGTGGAAAGTGCCACTATCATGATCGAAGCTCATGAGAAGAGGCGCACCATTCTTCGAGAGCTCAGGGAGCGACGCACGGGTATACCCAACCGCCTGGACAAGATAGTCACATGCGGGCAAGTACTTGTGGTACTGGGCAGACTCGATCTCCTGGCCACCGGCGCAGTCAATCTTGGTCAGCACCTGGCCAGCGCGCGAAGTAGCAAGCTTCTCATCTTCGAGCTCGGAGCGAGCAAAGTCCGCAGCCAAGCCCTTCAGACCGGTGTTATCGCGCAGTACCCAGCCATCCTTGTACTCTGCGTAGCGAAGGGGGTGGCGGGTGAACCACGTAATGCGGAGCAGAGGGTGGGAGGTTTGGGCGAGCTTGGTGAGGTTTAGGATGGCGAGAATGGCGCTGTGGGATGCGCCGACGATGGCGACGGAGATAGGTTTGTCTGAGGGGATTGTCTTTGCTAGCTCGGTGGGCTTGAGCACAACGTCGAGGTCCAAGCGCTGGATGGCCAGTCCCGGGACGGGAATGGGGGCTGCTGTGGGGAATGAGCCTGTGCAGAGGATCAGGCGGGTAGTCTCAAAGGTCTCAAGATCTTCGCTTGAATTCCGTTTGATGGAAATGGTCCAGTCGGAGGTCTGCATTATCATGCCATAATTAGTCTTCGTACGTGATAAAAGAAGTAGATGTGTAATAATATCACTGACCGTTTCGTTCAGGTTGGCTGATTTGACAAAGCCGTGGCATGCATATACTTCCTCCATCTTCATCAGACCATCTGTCAGGCCACGAACCATATCCGCTGCAAAACCAAGGGTGCAAGTAGATTCTTGGTCAAGTTTGGCCAATTTGGTGAATGCATTAGGTGATTTGGTGTTATCGATCACTTTCTGGAAAGGTTGTGTGGCTTTTGCGAATGCTTGGAATAATGAAACCTTGGTGTTGCTGGAGGTACCTCGTTAGTATCTTGCAGCTTATGTTTACTTATGAAGGATCAGGTACACACCTGGGAACTTCACGGTACTTGCTGTGGACTCTCCCGGCCTCAAAAGAAGGATCAATCCATGTGATTGCACCCAACTGGCGCTCCAACAAGTTTCCCATGACGGCAACTCCAGCTGGACCGGCTCCTACGACGACCGCTGCGCATTTCCGAGTAGCCATATTGTGGTGATTAGAATATGGGAGTAAAAATAGGAAAGTAACGATAGGAACAATTGGGAAATTGTAGAATGAGAAAGAGTTGTAAACCGGTGTTTATTTGAGTAAGTAAATAAATAGAATCACAATAGATATCGCGACGGGGTTTGTGACGGGGTTTAAAAAGGGGGCTAAGAACCCAGGAACGACATCATCGGCGATGGAATGCGTACAGGTACGTAGTGTTTGGATCGCGAGTACCTTCATGCAGATAACGCAACCAACGTCCAGTCAGGACATCGCTATAGAGCGGAAACCTTCATTATTGTTTAGGCAAAGGTTTCCTTCAATATCCCATGACACATGTGTAGCTCTCGGACGAGATGGGTCGGCGTTCTATCGACATGTGTTGGCCAATGCATCCTGGCTATTTCACAGTTGGCGGAGGTTTTAGACGGCGACCTATTCGGTGACTCATTCGGGGACTTTCAATCGGCGACTGAGACCCACTGTGCGCTTCCCGTCGGCACGATTCATATTAATATGTGAGGAGGTACTCATGGGATAAACACCATTTTCATGGCATTTGTGAGAATATTGTAAGTCCATGGTTGGCCTGCATGATGACTGGCATCAGGGGGGGTTAAAGAAAAAACAACCTGTAAAGCAGTTTGAGGAGACCGTTGGCTTTATATTGTGTTGTTTAGGCGTCGATCGGGCAGTCTTGGCAGAATGGCGTGATTGATTTTGGGCTTCAAAGCCAATCAGCGCTTAGCAAGTATATGTTGTAGGTATGGTCTGTTGTACGGAGTATGGAGTCTACTACTCCGTATAGATCTGAAAGATAAGATGTGGTATAACATATTCTTCTGACAGGTCATTTAGTACTCGTATAGCTCGAAACCCCAATCCAATACCAGACAAATGTCCATATCCACAGGTCTGTTGTAGTTGTTCTTGGTCCAACTGCTGTTCCTTCATACAACCCAGTATATCCTCACACTTGCTCGATAAACGTTATTTGACCAACCAAGAAATCTTGCCCGGGCCCAAACGGCAATCGAATCGCCAACCTCCAACTCACGCACTCCATGTCCATCAAGAGTAAGCCGACCACGACCCAAATTCTTCTCAATCTCAAATGCCTCGGGAGAGTCTGCCTGGATATCATCTCGATAGTCCCAAACAATTTTATTGTGCTGCATATCGCTCACGTGGGCTCCATTAACTTGTAATTTGTTGTCACGGGGCAACAGCAGCGCATCCGCCTCGGTATAGTGTTTTCGGACTTGTCCACGCTCATTGTCGAGAATCTCTTGCTCGGTTCCATTGACATACATGTTCCTTGTATGGGCGCCGTGGATAACTTCGACGTCAAACCAAGTGTATGAAAACTTATACATGTTGTCACGGCGTCGCCCACCGCCTTGGTCGTGGGATGAGATATTGAAGACTATCTTGCGACAGGGATGTGCCCCGCGATGGGGTAAGGGGGTAGGACTCGGTTCTTGCCCTAAGCTCTAACAGAAACGGACCATCAGCACGGGTTTACCAACTAACTGCAGAACAGATATATATACATTCCGATCATAGCAGAGAGGAACTGTTTTTAGCAGAACTTGATCACGGTCTTTTTGAATGATCCGCCGAGTTTGCATTTTTCGCTCTATCGAAGGCCAATATTCCGCAGCATCGACGATCATATCGATAAGCTCCTCTGGAAGACCGCGTGGGAGCTTCCACTGCAACAAATGCCGAACATTGAGTACATCCACTAAGGTGGGATTGAACTCTTGAGGTTCTGGATCTGGAATACACTCATCCGACCCATCGGAATCTGTGCCGTTCGTATTTGCAGAGGGTCGGCCATGGGACCGGTGCAGGTTTCCTGGGCGAGCTCCGAAAGGTAACATGATGGTAGTAACGAGATTTATTAGGTGCTGACTTGAAAAAGGGTTCGTGACACCTGGACACGTGTAGACGTCACCGTTGGACTTTGCGGTGAAGTTGGATGATTCGGTTTAGGCAATGGCGCCACCACACATACAACCAGTCAAATACGATCTTTACAAACTTCCTTTTTGCTCTGCACTTCTCGGCCTCGGGGGTTACTGCGTTGGCTTTTGTTCTTATCGAATCGTTCGTATAGTTACTTCACCCCCCGCATACCCATATGGACGAGCTTTGAAAGTGGTTGATTTTGGACCGCTGGAGCTATTGACTTTCCAAGGTTGTTGAAAGAATTTCAAAGTAGAGTGACATTTAAAGAGAGTAAATAATGGATGAAGGTTGGTGGGAAGAGAAGATGTACATGTGATTGATCAGTGTCTACGTCCATTGTTGACAATGACGTCAATGTCTCAGGTTATACTACGTTTACTTTGAATAGTTACCCATATGCTCAAGATATGCATACCTGGTCTCGAATTTTGTGTTCTTCATACAATATATTCAAATGCCCTTCCCAACGCCCATAAAAGATACAATATGGCTTCTTTTATTTTCAGCCCCGTCTGCCACCTGCAGCTTTGTATGCGGCAGCCCGCTTGCTGCTTCTACTTTCTCGTTTGGCCTTTGAGCCACGGCTCTTCTGCTTCATCTTGATGGAGGATGATCCCTCGGTAGCGCGGTGACCCTCAAACACGAAAGAGTTGCCGGCAATGGTACTGTTGGCATCGGCCTTCACCTTAGCCGCACCCGCTCGGCCTAGGAGTCTGTTGGCACGTCCTTGCATCGTCTTCTGGGCTTCGTCGACACGAGTCTTCTTAGTCTCAGGACCAGAGGGTTCGCGCTTCTTAGCGACCTTGCGGGCCCGAGTGACACGCAGCTTGCGGGGGAGCATGGGCGGGAAGTTCTTTCCATTGAGGGGAAGAGACTCCTCAACACCATTGCCATCGTAAAACTGGACATAGGCAAATCCTTTGCCAACACGAGTGGTGCTGTCACGGATCACGCGCACGAACTCGACGTTCTTCTTCACGGCCTTCTTGTCCTTGCCTCCAGTGTGGGCATTGAAAATCCGCCATAGACCCTCCTCAACATCGGCAGGAGCGCGAACCTTCTTCTTCTTGCCGGTCTTCTCGTCCTCTTGGGGGGTTTCACTATCAATGAAAGACAGGTTGCCGACAAAGACACAGCGCTTGTGGTCAATTTCTGCCGGGTGAGCAAGGCTATCAACTCGCAAGTGACGGTCCAAAACAATGGTGCCGTTCAAGGCTGCGGGGGCCTTGCGTGCGGCAAGGAGGGTGGTGTATACAGCGTATGCGTTGGTGCTGGGAGTAGTCTCATCGAGAATCTCGCGCTTCGCGAAGGAAGCACGCTTGGGAATACCACCACCGCTGGCGAATGCAACAGAGCGGAAACGGATCGACTCGACCTTGTGCGGGCCGGTGGATTCAGGAAGCGTCGAGCAGAAAGAGGCCAGGTGCCTGAGAAGTGTCTTCTTGGCGGTCTTAGACCTGATAGTCTCGGAAGAGACGTTGCCTAGGAAGACAGTGCGGTTGGATTTCTCAACTTCGTCGGTCTTAGCGGAGCCAGTCAAGCTCTCGTGCACAGGCGCAGGAGCGGTCTCCTCATCGCTGTCTTCTGATGCTGAAGCATTATCGGAGTCCTCGCCTTCCTCATCTTCGTCATCTTCGCTACCTTCTTGTTCGGTCTGCTTTTGGCGCTTAGCTTGCTCGGACTTCCTCTTTTCCTCGTCCTTCTTCTCCTCCTTTGCAATGCGACGCATATATGTCTCCTCGACTTCCTCGCCGGTACTGCCTCGCTTGCGTTTCCGGTTCTGTGCGTCGGTAGTCTGTTCTTCTTCCTTTGCAGCCTCAGAATCATTTTCTTCAGCAGCATCCTCCATAACTTCATCGCCTGATGCAGATGATTCCTCCTCTTCAGCAGCATCATCTTCTTCGTCCTTTTTCGCCCGTTGGGTGGGCTCAGCATATTTGATCACGGGGGTTTGCACAGGACCAGCCTATAGAATGTCAGTTCGAAATTCATTAATTGCACATCAAACAAACATACACTTTGCGCAAAAAGCGAGGACAATGTCGGGTCCAGAGATGCACCACCGAAGGGAAGAGTGCCAGCGGACTTGCTGGTCTTCTCCTCCGTCTTGGACGAAGACTTTGATTTTTTGCCCATTTTGATGTGTTTGGTCTGTATGATAGTCTAAAAGTAAAAGTGGGTGACCAAGACGTGGCTTCGTTGCGATTGACACTTGCGCCGATGATAGCTCCGACTTTTTTTTTCCCTCTAGTTTCTGCTTATCGGGCCTTGGCATGGAAAGCTGCTTATCACATGACTGATAGTACAACTTGAGAGTAGTTAGATGTTCCTAGTTACTATGTAAGGTACATCGCACATTGTATATAATAGATATGCATGGATATCACCTATGCAAGCTTTCTGTATTACTTACACTTCTTGTCTATAAGTACTGCCATCTCTCTGTGTATTCCAGGCTGGGGAGGTTCGTGTTTTAGGATTGGGTTGTAAGCTGTGCATGTGTGATGCATATATGCACTGTCTAACATTGTGAGATCGATGAACTAATCCATTGTTCTGTATTCCTTCCATGCTCCTCTGGCGTAAAAGTGCAAGATCAACAAATCCTTATAGAGAAAGGCTCATCTCATTCCAACTACGTCAGATACAGTCTCACGTGATTTCCTTTTTCTTCGGGCGGTGAGACTTGCCCTCGCCGGAACGCAACGCGGCAGAATCAGCGGTCACTCGCTTCTGTTGCTGCACCCCATCAGACCGATCTGCTGCTTTTCTCTGCTGAAACCCCCTCTTTCAGCTGTGATTCCCCATCCTTGATCATTGGTTTGGTCTTGATTACCATCCTTGGCCACTTCTTCATGCCGTCAACCCCCCTGCGACTCGGTACCCTCGTCTTGTCCGCTTCCTAGCCATCCTCCCCTCGTCCTCCAGTGTCGGTCTGCGCAGGATTCGTCGGACCGAAGGCTTTCACGGGTTACAATAGTGGTGATACGCGTGGGCTTGGACTTAGGCCATAACCTGCGTTTCAGGAACGCGGTGGTTTTGGGAATCGTGCTCGGTCGCGAGCAGCTGTGCTCATAACCGGCGTCGCTCCCGGCGCATTGTTGAAACGGTACGTCGCTTAAGGTTCTACATCAACTCCAGAGTTTCATCTGGTCATTTTTCGCGAGAAGGGAGTGTCTCTGTGCCTTCTAGAACTACTGTGATCGGTATACTTGCTTTGCGCGGCGTCCAGTCCTTACGCTGGGCGATTGTTACCGACTCTGGGGGCGTTCGATGATCAATCTCCGCACCACCGCCTTCTGGAGGCGCTGACCTATCTCTCGCACCCACCCACCACTTTTTGCCCACCAACTCCGTCCCTCATTGATTTTGCTGAGTTGACATGGCAATTGAGCTAATTCGATCCGTGGTTTCTCCAGATTCTCGATCGAAACATCATCTGGCGGATCGGTGACCCTCCCCCTCTCCTCACGCCTGCGCCGAATCTCAACCTTGCCGCAAGCAATCAACAACCCAATACTCTCACCCAACCCTTTTTGTCTTCACTCGCATTGTGTTGCGCCAGCTCTTTTAGCTGCATAATTGTCCCATGGAGGTAGCCGAGAGCAGAGAACAGGCCTCCGTTGGTCCCACAACGGGGGCAGAGTCCACATTCCCCAATGGCGAGCGGAACCCTTTTCTTGATGACCCGCTCATGGACGATGATGGGCGCTCAAGTAGTTTGAGTGAGATCGACGACGTCTCGGACAACGAGCCGTCCGACTTCGAAGATCCCATCAAATCCGACAAGCCAATGGAGAATGATTCGGAGGCCGAAACCGAGCGCATCGAGGATTCTCCACACAACATCCGGAAACATGACATCGTGTTGAGTGCCGCTAGTGCCGGGCCAAGTCCTAGCAAGCTTCATCAATCTACAACACTCGATGATGTCGACGATGAAGCACTTGTGGCGGACGATTCTCCTAGCAAACCACGACGGTCTTCAAAGAACAACGGCTTGACCGAGAATATCCCAGACCTGGGCGACCTAGGTGATTCCGACCTCCCAGATAGTCCCAACAAGAAACGAAAACACGAAACTGTCGCCGAGTTGGGCGACGAAGAGCCAATGAAGAAACGCCGAAGCTCAATTAAGAGTGATTTGAGTGACCCGATCGACGATGATACCCCCCTGTCGCCCGAGCCGCTTGGCAACCCCATGGATATCAATGACGATGGCATACTGGTTGATGAAGTACCTGAATCGGACCTACCAGCCCCGCCTTCCAAGGGCAAAAAGGGCAAAAAGGGTAAGCGGAAAGGCAGAAGGACCCAAGACGCCGATGAGGAGGCGGAAGCTGGGGTCGAGGCCACAATAGAGTATGTTGCTGATGAGATTCTTGGAGAAGACGAGGAGCCTACGGAACGAGGAGATGAGCCCGATGGCGCGGAGGCGGTTCTTCGAGCCGAAGAGTGTAAGTCTTCCCGTTCATGGACCCTTTGGGCGCCACAGACACTGACGTCCTGTACAGCTGTGAAAAAGATGTCTGCTATGGATTCACTAGCGACACTGGAGAAAGAATTTGCAACGTTACGTGACAAGTAAGAAATCACCCCATCTCTGACATGCTTCGCTGCTCACAATAATAGGATTTATGACGAACGGATATCCAAACTCAACCGCGAGTTAGAGATGCTTACCGGTCCGAACCCGACACACCCCGAGTACTTGCGGCAGATCGAGTGTGTGCAACGTTACCGGGACGCCAAGATAAAATACGAACAGAACTTGTATCGATACCGCATGAAGTCCCTCATGCACAAGGGTCTGGCCGAGCGAACACAGGCCCATAGCACATACTACCAGCGGATTCGGGATGCACGCGAGCGGCATTCAAGTGCAGTCAGCAAGCAGTTCTATGCCATTCAGCATGATCGCTTCAAGACAGACGAGCTTAGCCCGCACCACATCATCCCATTTCCCACCCGTCGCTCGCAGCAAATCGCACATCAGACCGCATACAACCAGGAGGTTTCAATTATGGCTGGTGTCGCCAAGTATGTTGGCTTCCCGGCTGCCCCGTCCTTGATGGGTGCACGGCCCGCCGAACTGGATGACGATCTTGAAAAGATGGGGGTAAGTCATATTCATATTGATAAATTTGGTCAGTTGCTGACATTAGGGTATAGATTCCTATCGAATCTCGCGCTTCGGCACCAAGGCACTCCTCAACAATACCCCCACGGACAACCATGTCTACCATGTCTTCTAATGCCTTCCGTTCGGCTGCTGAAGAAGCATTCTTAGAACAAACACCCTGGGCAAACCCACAACATCCTATCCATCAGCAGCAGCAGCAGCACCCGCAGCCACCTCGACAGCAAGGCCGTACATTTGAGCATCCGCAACCCTCATCATATGCAACGCCAGCCGCTCAAAAGCGGATGGTAGACATCAACGCACCCAATGGATCTGCATCCACCATTCCTGAGAATGCCTCTGCTGCCAACTCATCAGCCAACAACACCCCTTACGGCATGGAGCACGATCCAAGGCATCAAGCGCAAGGGCCCTTCCGCAACCCAGATTATGATCCCGATCATCGCAAATCTGGGCTCCGGTCACTAAGTTCATCTCCCTTGGATGTGCGGAAATCACAACCGCATCTCACCCATGCCCTCGAACACCGTTCTCCTGTTACCGATGCCCCATCCCACAATCACATCTTCTCTCCGCCTTCTACCCGCCAAGGCTTGTTTCAACCTTCAGCCGCTCTCCAACGGGAGACCTCGCCATCCCTCCCGTCTAAACCTGTTGATGTGGTACATTACCGCCCCCATCAGTCAGGAATTTCCACAGGGTCTGGTTCAAATCACATGCCTAATCGATGATCGATTACGTTTGATGATTCTTCTTGAAATGACTGGTCAACATCCCCCTTAATACCCCGAGAGTCACTTACCCTCCTCTTTCATGCATTTTGTGCACTTCTCTTCTCCTGTGATAAATCCGATGTTTTTCTACTCTCCAGCTCTTGCGCCAGCAGCAAATGTATCTTGACGGTCATTTTCACCTGTGTTGCATGAATGGAATACCAATCTGGGGTTTTGTCTTTTGAGTTTCAATAGCGTTCACATGTGGGATACTCCGGTTGTCATTACTTCTAACTTTGGATTCGAAGACTTTATTTGAATGGAACGGAATCTGGTTAAATCTGCTATTGTTTTATGGCCTGACAGGGTGTATGGGGTCTGGAACTGTTTCTTCGTGCCTGCAGTAGAGAAACATCTTTTGCATTGGAGTTCCTTTTTCTCTTCTCCCTTCCTCTAGTGTTCTCTGGTCTTTGTGGTGACTTTGTGCTTATTGATGTACATACACTTTTATTTGATACCATAAGGTCTTCAAGCCCTTTCTCTTGTTACCATTCCCTATTTATATCTTCGATCTACGATTGTGCTCTTATTGCCTCTGAGACATTTAGAACCAGTTTCACCCTAGTTGGATACATATGTATCTTACAGGCTTAGATCTTCAACCGATCTTTGTATAGCGGGGCTGAACCTTGGAACCATGGCAGCGCCACACCTTCCCTAGCCCTATCCAAAGTGGAGCTTATCTGGTCCTAAAATCACTTCACTGATTCGCTTAGCTTCCTTTATAGTGACTACTAATAGCTTAGATGGGTTACCAAGCGGGTCGACTTCATGTGATAATTTGGCTGGATGTACCTTATAAATGACTAGCTTCATGCTTAAACTAGTGGTCAAATTTAACAGCTACTAGAAAATAGTTAGATATATACCATCTACTGCATAGAATAGTGATTAGTTGTTACAATGAACTTCAAGCAATGAAAGGAATATTTTCCTGCTATGGCCTCTCTATGTTGTAACTTTGTATGATTGAACATCCTCAGCCCAGCACCATCTCAATTGTCTAACATTGCCAAGTCAAGTTGAAGATCCTTCTGGAACACCGAGCTCATGCAGACGCTTCGATTGCTGGGGATATTTTAGTGCTCCACGTGTGTGCGGCCAAAAACTGGGTCGATGCTATACTCAATTTCTTAGAAGGATGCGTCAATCAAGGCTCAGGAATTGTGCTTGCGTGAAACTCCTTTGCACAAAGCAGCTCAAAATCAGTGTATGTACACCATTAAGACATTGCAATTAAGGGCAGCAAATTCAACGCTAAATGATATTGACGAGTTGGCTTTCGAGACGACGATAATGTACTTTGGGTACATCGTGATTCATATTGTTTTATTTCATACCAGATAGTTTCGCAGATGCATTATCATTTAGTTCAATGTGCAAATCTGCTCATGTATATTTATAGAAGCCTAAGTTTGCATGTTGTTAAGGGACTCCCAAAAATTGAAAATCGACACTTCATCCATCAGCGCATCAATGGCATCTTCGCCGACTGTTATTCCTGCCACAGGATCATCGGTCGAAACTTCTTGCAGTGGAGAAGACTCAGATGCCATCTCAGGGAGAACTGTTTGAGCCACATAGTTTGGGAAAATGTGACGGATGGCTTCGAGAAAGATACCTCGGAAGACTGAAGAGCAAGGGTGGGTGTGTTGCATCTGTTCCAATACTATCATGCACACCTCAATTTTGTTGAGACCCAGACGTCGGGAAACGGGATCGGGGGTTTTGCAGTTGAGGAGGTGGATGTGCATTGCTGGGACTAATAGCGGTGCCCTGGAGTGATTGTCAGAGAAGAAATCATTCGTAGGAGATTCGTGCACTCACGTCATAGGCGCTGAGAATCCCAATAGCTTCTCGTGTGCCAGATTATCAAGGATGGCATTAGTCTGTAAGGCAGCCATATTGATCTGATTTCTGACGTGAGTTTGCCATGTGTCCTGGTAAGATGCGGGCAGCCCTTCCGGGGCCTTTGTGATGAAAGGACGGTAAAAGGTGACTATGAACGCTCTTTTGGCTGTCAGGATGAGTTTTAAATGGATATAGCGTCAGCACTCACTGATAATGAAGCTGCAAATGATACAAGTAAAATGTTGCCAGGGGACTTTGTCCCGTCTCCTGGGTTTCGGGAAGTTGGAAGCGTGAAATATTTTTCTCAATAGCTTCAACCTGCTGGAAAGACCCACTGATTCCATAAGGTTGGTAGCACAAGGTGAGGGTGTCTCCCAAAAGCTGAGTGAGTTGAATCATTGTCACCCAATAATTCGCTAGCTGCGGTAGGTCGCTCGGGATATATGCTGCCGATATGGCTTCAGGTAACCCGACAAAATCACTCAACATATCATCCGGAGATGGCGGTACGGTATTACAGTCATTCATGTTGATTCTCAGTGGACGACCCATTGTGAGACTTAGCCAACGGTCTCGAAAGAAACAGGTCCACCAAAGGCGGCGCCAAAGACGCTTTTTTGGTTCAGTGATAGGTGAATTTGCGCAGACCCCAGCAGAGAAACGATGCAGACCCATTACTTGACAAAGACTGATCGCAACACCAAGCCAAAACCACGGTTGGCTGTAGGTATCAGCTTCAGAGTGGTACAATCCCAAGAGAAGTGCTGATTGAAGGAGAACTGCGTGGTCTGTCTCACCCCCATTATGATGTAGGCACTAATAACAGGCCGTCAGCTAAGCGTAATTCGGGAATATATCAATTTCTAGCTTACTCACCTTTGCACGAGAGTACATAGATTCTCTCATATCTTTCCTGGACGAAAAGCCCTCTGATTTGCAAGTATCAACTGAAAGATACTATATGCGCGTTAGCTAGATCGCAGTTCAATTCAGAGGAGAGGAGATGAGATTTACATTCGCAGCAGCAAAGGAAATGCTCCATAGTAATACCAGATTGTATGGGTGACCATCTCCATTGGGATAGAGATGTGGAAGGGTTGTAGCGTCGATAACCGGCATAATGGGATGCACATGATGAAAGTATGCCCGCATAAGTTCATCGCAGGTTTCTTTTCGGGGAATATTGAAGACACCCTTGTACTGCAAGTACGCTTTGTCCTCGGGGGGATAAAGAAACGGACGTTTTGGAAGTGAGTAGGATATGTCTTGGTGTGGGTTGGTCTGGGGGAGAGCATATATCAAAGACAGCACAAAACCCAGGCGAATCACCTGCAGTTTGGGGTCAGCTTCAGGTAACAACACTTGCACGGAAACTACAGACCAGTGTAGAATGGCGCTTGGCCAGGGTTTTTGCTTTTCCCGAGGACTTTGGTTGCGATTTCAACGCCAGTCCGCTCTTCACCCTGACGCCGAGAATAATCCGGCGGATTAGAGACACTTCTCATACCAGCCAGCTCAGAGCGGTCTATATTATGGGAAGGTGGTACATTCGCGAATGTATCGAGTGGAAGTGAAGACTGTGGTATCAATTCATTGGAATCTGCGCGAGGCGGGCTGCTAATGATAGACGCAGCCCGACGTGTATGTCTCTCGTGTATACTATATCTGTTAGCAATAAGCTTCTATTATTCTGGAAGAAAGGCCCACGTTTGGGTTTTTGTCGGCGGAACGGTACACTCTCTGGCATCTTGCCTACACCCTATACACGGGATTCCGGTCACCGTCACGCTACAGCGGACTTTGCGCCGACGGCAATTTTGACAAGCAGCAGCCGATCGATAGCGGCGTGTAGACATGATAAGTCTGCCAAGTATTAATGTTTCGGTCTGCCGGGAAGGTCGGGTCGCCGATTGTCGTCAAATATTATACCTTGGAAGTCATCCGAGGTAGCCGAGATACGGCACCCTTCCCGACAGTTCCGAGGTAATATTCTTCTAAGGAATATGGCTAGAATTCAAAGGGGAGGGAAAGGAGAAAACTGCCATATTCACTATCATTATGAAAGGTATAGAACGTCAGAGAAGAAAGGAAAATACAAACATGGGAGAGATCTGCCCACGGGGAGTTGTCACACATGTCTTAAGCCCTAAGGATGTCTGAGAGATCTTCCTGGCCTGAGGCATCACAACTTTTAGCGCGTAAAATGTATATTTTTTTACAATATTCTTCAAACAAAATATATTCAATTTAGATACAAAAGCCTCTATAGTAATTCAGGGCTACAGGAGAGTAATTCCAGTAAAGGCCCGGTGGTCCTCGAAGAAAACCTTCTCCTTGTGGTTGCCATCCAGCTCGCATCGGTAGATAGAACCGCCCAGATCGGTGAAATAGACATGAGAATTGATGGAATCCAATTTCAGACCAATTGCCTCATTTAGACCCCTGGTGAGAATTTCGTATCCTCTAGGGGAACTGGTTGATAAAGGAAGACCATCTTCACCCAATTTCGCTCTGTTCAGCGAGTTGCCGAACGGGATTTCACCACGATCCGTCCAGTAAAGTGTGCGAGAAGCTTCTTCCACCTCAAGATCAATTGGCTCAGGAAGATCAGCCAGAACGCACTGGACATCACCTCGAGCATCTGCTGACTGACCTCCAGGCGTTGTGATATTGGCACAGAAGATCCGGCCTTCACCACCCTTCGAGGGTCCTTTCTGGGTCCAATAGAATTTACCTTGACTTGGGTTCACAGCGACCCCCACACACCAGTCGGAGACACGTTCCGCTGGGGTCAAGTCACGCCCAGTGTTGTCAATCAAAACCTCTAGATCGGAGCCGTCGAAGGCACAACGGTAGACTCGGCATCCTTCGCGGTCACAAAAGTACACGGTTTGCGCCACGGAATCAATAGCCAGTTGCTTTGGGGTATTCAGATTGCCTGGGGCAACAACTGTTTCGATGTCGGTTCCATCCACGTTGGCGGAGTAAACGGCCCCGTCGGGCTGTCCTGGAATGCCCATGCAAGTCCAGAACATGCGGCCAGAACTCGAATCCACAGCGAGTCCATCCGGCAATGATTGGCCTTTAATAATTGATTTCTGTGCTTTGCCGTCTGCGGAAACCCGGAGGATCTCTCCTGATGTCACGCTGGGTGTGACACCTGACAGTCCGAGGTCCAACACCAAAATTTCGGGCTTCTTCGAATCGACCTTGACAAGAGTTGAGTCGTTGGCAGGATATAGGCCACCTTTTGAGCACTTTGTTCCCAGCTTTCCATGGTCCAGGTAATTGCTCTTCAAAAAGTTGACGGTCTTTTCGGGAGAGAGCCCACGTTCATTCACGTAATGACCTTCAATGAAGGCAACGGTGTCTAGGCCAACAACTAGGTAATGTCCTGTCAGCGAACAAATTCTCACAAAATCAGAGAGAGCGAGTGAGAATCTTACTGTCCATTGTCCGGCAGGGAGGAGTTCTTCCTTTAACAAACAGTTCAAGCCACATCGAATCAATCTCTTCGGGAACCGAAACACCCTCAGCCAGGATAGTCAGGACCTCCCGCTTTACAGCAGCCCACAACCGATTGAAGATGAATCCAGTGGACTCTTTTCTTACGACATATGGATCTGTGGCAGCTTCCTTGCATCGCTCAGTCATGAATGGGAATATCTCCGGGGAAGTGTATCCATCAGTCATAAGCTCCACGATCATACACGCCGGCGGCATATAATAGTGCATGTTCAGAATGCGGGTCTTAGTGGAATCCGAGACCTGACTGATCATCTCGGAAGACTTGTATGAGGATGAATTGGAAGCTAGGATGCAGTCCTCCGGAGTGAGGGCCTCCAGTTCAGCAAAAGTAGCGATCTTGAGGTCGAGCTTCTCGGGAACAGCTTCAATGACAAGCCAAGCATTTTCAACGGCTTGTTTCATATCTTCGACAGCTTCGAACGATCCAGGGACTTGGTTGGTTTTGGCCGAGTATGATTGAACATTTTCTTCAATGTATGCAATTCCGTCTACTCGCTGTTGCGCACTGGGGTCTCGAATCTTAACGTCGAAGCCGGCTGAAGCCCAGATACATCCTAATGCCAGAATTTTGTCAGCACTTCGATCTTCTAAAAAGATCACGCTGGACGGCATACATACCTACTCGGCGGCCGAGTACACCTGCGCCAAGGATAGCAACAGAGCGGCTGCGGTAGTTTCGCGGAGGTTCCCAGTGCGATGACATGTTAAAGCAAGTAGTTTGTAATTTAAGTGTAAAGCAGTATAGTTGGTGGTGTATTGGTTCATGCACAGTTGTGGGGGGTTCCTTTTATATCCCTTTGCCCCTTGGCTGTCATTGTCTATTCCGTAGAACCCTCGGAATGTCGACTATCCATAACTCAACCCAGAAGAAAGATCAAGGCAGTTCGTCAGCCCCGTCAACAAAGACAATACCGAGGATTCCCTATTCTGGTTCATTCCTCGGAAACTCCGTCCCGGACCAAGGCAAATACGAAAGTTCTCTATCAAACGGGTCATTTGGGATTCGTGGCAAATTCAATGATTTGAGCAGATGTGGGACTACAGTTTGGAGGCGCCATTAGGGTAACAGGGGTCAAATGCTTGATCCGGGTCAGACGATCTCCTGAGGTCTTCCTTGGGCCCATTACTATGGAGCTCAATGCCGAGGTAGTGTACCTCGGAAAGTATATGCCTCTGGAGTTGAATGCCAATCAGAAAATCTTTACGGGATAGAAAAGATAAATAGCGCATTTAGGTTTTAAAACTATAAAGCATTTATCTCGAGTTCATTATCACGCTAAAACAAAGACAAAAAACACACCGTCGTTGATATTGTATATTCCATACACAATGGCATCTTTGAAAGAATTCGATGCGAGCGAAGTGGCAGCTCACAAGACGAAAAACGATCTTTTCGTTATAATTCATGGAAAAGGTAATCTTTCCCTTCCCCAGCAGCCTTGTTCAATCTTCTGACATGCCCAGTATATGACATCACAGACTATGTGCGAGACCACCCCGGTGGTGCGGATGTGTTGCTAGACGTCGCCGGCACAGATGCAACAGCTGCATATGAGGATGTCGGTCACTCAGAGGATGCAAGCGAGATTTTGGAGACATACTTAATCGGTACCGTCAAGGATGCACACGAATTTGTTCAACCAAAGGTCGTTCGTGTAATCAATCAAACATCTTCCGGTACAGAGACACCCAGGAGGTCATCAATGGCCCTCAAAGCTGTGACTACAATTACTGCCACGCTTGCTGCTTCTGCGCTGGTTTACATCTCTTCCAAGAATCAGCGAGCCCTGACCGACTTCTTCGCCAAACACTCCACGGCCTCCCTACAAATCTCCGAAGTTCGCATTCCATTCATAAACCTTCTGCAGGGTGGATTTTTGAGTGGAGTCACTGCTGCCACTCTGGCATGTGCGTCGATTGGTGGTGCCATAGGAGTCAAACTCTCAAAGTTCACCGAAGTCGAGTCGGGTTTCACCAAGTACCGTCCGTACAAGAAAGCCTCCACATTGAAGAAGCAAGACCCACATCTTGTGAAGGGCTTCCTTGAGCCCAAGAACTACAAAAAGCTTCCCCTCGTTGAGAAGGTTCAATTATCGCCCAATGTGTACCGCTTCGTCTTTCAACTGCCCAATCCGAAGGGCGTAATTGGGCTCCCGATCGGACAGCATGTTGCTATCAAAGCTATGGTCAACGGTGCCTCTGTCTCGAGGTCCTATACCCCGACATCCAATAACCTGGATCTTGGAAAACTGGAGCTAGTGATCAAATGTTACCCAGATGGTATTCTCACCGGGCAATACCTCGAGTCTTTGGAAGTTGGCGACAAAGTGGAATTCCGAGGCCCGAAAGGCGGGATGAAATACCACAGCGGCCTTTGCAAGAAAATTGGTATGATCGCCGGTGGAACCGGAATCACTCCGATGTACCAACTTATCCGGGCGATTTGCGAGGATGATCGGGATACGACCGAAATCAGCCTCATCTACGCCAACCGAAGCGAAGAAGATATTCTTCTCCGTCGTGAATTGGAGGCTTTTGCACGAGGATATCCCAAGAACCTCAAGCTCTGGTATATGCTTGACCACCCTTCTGACAATTGGACTTATGGCAAGGGATATGTTACACCAGATGTCATGGCTGCAAGATTGCCCGGGCCTGCATCTGATACAAAGATCATGCTTTGTGGACCACCGGGCATGGTGAATGCTTCGAAGAAGGCCTTGGTAGCTGCAGGCTTTGAAGCTCCTGGCGCTGTCGGAAAGATGAGCGACCAGATCTTCTGCTTCTAGAGTGTTTCCGATTATATAGGCTCTACTTGTTCTGTGTCTATAGATTGTGCTGTATATTAGAACTGTTTGTGAATTCAATACGTTTTTGTTTTTCATCATTTCAAGATATATATGTAGCTCTCAAATTCTTCTCCATCTAGTTATATATTCATGCTTCATATCTTTTGCCACTGTTATACCAAAAAAAGCCCTCTATACGGGGTATGCTTTTTACCGCCTTATATTTTGAAGTAATAAGTCTGATCTCTACTTGTTCTATTCTTCACTGTTCAATACCGACCAGAAATGATCTATAAAAAGAACATCCAAGATTTCATCGGAGTGTTATTTAAATATAACGTCCTTTACATCATCTCGAACCAAATAAATCAGATTATTAAAGTCTTATGTCGTTAAGGATAACATGCCGCATATGCGGCCAACTATTTAATACGCCAATGGGAGGGGATGCGTTCAAATCCTCCTGAATCCGAAAATCCTGCTTAGATCCACAGTGGAGATCTACCCAGATACCTATATTGTGCATAATTTCCGAAGATGAATGATGTCTCGTCTACTCCGTATTGAAAATCCTGCTGTCTTGAAGATCATAGAAGAGACATGACTCTTCCGAGGTATGAGGAACACCTACGGATATCTTGAGGTCCATCCGAGGTATGTCTAAGCCAATCGGAGAAGTGCATGTTGACCCACAACCCGAGGAGACGGAATCCCGAACTATGAAACGGCCGGGATCTATGTTGATGACCATTGTGCAGTCGATATATAAGTTTTGGTTCTTTTAGTTCTTTTGGTTCCTGGATTAAACTGATCAGAATTACAAACACTCAATTACAATGCCTGCAAAGCAATTTTATCTCCTGGGAGAGCCAGTCTCCTCCGCCAGGAACATCGATGTCGACCCTAAAAGTGATTTGGGTGGACTCAAGGACTTGATTGCAGCTCACTTCGCAATTGTTGAGTCAAGTGGTATGTTTGAAGTTGTTTCTTCTTCTAATTCTGGATATTAATGATTGAATTTGTGTGTTATAGGTATCGATTTCCTAGCTCAAGACCTCCATCTGAATGAGATCGCCGAAATCACTTCGGCCGACACTCCCATCGCTATCACAATCGACGGGAATGCAGTCCGTGATCCTCCAGGCCCGAAGGGTTTCCCCTACGTCGGAAATTTCTTCGAAGTCTACCCAGACCACCTTGGCAACCACCAGCGTCTCTTCGAACAATACGGACCGGTTATTAAGACAACCAGTCTTGGCCGCACAACCTATCAAACAAATGACCCAGCTATCTCCGCGATCGTCTTTGCGGAGTCCGACTTTTTTACAAAAAGATCAACGAGGCCCATCCACTCTATCCTCTGAAGCAGACTGCAGCTGGAGTTTTCTTAGGAGATACCGATACTCCTGAGTGGAAGGTTGCCCACAAGTTTTTGCCGCCAGCTCTCGGCCCTAAGGCTGTTCGTCACTATGCCCCGACAATGCAGAAGACAGTCGAGGATTCGTTCAAAGTCTTTGACGACTTTGATGAGCAGGGTGAAGCCTGGAATGTTTATCAGTATATGCTGAAGCTCGGATCTCAAGCAGTTGGCAAGCTCACGCTTGGCTTGGATTTCCAACATTTTTCGAATCGGGACGCGCAGATGCACGAAATGGTGCATTTGATTGCTGGAGTTCTTTCTCTCAATAAGAAAGTCTCATCCAAGGGAGATTGGTATGGCAAACTGCCCTTCGGCGATCCAAAGCGGCTCAGAGATATCAATGCCAGAGTCGAACAGATTGTAGGGGAAACAATTCAACAAACTGCACGTGGTGGCGATGAAGACCTACCGCTGCAAGATGCAGCACTGAAGGCGACTAACATGATCGGTAAGTGCCTACCATACACCACCCAATCCGCTTCTTATATCTGTGGATGCTAATAAAACGTTTTAGACTATGCCGTCCGCGCAACCGACAACAAAGGCGAAAAACTACCCGAATCAAGCTTGATTTGGGCTCTCGTCGTCGCAACCGGAGCCGGCTTTACAACCACCAGTTCCCTTCTGTCCTGGCTCATCTACGGTCTTGTCACCTACCCAGGTATGCAAGAGAGGCTACTCCAAGAGCTCATCGACAACGACATCGACGAGAACACTGTGATGACTGCGGATGTCACCGACCGACTTGATTTCCTCGACAAATACATCAAGGAGACCCAGCGTCGCCACAACCCAAGTTTCCAACCGGGACGAACCGCCAGGGTTGACCTCGTGCTTCCGGGAGGGTATAAGATTCCTAAAGACTCGGTTATTCTTCCCGCCCTGCACCATATCCACAACAACCCCGATCTGTGGGATAATCCCAATCGGTTTAACCCTGACCGCTGGGACACCGATGAGGTCAAAGGCAGACATAAGGCTGCGTATATTCCATTCGCCATGGGCCCGCGCATGTGCATTGGGTTCAACTTTGCCTTGCAGGAAATCAAGGTTTTCATTCCGAAACTCATCTTCCGGTATAATTTCATTCGGGAGGGCAATGAGCCCATCGAGTATGATCCCATGTTCCAGTTGATTCGGCCTAATAACCTCTATGTTCGCGCGGAGAGGAGGGTGAAGTGGCCAGCGAAGACGGAGACCTTGGCAACAGGGGATGTTTGACAGGATTCCAGCATGGATGATAGATGTTCAAGTAACAGTTTTAGACAGCATTCATTGTTTTTAGAATAAAGAAATGTATGTTATTTCGTTTACATCGAAGAACTTTTCACCTAGCAACTATAGACTTTTCCTGGGGTATAAAAGAGCGCTTCCACAGAAATCCAGTAAACGCTACACGCGTGGCAGACCGTCCTAGCAAGATCAAGTCCAGGCGATATGTACAGTACCTACAGCCGCATAAACCTAAACGTCTTAATGAAAAAACATTGAGGA